TTTCGAAGGCGACGTCAGCATGAACGGGGAACACGCCAGGTTCTACTACGAACAGCAACAGCAGGCCATCCTCTACCAGCAACATCACCTGCAGAATGGACTCGAGCCTGGCGCTGCGAGACAGGCTGCAAAACAGGCGCGGATGCATATGGACGACGACAGTGACGACGGGTTCAGTGACGAGGAGAGCGATACGGATAGTATGCCGGATGACAGTATCGACTTTAGTCTGACCTACGCCCTGTGAGTCGCAACACCTCCTGTCGGACGGCGTCTGACAACAACAGGCATACCTTTCTGGCTACCGTGGAGGGGCAAGCCTCAGTAGTCAAAGGCGACTCGCTTGTGTTACTGGACGACGCCAACTCTTACTGGTGGCTAGTCCGCGTCCTCAAGACTGAAGACGTCGGGTACATTCCCGCTGAAAACATTGAAACGCCCTACGAACGCTTGGCTAGGTTGAACAAGCACCGAAATATTGACCTTGCGGCTGCCACCAAGAACGAAAAGCAGCTCGGGCAGGTGCAATCCAGGGAGAAGCTGAAGGGGGCGATAGCAGCCAAGGGAAGGAATGCGAGGCAGGGGTCGAATGAGGGGTCTGAAGAGAGCTCTGGCCGACGCGTCATCTTTGCGCCCCCGACCTATGTCGACCACCCCGGTGTTACGTGGAGCTCGGATGAGGAGGATACCGACCACGAGCCGGAAGAGGTCGAGATGCAGGAGGATGAGCATTCTCAGGAGGGCCATGACCCGAGACATGCCCAAGAGGCAATGGATGTCGACGACAGCATGGACGACATGGAGCCCGATGATGGCGTCGAGTGGGCAGACGAAGCTGCTGAAAAGGAGCGCCAAAAAGTGCTGGAGCAGCGGCAAGCTGCCGTCACGCCGAAATCCAACAATCCCTTTGCGCCTCAGTCCAATCTCCCCGCGGAAACCGTATCGAATGGCGTGGCCCAAAGCAGCTCCACCTCTTCTCTCAATTCGGCCAGTAGTCCCATCCTGGACCCTGCTTCGGCCTCCGATACGAGGAGAATCACAGCCACTCCGGCCGTAGCTGGTGGCCCCTTGCTCCCGTCCGCCGTCGTCAACGGTTCTCAAAACCGCAACGTCAGTGGCCAATCGACATCTTCTGTCTACTCTACCGTCTCTGCCACTTCCTCTGTTCGCAGCAGCACTCCCACCGGCAACAGTCCCGAAGATGCCAAGAACAAGATGAAAAAGCCCCGAAAGAGCGATGACAATGGGGAAAAGAAGAAGAAGGGCTTGCTTGGGGGACTGTTTTCGCGAAACAAGGCAGACAAGAAGGGCAAAGGAATATCAAGTGCGGACCAACGGAGCTCGGAAGACAGTGCTCTGGAAGACCGTGGGTCCGAGGATGATCCGTCTACCAGGGGCGCTCTCGCAGCTTCCGGCTTACACGAATCGTCACCCCAGAACGCCTCCGACGTCTCGTCCCACAGCCTCAAACTTCAGCAAGCCGACCAGGCTCGCATGCAGTCCTACACCCAAAAGTATCTCAAATTGCCCAACGACCAGTATAGCGCTTCCAACGCCGAGGCTGCTGCTGCCGTTGCGCAGAGCGCCGCGGCAATGCGTCTGTCGGCCAGTGTGATGGGTACCTCCAATGGGCAGAACGCGAGACCGAGCAGTATCATTGTCTCGCCAAATCCAGATGGTCCACCATTGCTCAATGTCATCCGAATCTTTGCAGGAACACAGGTGGATAGTGAAGCCTCGTTCAAGACGACGCTCATCAACGAGACGACCTCTGCTGGCGATCTCATCCGCCAAGCTATCCAGAGGTTCCACTTGCAGACCCCTCAGCCGCAAGACCCTCTTGCCGGTTATTATGTCACCGTGAAGGACTTTGACGGAACAGAGCTTGAGCTAGACCCGCAAGACAAGCCGTTGGGCAAGTTCCAGGCTGCTGTGGCCAGGTGGAGCGAGTCGGAGGTGGACGAGCATGGAAAGCTGCAAGAACGTTTGGGCGCCATCACACCGACAGTCAAGCGCGATAGCGTGAGCAGTATCTCCAGTATGGCCAGTTTGTCCAACCACCCTGCCATCAAAAAGCTTGGCATGGATTGGGAAGACGATTCGCAAGTCAAGCTGTATCTCAACCGTCGATTGCCTGTGGCCGAGCCAGAAGGGATGCCGGATCCCCAAAGTGGGTTTTCGAGCTACAGCACCGGTCTTTCCACCGTGCACGAAAGCCCCAAATCCGACGAGGACATGCTCACGCCGGGCCCCTCCTCGCCCGTCACGGCCAAGAACCCCAATCTCACCATCTCTACCGGCGCCCAGGCTGCACCAGAGAGGTACATGTCTCCTTCGGCGCGCTTCACCCTCCAGCTTTTGCTCTACCCTGCCGACTTGCCTCCCGGTATCATGTTTGATCCTTCGTCCGAGTCGCTTGTTGCCAGACCAAAACTGCAACAGGGTGTGGAAGAAGGCGAAGCGAGAAAGAGACTGTTCACGTTGCCGAGGAATGCCAACGTGGTGGATGTCATCGAACAGGGTCTCGAGAGGTTTGGAGTGCAGGAAGGTGTGGTGGATGGAGGCGACGAAGTGGAGGACAAGGTGGGGAAGAGAAGAAGCATGACGAGGGTGAGATATAGCTTGGGTGTCATTGTGAACGGTCAAGGTCAGTCCATTTAGCATTGAAAGGTATCATGCTGACAAGACCAGAACGTCAATTGTCGTCTTCGTCCAAGATACTCGAATCCTACCCCTCGGCGCCAATCCTCAAGCCGATGGAGAAAAGCACGCCCGAATCAAGAAGACGCTCGCGGGATCTCAGCTACAATGTTGGTTCGACTGGCGACATTCGTGAGAGCGACCCTATCTTTGTCTTGCGCAAAGTCGGTGCCCGGGGGCTGGCAGGGGCCAAGGTGGATGGGATCAAGCAGACGCCTACTAGTCCTATAGTATCTCCAACGTCTTCGGACCCTCGATCCCCGCAAGAGATCATCGCTGCCCAACGCGCTGCTTCGCGCTCGCATCAGATGTCGGTCCTGTCATCGACAAATAAAGGGCAAGGTGTAGATGTTCGACTTCCAGAGACTCAGGGTACATTCCGCTCTACCAGACAAGTTGGTCAGGACGGCGGCGCCGTCATCCGCTACAGCTTTATTGACGAGGCCGGAGAAACGTATGATATATCCGAGCTGTTGGAGGCTGAGGTGGGCAAAGACGGCAAGTCCAAGGTCGAAGAGGTCGGAGACGACTCTAAGACTGGCTCTGTTGACGTCCCACCCGAGCTTCAAAGGCAGGGCACCGACATGTCTGTCTCCGATTATCATACTGCCCCCAGCACTCCTGAACCAGGCATGAGAACTCTGTCGGGCGACTCTATCGAGATCATGGACGAGCCCCGTCCGAGGTCACGATCCGCACAAGATCGAGACATTCTGCAGCGCGCTGTACAGAGAGCCAGCCAAGATGGCGAAGCGGCGGGGTTGCACGAGGCGTTGCAGAGGGTGGCAGATAAGGCTAGGGAGGGGTCAACGAAAGGGAGTACGGGACCAGAAGAAGTCGCGAGGGAGCGCAATGCGACGCCAAATGGGAGGATCACTCCAGAACAGGTGAGTCAATTTTGATCACATGGGCGAACGTCGGACTGATAGAACCAGGATTCGAGCGAGGATCTCCATGCTACACCGCGTGCTTCTAACGCCTATCAGTACTCTGAACATGATCATTCTCAGGATCAGTCTACGCGGACAAATTCGCGTCAGGCGACTCGCGAGACTGCTGCCAGCGTCAACCGCATCATCTCGCGCCACCGCCAGCAGCCGTCTATCGCGTCCATCATGTCTGACTTTGATGGCGACAAGTCTGGTTCATCGCTCTCCCGGGACCTCCGGGATCGCTCTATCGAACCCCCGAGCAGTGTTAGTGAAGGGGACGAGAACGATCAGTTGACAGACCCCGATGGGTCCTACAATTCCTCATCAACAGGTTACGAGGCCAATTTCAACGACCGGAGCTCGACTCCTGCGACTGCTTCTTCCTCCACACACCCCACTCCGCCCTTTAACGGAAATGGCGGCATGTTTACCTACACCAGGGCTGTCAATGTCGCTTCGCCCACTCCCCGAGCTCCAGTGAGGTACAGGGATGACTTTGGGATGAAGGATATGATGGCGGTGATTAGAGTGCGAGCGCGAGAATATCGCTCCGCGACCAAACCCAAGACAAACTCCCGAAAGAACGTGAGAGGTAGTGTCATCAGCGATGTCGATTCTATGCGCTCTTCAACGCAAGCGGTGCCGGGGACCGAAGTGGATAGGCAGCTGTTTGGAGAAAAGATTGATTGGGAAGAGGTACACCCAGAGATCCGGGACTGTTTGCACGGAGTCCAGGAGAGGCTGGACAGCTTTGACAGAGAAGTGGATGATTTGTTGGCCACTGTAGGAGCTTTGGGTATTTGAAGGGGTGTATCACGTATATTGCTCTTGTTACGATCTGTACAGTAGGAATGTCTATGGTATCTCTTTCTTCTTCTTGTCTCAGCACTGGATCAAGAAGTTGCAATAAAGCTCAGGACACAGGCGCTCCTCCTGGCCTCCTGGCCTACTTTGGTCTTTTGTTACGTAACCGAATGTAAGCTCACCCCCCCCCAGCAGCAGCAGCCCCCGTGCGACGCCATTTTACCTCACCCAACCTTCTTTGGTTCTGTGTACTGTCACATAGTCGACTCATCACGGCGGTTGCTGGAAGCCTAGGTCGTGTATCCCACCGACACCGCGCATCCGCCCATCAAGAGCATGGGAAGAGCTGTGGGTCTTTCTTTGTCCCGCCTGGGTATGGCACAGAGCATCCTATACATGCATTTGCGGCTCCTTGTCTCTCCCCCCTCCCCTACATACGCGGCTGTGGTTGAGCCAGAGGTTCGGTATGACTGCTTCTGATTAATGCGATGACGCAAGCGGGGAATATCCTGACGACTACCGGACGACTGTCGATCTGTGCCTCATTTTTTTTTGCTGCCGTTCATCTTTTTCCTCGTCACTCCACTGCGCTTCTGCATCTCCACCAAAGATCGCCATCCCAGTCAAGCCCCCCCCTCTGAACGCCTCTGAAGCTCCCAAAGTTCCCCCCATCCCCACATCCTGTCTCGAGCATAGCGTCAACAACCCTCTAGCATGAGCTCCGCCACGGGCGGCAGCTTGAAGTGGACAGGCAGGCCGTGAGTGATGCCGCCGATGGGTGTGACAGGCAAGCTCACGGGGCATGTATAGACTGTATGAGCTGGTCATCAAGCAGCAGCCGGAAAGAGCGAGGTTGTGCTCGTACAAGGAAGAAAATGACACGAGTGCGTACCGCGGTACCGCATTCCAGAGGGCGCCTTTGCTTACTCCATGCAGTCGACCGCAGGCCTGTAGATCCACCGCCTGTGGTAGAATTGAAGTGCCGCGGAGACCAAAAGTTCGCAGAGTGAGCAACTCGTATTCTGCACAGTATCACTTGCCTGACTTTCGCCTCTTACAGGCAACTCTTGCAATCCACAGCCTTCTTTGTCCGCGCGGCTATAGTGACGGCCGAGACTGTGCCCCTTACCTCTGATCAAGCCTCGACATCCTCACAATCAGCTTCGCCATTCTCCTCGCGCCCTCTCTCTCATCCTCAGACTCATTACGCTCCAGTACGGCTGAACTTGGGCGCGGATGCAGCAACAGGCGAAGTCGTCCAGACTCCCGAAAGACTACGATTACTCGATGGTCGCGCGGCTGCTCTTTGCATCTTTGCCAAACTTGGTGTCCGACTTCCTGGCACGTTTCGGCTCAAATTCACCCTTTTCCGTTCGACCGAGTATGTACATGGTCGCAAATGGTTGCCAGCGCTGACCAGCTTAGGGATGGGCTGATGGACATGGCTCACACCATCTCTGAGCCTTTCGAGGTTTTTTCACCGAAACTCTTCAAGGGGATGCACGAGAGCACAAATCTGACAAGGCATTTGGCAGCACAAGGAGTCAAGGTCAAGCTGCGGACAGATACGACCGTGGGCAGACAGTAAGCTTTACCCGGATCCTTGCGGAATACACTTACACTTCTCGACAGAAGCGTGAGAAGGCGTCGCGCATCTGCCATTTCAAGGACCCACTCTCCTCCATTTTCCGGTCAACCGCCAGCCGTGATTGCGCCTCAAGTGCATTATCAGCCTCCCCATCCCCCACCCCTGCGACAGCCTCAGTCGAATCAGACCCATCCAGCAAATCGTCCTCATCCGCCATCAATCACCACGCACCATCACCCTCATACTATGACTTCTCATGCCATGCTTCCTGAAGCATCGTCAACGTCGTTCAGTAGCGGATCACTGAGAGGCGCTGGTGACCTTGTATGGAGAAACTCTTCTGAAGAGTCCGCCTACTACGAACCAAATCCGTCGAGAATAGTGTCATCTGGTAGCAAGAGGCGTCATGTCGATGACGGTCTGGTGCGGCCACCAATCATCGGTATGGGACATGGTAGGGTTCTTCGTTTGGCGTCCGTTCTAAACTGACGGTCGCCTCAGCATCCGGCTCCCACGATTTGTTCGCATTCTCTTTGTCTCGCCGAGGCAGCCGGGAAAGTAGTCGTGACAGCCGTGCCACACACCTCTCGAACGAGAGCACCCCACGATCGGCCTCCAACCAAAGCAATTCCCATCCACTCTCATCACTATCCTCTACTGCATTTTCGCCCACCGCCAGCACCAGTAGGTCATCGTCCTCCATACCCACCCCAGCATCTTCTCAAATCCCTTGTGCTACCCATCCTCCTCCTACCTGGTTTCCTTCCGCAAGGCTGAACGTGAGAGCAGGAGATGACGGCATTCCCATCCTCCCACCACCCAATTCGCACCGATCACCAGGGGGCTTCGTGCCTGCTAGTCTCAACGAGGTTTTAGGAGAATCATCGTCGTCGGCCGGTGGCCTCGGTGGCCGACCGATCACGGCGGGCTCGGGGCAGGGGTCTGGTCTGCGTTTCTCTGTGGACGGGGGTAGCTCTTTGGCAAACGCGGAGGGGACGGAAGAGTCTATGAGCGAGGGGGTACATCCCAAGAGGCAGGCTTTGGGTGCAATAGTACCAGACGCCTCGTCCTTGAAGCTGCCCCCTCTGCGGCCGACGTTTTCGGAGAGCGGGCCTAGTGGCACTGGCAGTGGCAAATGACCTCGCCATTGGCATAAATTGGTTTTCAATTCGTTGTTATTTCTTCTACTTTGTTTCTATCCTTATATGTTGTCGTTGTCTGCATGTTCTATTCTTCGTTTCTTTTGGGTTCTCGGTACCACTTTATGTCAATGTTATCACGCTGTACACGCTTATTTTTGTGGGCTATCTATTAGAATACTCCTTTGCTTAGGGGAACTTATGGTGTGAGGGTTTGTGAAGGTTTCTACTGGAGATTTCCGGTGTTGGTTGTAATATGCAATACATGAGCCATTATAGAGATCTGCTGGTGGGGTTTATGAGACTGTATCTATCGGTTCTTCGCCAAGATCTCGGTCCGCTTTTCCAACCATCTATCACGGCTTACACTCATCCATCTCCCCTTCCAGCCAAACAGCCCTATCTTCTCGCTGTCCTCCAAGTCGGCCCCCGCTTCATCCTTTGTCACAGGGACAAAGCCGCACTTGATAAGCAATCTGTCGCTGTCCACCGATATAGGGTTCGTGTACACGTAAACCTTCTTGATACGACAAGGAGATTGAACAGAGACGTCGAACGCGTGATCCAGCGCCGTGAGCAACAGTTCACTCCCAACGCCACTTTTGCGGTATGGCTGGTCGACGTCTAGATGTCTTATCCGCGCAATGGCGGAGCGGGTCTCGTTCTTGGTAGCTGAGACAGTAGGTCGCTTTCGAAGACCAGCGTTGCTCTCTGCCTTTTTGGGTACTAGCTCACCCACTACGCCCCTTTCCCCTGTCACCTGCCCGTCTTCCTCTCCCAAGACACTATTGAGCTTCTTCAAGGCCTGTTCCCCCGCATCCAGGCATACAGCGCCCACAACACTCCCCTCATGTTCAAATACCCACACACCGCTCTGTGCGGGAGCATAGTAGACGGCAGGCTTGATCATATCGAGCGACCCAATCGTCTTGCGCAAACGGGCGGTGAAAGCAGGTCGTTGGAGGTACTCGATAGATGCCAGAAGAGGAAGAAGGGCGAGGGCAGGGCCGACGAGCGGATAGATATAGCTCAAGGGATTGCTGTTGATGGCGAATCCGGCATAGTGGCTGATCACCAGTCCGATGAGAATGATGGGGAGCAGGACGAAGGGGCTGGTGATGACTGTCAACTTGTTAGCCCTGTTTCTAGACAAATGAAAGGGGTTTTACTTTTGTTATTGGCCCGAGCAAGGCCTTCCATGATGCCCTGGCCGACGAGCATCTTGAGGGCATGCTCGTCGCGAGAGTGGTCGTACTTGCGGACGACGTCCACTCCCTGAACTGGAGCTGGGGCTTCCTGAGGCGCAGACATTTGAGGAGATGTGGGAGATGCAATGCACAGAACGCGGTCGTGTGAGCACCCGTTTTATACATTATCCTGGTCCTGACTTTCCTGAGACGACGGAAATTCCAAAATCATGGTCAAGCAAGAACGTGCGTCGCGTTCAGGTCGCGTTCATTCCAGCAGCTCAGGCACGGATTGATGGGATAATGCTTACGTAACAGAAGAACGCGTCGAGCTCGCGTCGTCCCTTTTTGTGTTTTGCTCATGTTCTTTCTCGAATCGCTGTATACTTGGCAGGCGGCGGCTATACACAGACACAGATAACGTCAACGCACAATGGCCATCACTACAGAGGAACGATCGTGAGTAACACGCGTCGAAGCAGGGTCCGCGCTGACCAGTCGCGTGCAGGATGAATGTCGACTTCAAGTGAGTACGCGTTGCATGGTGCAGGGGCAAGATCTGACGCCGGCCTCAATAGGCTCGGAGACCCGGCACTGATGCCATTCTTCTACAAACATATGTTCCCTTACAAGCCATTGTTCCTCTGGCTCAATCAGGACCAAAGTGAGTCGCCACACGCGTACAAGTGAAAGAGGCTAACGCGCATATACAGTCCCTAGCAAACTCTTCACTCATCGTGAACTGGCCTTGACGCTTCAGAATGATGTCTATCTGCGATACCAGTCGTTCAATACTTCAGAGGAGTTCAAGAAATCCATACGGGACTACTGTCCATCTCGTTTCGAAATTGGTCCTCAGTACACTGCCCGAGTATGTTTAGCAACGTCTACGATAGACTGGTGCTGACTCCCTCTAGCCTCGAGACAGAAAGACACTTGCTGCTGGTGCTCTCCAGCCCCAAAGGCGAGAGCTTGTGTTCGATATCGATATGACCGACTACGATGAGATCCGAACTTGTTGTTCCGACAAGAAGATTTGCAAAAAGTGCTGGGGCTTCATTGCAGCCGCCGTCAAGGTCCTGGACCATACACTGCGAGGTTGGTCCCATTATAGCCCTGTCGTCATCCAGCTGACGTGTCTGCAGAGACGTTTGGTTTCAAGCACCTCATGTGGGTGTACTCTGGTCGACGAGGTATCCATTGCTGGATATCGGATCAGAAAGCCCTCGACCTCAACGATGACCAGCGACGAAACCTGGTCAACTTTCTAGAAGTCATCAAGGGTGGTAGTCAACAGAGCAAGAAGGTCAGCGTACGGGGCAAGGACGGCAATGATGCGCCCCATCCGTACTTGCAAGAGACCATCATCACGCTCTCCCAGCTGTTCCCTCGACTCATCCTCTACGAACAAGACTGCTTCCGCGAAGAAAAGGGATGGGAGCTTTTGTTGGAGCTGCTTCCCGGAGACAGAGGCAAGTCGTCCCTTGCATATGTTCTGTAGTTGGTTCTGATGCGTGCCATAGCTGTGAACTCTGTGCTGCGTACAAAGTGGGAGGCCGACCCCGGCCGCTCGAGCCACGATAAATGGAACGACCTCACTGCCATTCTTCATAAGAACATCGATACGCCTCTGGGGGTGAGTTGGCCGAACCTCTATTAAATCCAATTCTGACGCCTAGCCATGCAGAACAAGATCAAACACGCAATTGAAGACATCATCCTCCAGTATACCTACCCTCGAATCGATTCTGAAGTCTCCAAACATCGGAACCACTTGCTTAAATCGCCCTTTGTTGTGCATCCCGGTACCGGCCGAATATGTGTACCTATCAACCCGTCTATTATCGATGAGTTCGATCCAGAAACTGTACCCACTGTCAATCTTCTCCACAGCGAGTTCAATCAATATCAGGCTAGAAAGAAGGAGGAGGGTGCTGAAAGTACTGGGAGACGGATGGAAGGTGGGTAGACTACCGCTCAATTAGGTTTATCTGCTGACATCCGGGAAGATTATGAGCATACATCTCTGGCTCCATACGTCGGGATGTTTGAAAAGCACATCTCGGCCATCATGCGAGACAACAGGAATGCGAAAAAGGGCAAGTTTGTGACCACTTCAAATGGCTGAGGATATTGACGTTCTGCGTAGCGGTGAAAAAGAACAACTTGGATTTCTAGAGCGTCTTGTTTCGAATATTAGTAGAGCTTGTTGTATTCTATGCATATGTCTATATAGCCGTCAAATCTCTGCTTGACACATCTTGGCTTCCTGGGAACAACCTCCACCTTCGCGTCGCGTACGCGTCTGTGCGCAATGTTCTCCACAATTTCCCTGGTACTCAACAATTTACAATACCATCACTCTCGCCCGGAACCTTGAGTATTTCGCACAATGACCGCGATCTCTCCACTAATCCGCCACACCACTGTACAAGTCGGCACCGCCTTCGAAAAACACGCTCTCGCCTTCCTCACCGCTTCCATGTCCATGTCTGTACGCCGGGTGGGAGGCGCTGGGGACGGAGGTGTGGATCTGAAAGGCTGGTGGTGGGTTCCGGCAGATGCCTCATCCGATACTGTGGACATAAGAGGAAAGGCGAGGAGATTGCGGGTGATAGCGCAATGCAAGGCCGAAAAGAAGAGCGTCGGCCCTCGTGCTGTACGTGAATTAGAAGGAGTCATGTCGCAGCTCGACTACCGTAAGCATGCTCTTCGATCATCCCGACATCCGTATCTCATAAGACGCATCCAGGTAGAGAGCAGTCGTCCAGCGAAGCGACTGTAGCCTTATTTCTCTCGCAAACCGGGTTTACAAAGAATGCCATGATCAACGCGAGTCAGTCGCGGACACCCATGATGCTCTTGCATCTCCCCGGTGGACAATATGTCGATGCTCCTCCACTATCTTCATCGCCTGGGAGCGATTCAGATATAGAAGCTTCGATTAAAGTTGAGAGCGTCTGGTGGAATCGCGCCCTGTCGCATGGTGTCTTGGGCGGGAGGTTGGAGCTGCGGCGAGAGATGGTGACAAATGGACGGGGAGTGGTGGGAACCAATGTGGGTCTGTGGATGGACGGTGCTAGGGTCGATAGACTTGTGCCAGAGACTGGAGCGGATGATCTGTAAAGGCAAGAAGTTGCATCATCATACTGTACATAAAGGTAGACTTGTTACACGGGGCTCGAGAAACTATATCAGAGCTGACAATACAATAAAATCTATGTGCAGATCCAAAGAGGATATCATCTACTCATCCGAAATGAGGCCCCCAAAATAAAAAGTCAGAGCCTTGACTTTACCCCTGACTGTCTCCTCTTCCGCCTCCACATACTCCTTCTCTTTGCCCAGCCCAGGTAATGTTACCTCTCGAGCAAGGTCCGCTAGCTCCTGCAAATCGGTATTTCGCGGGAGATAGTACGCGATATTGGGAGTCAGGCGTGAGGTGAGATGGAAGAGTTCGCGGCCATGGATTGGGAGAAGAGCGGAGAGAGGGTAGGAGGAATTTGGACCGGAGCGATAGTCAATTCCACCTGTGTCCTTGGTCAGCAACGATTCCCTGAGGACAATATATGTACTCACCCCATGGAGGAGATAGAAACACGACATCTATAGCGTCGGATTCGCGAGCGGAAAGAGAACGAGCCCATTCCATATAGTCACCCAAGATGAATTCAATTCTGTCGGCTACACCATGATGCAGAGCGTTATGGCGTGCGAGGCGGAGACGGGTGAGGTCGTTGTCTATAGCTATGACTGCACCCACTGTCAGACTTGATTTCTCGCTCTTGTAATGAGCACTCACCCCGTTCGCAGGTTTTGGCAAACTCGATAGCGTTGCCTCCTACGCCGCAGAAGGCGTCCACTATGACATCGCATTGGCACCTCTGAGCAACGTGGGCTGCAATGGGCTGAGGAGTTACAGAGAACCACCCCGTTTGATCCATGAGCAGTGGTAATCTATCATAATCTGGAAACAGAAACCCTCTTTGATGATAATCTAATCCGTGTCAGCTCATACAAATGCCACTGAGGGGCAACGCACATTTTCGCAATTCATATGGCACCTCCTGCTCTTTCACATATCTCGGCACCAGCCCCGTACAGTCCCATGGGTGGCCAAGATGCGGATTGAGCACGGCCTTGCCATTCTTCATCCGCTTCACATAATTCTTGCGTTGCTTGGCCGTCATGGGATGCACGTACTCAGAGCGTATCCCAAGCCAGCTTTGTTCGAAATTGGCAGATTTGCGGTGAGGAGGGGGAGACTTCGCCGAGGGAAGAGGAACGGATAGAGATGAGGGATTCGTTGTAGGTACAACTACCACGGGGCGGGGTACAGGCTCCGAGTTCATGACATCGTCTTGAGAGAGCAGAGTAATGTCCATGTCCACTACCTCATCCTCCTCGTCCTCGCTTTCTGAGTCTGGTTGTGTCTTGAGTAATGTACTTCCCTCGATCTCCTGAAGGATTTTGATACCAGGTTTGCTGGTCTCCGGGGCGATCTCAAGTGCGGAGGCGGGCTCTACGCTGAACCTGGCGCTCGAAGAGGACCTCCCTCTTGAGCCGGACCTGATGGCATGGCGGAGGTCTGTCGGGAGGGAGGCGAACAACGACAAGCTCTGGCGTGATCTGCCTCGCTTGGGCATGGCAGATATAAATTATAGTCCTGAAATGGCCAAAATACGAGAATTGTCGACCTGTGAACGCATTCCGGCAACTTCAAGCGCACCAAATAGTGGTTACGTAACTCCTCAAAGATTTCGGAACTCTTCGTCTCGACCTTTGCACCAAAACTTCAGATTCAACGTCTTCCTCTATACATCTATCCAATCACTCAAAATGTCCAAGGCTGTGCTCGCCGCCGCTGAAAAGAACAAGTCCAAGGACAAGGTCGCCCCCGCCGAGGGTCCCAAACCCAGAAAGGACAAGGTCCTGCTGCTCTCTTCTAGGGGTGTCACCCAGAGGATGAGGCATCTCATGCGAGACCTCGAAACCATCTTGCCTCATACCAAGAAGGGTGAGTACACTTTCTGACATATAGAGTTGTGTTCTGACGTTCTCTAGACGCCAAGCTTGATGCCAAATCCTCCCTTCACCTCATCAACGAGCTCGCCGACCTCCACTCCTGCACAAACACCCTCTACTTTGAAGCCCGTCGTCACGAGGACCTCTACATGTGGATGTCGCGTACTCCCAATGGACCCTCCCTTAAAGCGCACGTGCAGAATCTGCACACTATGGACGAGTTGAAGATGACTGGAAACTGTCTGAAGGGAAGCAGAGGGTTGGTCTGCTTTGACGGAGCGTGGGAAGGGGAGCACTGGGAGTTGATGAAGGAGATGTTCACGCATGTAGGTGCGAGTGTGATTGAACAGGGTGCAGCGGCTGATATCCGGATAGACCTTCAGTGTGCCGAGGACCTCCAGAAAGTTGAAGCCTTTCATTGACCACATTCTCCTCTTCTCTCTTTTGGACAACAAAGTCTGGTTCCGAAACTACCAAGTACGCTCCATCCAACTCGTCTTGTACCACACGCTGATGTGCAATTCAGATAATTGAGAAAGACCCCCTAACCCCCACTGGCCCTCCCCAATCCTCCCTCGTCGAAATTGGTCCCCGATTCGTCCTCACCCCTATCAAAATCTTTGAAGGTTCCTTCGGCGGCCCCACCCTCTTCTCCAACTCTGAATTTGTTACGCCCGCTGCTATGCGTGCTAGCATCAAGAGAGATGCTGGTGAAAAGTACAGGATCAGGAAGAACAACGAGAAGGAGAGGGAGGAGAGGAAGAAGAAGCTGAAGGAGGATGCTGGCGAGGACGAGTTGGCGAGGGACATTGTGTTCGCTTAGAGGGCTGGATTATATTGTATGTATATCGATACTCACATTGACCTGGTGATATACAATAGAATACATCTGGGGTGTACTACAACGTCTGGTAACAACAGGTCACTGTGTGGTTTTTCCACCATTCCTACCTATCGCCGTCCTTCTTGCTCTTCGCCTTCGTCTCTGCTTGTCGCTCTCCTCGAAGCGTCTCGATCTCATTAAGCCATTTGTGGGCATATCCACGATCTCCCGTCTCCAGATAGTAGGCCGACTACCACTCGATCAGGCCCAGCCACGCCAAGAAAGAGGCGTTACTCACAGTCCCAGCGCAAACTCTCAAACATGTCTTGTTGTACCCACACAATTTCATATTATCCTTGACCTCTGTCATCCTCAACACTGCAAACGTCTTGAAATCCCCCAGCCCCTCATCTTTTTCCTCCTTGTCCTCTGTATCTGCCAATAACACCAACCGATCCGCAAGGAGGACACCGAGCAGCCGCTTGCCCTGGAGGTGATCATGCCCAAATTGGTAGTAGACAGTATCGAGAGTCTCTGAGCGGTTGTTGGGATAGACGAGCTCTTCATTGTCAATGACAATGTTGTCGACTGTAAACGTCAACGTCTCTCTCGTCAAATAACGGGCAATGATGAATGGTCCTTCCATCACGAGATCTGGGGCATCCGACGTCAGTATCTGCCAATCCAATGGAGGAGTAGTCCCATTGTTGGCAGAGGGGTAAAGATGAGAGCGTATCTGTGCGATGCGTTTGGACTGTTCGACGCGCGTTGAGAGGATGGAAGCAAAGTGGTAGGTGATGTCGAGAGGGTCGTGTTCGATTTCTTTGGGTGGGGTGTGGCGGCAGAGATGTCGGAGCTGTGTTGGATCAGAATGGATTTGGGCTGGAAGGATAAGGCTTACGAAGAGCTCATAATGAGCTAAACGCTGCAAAGGAACCTCCAGGTATTGACCCAACCCTCTCAGATGATGCTCCTTGTGTGCCCGACATTTCATCAGAAACTCTTCTACCCTCCTCTCCCTGTCCGTCGGCTCCCCCTGAGGGCTCTCCCACATCTCGGCCATCAGTAGCGACTGGCAAAGCCTTTTCCCATAGGCCTTGTAGAACTTTCCCATTTGGGCAGCGCGAGAGTTGAACAGCTCGGCGACTTCGTACGCTGCGCGCAGCGACCATTTGCCATCCAGGTCATGCCCCATGGCCGTCATCTGGCGCACTATACCCTTCAGTGTTGGGAGAATGTCCACGGCGTGATAGTTGACAATTTCCTGAATACCGCCAAACACCACATCCCACTGGTCTCTGGGAATTTCGAAATAGTCTCCCGTCTTTCCGGGAAGAGGGATAGGCCTGGAAGTGGGAGAGATGTAGATGCGCTTGAGCTGGAGAAGTTGGTTGACGTAGGCTTGTTCGGTTTGGAGAACGTCGTTGAGGACATTCTTGCGGTCCTCGGGCGAGTCGTCAAAGAATCGCTGGTCAGGGGCCTTGTTCCCAGAGGGGGTGGTATGTTTCGGAGGCACAAGAGTCAGAGGTGTAGGACGGTAGGATTGCCAGGTGGCGTCTGCGACCGAGGTGGTTCTCAAGCGGTGGACCATCCGTGACGGTGTTGGCGGCGGGCGTCTGAGCACTGTGGAGTGTCAGGCGCCGCTCGGCAGGAGGCAGTACGTACTGTGGGCGAGGGGATGGCATGGGCCAGGTGCGAGAGATGCCTCCGAGGCCATGTTGAGTGATGTCTGGAGTGGCGATGCGGATGCAGGAGAGAGATGCAGGATAGAAGAGAATCGTAATGCATTAGGAGAGTTTGTAATGAACTGTAATGAATCATACCAAATTGTAATGGAAAGGATGGGATTCTGCACAAACACACAGGAGAGAGAAGTCACCCAACCTAGGCACGAGATAACACCTCCCAATCCTCCCCCCACTTTATTTTGACCGTCGTTTGTTCCCGCGCCCTTGCCATCCCAAACATTCATTCCTCATCATCCTCTTCTCCAGCATCCCTCCCGCCAACAGTATAGCAAACGCAGCTGGCATCCCCTGAACGAGGGCTTTCCAACGATACCGCTCGCGCCCCAAACGGACATCCTGTCGGACTTAACATTATGAGCGACAGTCGCGATCCGCCGCAAAACATCGACCACCCAGCGCCCCCGGACCAGGCGCAACCACCGCCCTCATCCCACGACCCTTCGCTCTCCCAGCCACCACCCGAGCCACAACCTCATGAAGTGGGACAGCATGTCCGGACGTCCGGCGAAGTGCATGCAGCGGCCCAAGCTGCCCTTGCAATGGAGGCAGACATGGACGCGTCTGTAATGATCGACGTCTCTATGGGGGACGAGGACGGCTTCGACCCTGCTACTCTGGCCAACCTCGCTGCTCTTTCAAGTATCATCAATGATGATGACGAGCCTTTGTCAGGAGAGCAGACACAGGAAGAAGCGAGGGGGGAGACGGAGGAACCCCTGGATACGGGAGGGTCCAGGGAGCCGTTGACGCGAGAGCAGGTTCAGGACCTCATGAACCAGCTCGCCCAGCGAGACAAGGGCAAAGACAAAGAAGATGATGCTCGACGGAGAGGCACAGAGAGCCAAGCGACAAGTGAACGTGGTCAAAGCAGAGTAGATGACGGAGATGAAGGGGAAGAGGGGCCGGATACGATGGATGACGAGGAGTACGGAGAGTATGGTGAAGAAGAAAGGAACGAGAAGGGGAAGAGAAAGAGGAACAGAACAGTGCTGAGCTGCACAGAGTGTCATCGGAGAAAGCAGCACTGTGATAGAAATATCCCTTGCAGCCGGTGTGTCAAGAGGGGCATCCCTTCCATGTGCCAGATGGAACATCCTGTTTTGCCTCAACGCAAGCGCAAGAGGTGAGTATATTGTTAATCTTCACGGGCGGTTGCTGAATCTAGTCCAGACCAGCAGCCGAAGATGAAGCCCTCTCCCACGAACTCGTCATCTGCGCCCAATCCCTGGAAACTCTTCTTCGCGGCACCGACTCTTACCTTGACACGAACTCTACCCATGCTGCCGTTGAAGTCACCATTCGTGATGCCTCCAGGGCTGCCAAAGCCGGGTCGACTGAAGCTACCAATGCTTTGCAGCAATTGGCACAGCCGCTGGAGGGTATGAACAAGGAGGAGCAGTCAACGATGTTGTTCGAGGTCCTCCAGTTGCTGGCGGCAGCCAGTACAGGAAAGGCCTTGAATGCGGGTGTGATGGGAGGGGACCAGAGGGGCTTGGAGCTGTGGGCCTCGGTGCCATCAGCAGCGCCAGAAACGTAGGTTCACTTGCCTTTTACTGAACATTGCTGACGTGAGTCCAGGACGGTGGCGGTGGCGTCAGCTTTCGCAGCCAATGAAGCTCCTACAAAGGTCAACATATCTCTCTTTGGCTACCGCGATGTCGGTGGCAAACTTTTCATACCTCCCACGGTCCGGTATGCCGCCAAGCAAATCCAGAACGAACAGTTGATGTTGGTCGAACCACTATCTATTGACGGATATGCGCCTTTCCTGGATGCTGGTGTCAAATTTGCCTACGGCGCTGATAGTTATCCCTATCGTCACAAGCGGGTGAGTGTTCGCTTTTCTTATCAGTGTCTTGCTGACACCGCCAAAGATTGCTGCGGTCCAAGCGGTATCCTTGACAGGTGCCCTTCGCCTGGCCGCTTCATTTATTGCTTCTCTCCCCAACCCTACCCCCGTCTCCTCACCCCGTCCCATTTTCATTCCCACCCCGACCTCGCACGAAGACTATAATACTCTCAAATCATCCGGACTCGATATACGGAGTTTCAGATTCTTAGATCCAAGGACTGGAGGTGTGGATTGGGAATCGTTGAGAGAAGATTTATCGGCGGCGCCGGTCAGGAGCGCGGTCTTGCTATATGTGTCGGGGAGCATGCCGAGTGGAGCAGAGCTGAGTACGACTCAATGGAGACTGATTGCGTCTATCCTGGCTGCAAGTACATCCCCATGATCCTATATTCGCGCTGACTTTTGTAGGAACGCCAAATGATACCCCTGGTAGTCATGGCCTTCCAGGGTTTGTCCTCTGGCGACACCACGCGTGATGCCCAGGCCCTCCGATTTATGGTTCACGAAGGTCTTCCCGTCGTCCTACTCCAAAATTTCGACACCACCATGGGTCTCTATGCCGACTCTCCCTCCATCGTCTCGATCGTCGTCCGGTCACCACAAGACAAGGCAAAGGTCGAGGGGCAATTGAGGAGTGTGGCCAGGGGCATGTGGGCACACGCGAGCCCGTGGGGGGCGAGGATTGCGGAACAAATCCTGACAGACGCGAAACTACACCCTGCTTGGTTGAATGAGATTGGAAAGATGAGCAAGAGGCTGATCAGTGCGAGGGGCAAGATCTTTCAGATCTTGACAGACAAGCTCAAGACGCCGGGCGATTGGGAGCATATCAAGAAGGGTACTGGAATGTACTGGTGAGTGGCTGCCTCCTGCGGGGTAAAAATAGCTAACAATTGGCAGCACGGCACTGCTACCGCCAAAGCAAGCCCATGCCTTGACGGCCAAACACAACATCCATCTCCTCCCGCGGGCGTGCTTCAACCTCGCTTGTCTCGACATGCCTTCCATCGACCTCCTCACCCGCTCTATCGACTCGGTCGTCCGGGCAGGTATACGCGAAGCCGAAGAAGCCCACGCACAGAGGCTGGCCGCCGAGCTCGCTGCCCAAGCCGCGAAAGAGCAGGCTGCGAGGGAAGAAGCGGAGCGGGAGCAGCAGAGGGAAGAGGCGGAGAGGGAGAAGGCGAGACGGGAGGACACACTCTTGATGGAGAGGAGTATTGTGCAGGCCATGGAGAGGCAGAAACAGGAAGAAGAGGAAGAGAAGAGGAAGGAGGTGCAGAGGAGGAGGGACGAAGAGATGGCGAGGCAGAGGAGGGAGAGGGAGGAGATTGCGAGACAAGCCGAAGCGATTCTGGCGACGATCCAGCGGTAAAGAGATTAGATTCTCCAATATGGTTGTATAATAATGCAATGTCTCCATTATATTGATTGCGCAAGTATTCGTGGCTGAGGAAGCAAAATAGATACATACACACCGTTGTAAAGCCTGTAAGCCTACAATGGTTTTCTAGGAATGCCAGCATGGCCATGCGACTGGTTCCCAAAACTCTCCACCCTCTTCACCATTCCACCTCATCGTGTCCATCAGATCTTTTAGATGGCGATGGCAGTCTCGAGCTTCTTGACCTCCTCCATGCACTCTTCCAGACTAGACTTGAGTTCGGCAAGGTCCTCGGCAGAGGCGGCCTCCTTACCAGCTGGTCGCTTGGCGGGGGCGGCACTAAACAAAGTCAGCATTGGGAAATGAAAGATGAGAGATGGTTACCTACCCGATGAGGACACATGAAGTAGCTCGCTTGGTACCGGCAGCAGCACCCAATTCCTCCCTGCAAAAAATCAGTACTCACTTTGCAATTATTTTTAAAACGACTCACTTGCTCAACACCCAGCAGTACTCGACACCGGCAGCCTCCTCCGCCAACAAGGGCAGATGGGAGATGACATCGATGGGAGTAATGTTGCTCGCGAGCAGCAGCAAACCCTTCTCACCCTTCCTGAGAGCCTTGACCACTTCCTTGACACCACGTTTGAGCTGACGGGCTTTGGAAGCACGCTTGACGGTCTTGTGGAGCTTCTTGGAGAGCTTCTTGCCGGCGAGGGGGGAGGCTATGGGGGAGATGGCTTCGAGGGGAACGGAGAACTCGGCCTGCACTCGTCAGCCTCTGCGCCATATCCACCACGCAAACAACGCACCTTCTTGTCGTCCTCCTCGATGCCCTCGGCGACCTCTCCAGCAGCGACGCTCTTCCTCTTTTCCTTCTTCTCCTTCTTTTGCTTCTTGAGGGCCTTTTCACCGTCGACCTCGATGGCGACGGCCTCGGCGCTGGCAGACCCGGCCTCGGGGGCGACGGGGGCGAGGTCGGCAGCCTCGGACTTGCGCTTCTTGTCCTTCTTTTCCTTCTTGGCGGGGGTGGCGGTGGATTCGGGGGCCATTTTTGTGCGAGTATACGGGTTTACAGCGCCAGAGCTGAAAGATGCACGAGAGATGGAAATTTGGGACTAAGTGGGGGGTGCAGCGAAGGGTCCCTATCGCAGTTCTGCCTGATCCGGCTCATCTCGGGTTCATCCGCGCACTCAGATATGTCCCGAGATGCAATTCTCTTTTCCATCTGCATCTCTTCTTGCTTTTTACTACCATGGCCAACGTCAGCATCCAGACAACCATCTCCCCCTTCACACAGAAGCCCGTCTGCACACGGCCCCTCCTTGCAGAGCAGGAGCTCGACGCCCTCATTGCCGAGAGCGTCAAGGCCCACAAGAGCTGGAAGAAGGTGCCCCAGGAGAAGCGTATCGAGGTTGCAAAGAAGTGGCTTGTGAGTGAGACCATAACATATAGGGGCAATGCTGACAGATCGCAGGACGAGTTTGAAAAGATTGCCGATGTCGCCAAGGAGGACATCTCTTCCCAGATGGGCAGGTGTGTTATCTACCCAGTAACCGACTTTGCTCGAGCCCAAGCTGATGCGTATTCGAACAGGCCTATCGGCCAATGCCAGGGTGAAATCAACGGTACTCTCTGGCGAGCCCGACACATTGTCGACATTGCCGCCGAATGCCTCGCCCCTATCCCTCAGACCAAGCCTCCCGTAGAGGGCCTTGAGAAGTTTATCCTCAAGCAGCCCTTGGGTGTCATTGGGTATGTCAGTCATGTCACTCTATCGCTTTGCTTACTGTAGTAGCGTCATCTCCCCCTGGAACTACCCCCACATGTGTCTTGTCAACACTGTTGTCGCTGCCATCATCTCTGGTAACGCTGTCATCCTCAAGCCTGCCCCTCAGACTCCTTCTCCCGCTGAGCGATGGGTCTCTACCTGGCAGGCTGCTGGTCTTCCCGCCAACGTTATCCAGGTCGCCCACCTCTCTCAAGAACGCACTCTTGGCCAGTTTGTGACCGACCCCAGAATCGACTTTGTGTCATTCACCGGGTCGGTGGCCGGTGGCCGAGCCGTGCAGGAGGCGGCGGCCAAGGGCAAGGGGTTCAAGGGAACGTGTCTCGAGCTCGGTGGAAACGACCCTGCGTACGTGAGGGAGGACGTCAACATCAAGTTTGCGGCCGAGCAGCTTGTCGACGGTGTCTTGTACAACTCTGGCCAGTCTTGTGCTGCTGTGGAACGTATCTACGTCCACTCTTCCATCTATGACGAGTTTGTCAAGGAGTACATTGAGGTCGCCAAGTCTTACACGCTCGGCGACCCCTCCAAGCCCGAGACCAACCTTGGTCCCGTGGTCAGCGTTGCCAGTGCCGCCAGGATCAGAAAGCAGGTCAAGGATGCCGGTAAGTGTAATGGGATTACCAGATATGCTGGAGGCTAACTTTTCGACAGTAGCCGCTGGTGCCCAGATTGCGCTTGATGAATCATTTTTCCCCGAAGCCAAGGAAGGCACCGCTCTTGTCGCCCCTGTTGTTCTGACCAACGTCGACCACTCTATGGAGATTATGACCGAGGAGACCTTTGGCCCTGTCGTTGGCATCATGAAGGTTGAGGGCGATGAGGAAGCCTTGACACTTATGAACGACTCTGTCTACGGTCTTGTACGTGCATATTGCTCTTGAAGATCGCCACTGACATGCCACAGACCGCTTCCGTCTGGACCAACCCCACCGACCCCCAATCCATCACCGTCTTCAACCAGTTCCTTGAGGAGCTCGAGTGCGGTACGGTCTACCTCAACAAGTCTGACGCTCTCGACCCATCATTGCCCTGGAGCGGATGGAAGAACTCTGGACGAGGTGTCTCTCTTTCTTCCTACATTTACGATGTTGTCAACCATACGAAGGCTGTCATGAAGAGGGTCGTTGTTCCCCAATAAACGAAGGAAAGAAGTAACGTTGGAGAGAAGTTGTAGAAAAGATGTATTACATACAGACGTCACGCTGGCTGAGATGGTGTGCGTTGGTTGTGTATTTTCTTGTTCATAATAGTATATCAAGCTATACAGTTATATCATGGCTCAAGAGCAAGATGCTACAAAAAGCCCAATAGCAAGCATTATACCTCAAGTGTACCGGCACATCCTAATTCTGCTCAATGATCGCCACCAACGCTTTTTCGTACTTGCCCGTCGTCTCGCCCTCCACGGCTCGTCGAAGAGACTTGTTGTACGAGCCCTGGTACTGATTCTTGATAGAGTTGAATCGCGGGCGATTCCAGTGGGCACGAGCGAGTCGGTAGCACCTGTCAAGCGTCAGCTTAGTCTTGTTGCTCAGACCTTGTCTACCCACAGCCTCTCATCCTTCGTGCCCATACCCGCCATAGCAGCCTGCAAAAGCTCGACATCCCTCACAATCCCATCCCCGTCCATCTCCGCACCCCTAGCGATATAGTACAGGGCGTCCTGCATATGCCCGGAGAATTCAGACTTGATCATTTTAGAGAGCTCGGTGCGGTGGGCCATAGGGAAAGCTTGGGCTACCGCTCGGAGATGGGCAGGAGAGCGCGAGCAGAGGATACCGCATATGGCGATTTCATCCTGCAAGAGGTCAGCTTGGATGCACCGCGGGAAGGCGGAAGGCGACTGACGGTTCCGATCTTGCCTGGTCCGGCTCGGTAGAGAGTTTGCACGTCTTGTTGGACGAGCTTGTGGTCGAGGTAGGGCGATTCATCTCGTTGGCCAGAGAGAGCCATGTTGAAAAGCCTGCTCTGCTTGTCAACGTTCTCCTCTAATTCCCAAAATGACTCACCTCTCAGTCTTCATGGACAGCTCTCCCCTGACCACCTGTGCTAAGTCTTTGTGGTGTGTCCTCTGATACAACTCCTTGAGCATAAACATCTCCTGATTGCTCCTTCCAAGGAGGATCTCATTCAAAAGGTCTTCGTGGGTTCCAGCACCTTTGCAAGCACGGTGTAAAAGGTGCACATCACCCGCGAGGGGACCGAGAGATATGAGAACGAGCACATATTCGAGCCTAGCAGGAGTCAGCAAAGCCAACAGAGTGGGCAGAGACGACTCACCATCCTGAGAGCTCCTTTTCCAATGTAGTCTTCAGGGGACGCCCAACAGTCTGTTCATAGGTCCTGGAGAGGACTTCCATTTGGAAAGCGTCAAGGGGCGCCAAAGTGTCGATGATTGTCTTTTCGTCCGTTCCGAATCCCTGAAACAGCGTTAGCATCGATCATACACACCGCCAGGCTCTTGGACGCGACGCCAAGACAGGCATCCCCGAGTGTACACACCTTGGTGGCCTTTCTTATCCGCTCTGCATCGAACTGAGCGTTGTAACCCGAGAGGGTGCTGGTTGGGACAGCAGGAGGAGGTGCGGGTATAGGTGCGCCGAGGTAGTAAATGGGTCCTTGGAGTTGGCCGGGGGTGAAACCTCCTTGCTGCTGAGGAGCACCCCCATAAGGCGAAGGGGCGCCAAACTGCTGAGGGGGCTGAGAGGGAGCGCCATACTGCCCTTGTGGGGGAGCGGAACCGTAGCCGCCACCCATTCCGGGAGCAGGAGAATTGAAACCTTGGTTCCCGCCATTCCACTGCTGCTGCTGGGGTGGTCCGCCGTAACCGCCTCCGTTGAATTGGCCTTGAGGGGGACCTCCATACTGTTGCTGTTGGGGAGGGGCGCCCCATTGGCCACCCTGGCCGCCCTGGGATGGGTGCTGGCCATAGTTGACGGGAGGAGGGCCGTTCTGGTAGCCCGGCTGGTATCCCTGGTAGGGAGCTTGGCCCCATTGTTGCTGTGGCTGGGCGTAGTTGTTGCCGTACATTGTAGAGATGCGGATGGAAGATGAGATAGAAATGGAGATGGATATTTGCTGTGATGACGAGATGAACGGATCACAACAAACTCGGAATCTCAAAGGAAGCGGTGCCCGGAGATCCGAGCGTGTTCCGGGCTGTTTATGTAAGCAGACATCTTCGTCGTGGATTTTGTTTGGCTCCCACTTGCATTTCAGATTGACTTCAGATTTCAAAACTGCATTCAACTCATAAAATCCACCGCCATGCCACCAAAACAGCCAGAGCCGCTTCCCATGAACAGTGGCCGCCTTGACAGGCGACAGCAAGGCCCCGCGCCCCCTCGTCGTGCCCCATTACCTCCTCGCTCTTCGTCTTCTGCTACTCGGCCGCTTGGTGCTGGGCCTATACCAGAACATGTGAAAGCGAGAACACTATGGCAGTCGTACCAGTGTACGTCACCAAGTTCTGTTTCATCAAATCGAAAGCTGACAAGGATGGTAGCATTGACGCCCAAAGCCAGGATCGGATTCGGAGTCGTCGTGGGCCTCGTGGGGATCGGAGGGATGGTGTGGGATCGGCAGGTGCTCCAGGATGAGCCCGCGAAAGAACAAAAACCACTCATCAATATGAGAATGGTTGACAGGCCTGCAAAGTAGAAGGTCGACATCTTCAGCATTGACAATATTTGTACTTTCAATCAACTGGCATGGAGCATATCCTTAAGCAAGACGTATGCATACACAAGGTACTTGTGACGAGTCAAACATCGTATGGGCATAAAGCGTAATAACAAGGTCCGATCTCGACCCAGTTAACCATGACCTATATTCGCTACGCATGGGACATCTTGCACAGATACCAACAAGACACAGCATCTATACTCAGTTGTCCAATTCGCGCCGTATTATCTCTCTCACTTCTCTCAGCCCCCCTTGCCTTCTGATTTTTCCCGGACTAGCGGGACCTGCAAGTTCACCCTTCAGTCTGCCGGGTGTAGAGGGCGAGGCTGGAAGTTGACGAGCGGGTAGCGTAGAGGCAGAAGGGGAGGCCGAGAAGCCTGTGGCAGCAGTAGGCGACAGCGGGGCAGGAACAGTAACAGCAGACGGCATCTCGATCCAGTCCTGCCTCCCTATTGTCTTGATATGCAAGAAGAAGGGGCAGAGTTCGGTAAGCATCTGCAGAGATGTCTGAGCTTCAGCAGTGGAGATGGGCGTTTTGGATGATTTGACGATGACTTCGGCTGCTTCGGCCATGGGGATTGCTTTTCTGCGGCCACGAGGAGGGGTGGGCAGAGAACTGGACCCGAGAGCTGGTCCAGAGAACATCCTGAGCGATTGTCAGTCGAGGCAATGCGCATAATCAGAAATGACTTACATCCAAACACTCTCAGCAACGCCTTCCAGTCGACTAAGAATAGATCTTCGTTTGAGTCCTTCTTGCTGACTAGACGTTGTTCCGGGGCGGCCGAAACCACCAACAGAAGAGCCAAGGGTAGACAATGAACCTTTGCCAGTAGACTTGGCTTTGATCTATGGCAGAGGTCAATCGACGTCAACCTGAAAAGCAGTGAGCGACTCACCCTCGCCATCATAGCCTTCCGCCTCTCCTCCACAGACCCAGGCCTGACGATCTTTCCTTTGACATCACCCTCCTTATCGCCAATCTCGAAGGGGTCAGACAGGCCAGCTGTCTTGGGTGAATCAAACGATGGCGGCAGGTGGTTCTTCTTCGGTGTCAGAGTCGATGTGGGCCCAGAAGAAGGCGACGTAAACGCAGCCATGAGGTTGGCAGCCGGCAAAGTAGCGGTGGGGAGGGATGGTAGAGGAAGGATGGGAATGGGCGGGATGCTCGAGCGGGTGGAATCTTCAGAGGTGCTAGGCGTAGGCAACACGCTTGCCTCGCTCGGTTCATAGCCGCCATGAAGTTTGACCCACTTCTCCAGCTTGGCACGGAAGTTATGTTCTCGCACTTCACCAGTGGCAGTCCATCTCCCGATAGCGGCGGTACCACCACCCTGACCTTGGTTCCTGAAACCGCCATCAGAGTTTGCCAAAAGCTGTCTCGTCTCTCCTTGCCGTAACTCGAGCTCGATGCCGAGACCGTGGGTGTAGATTCGACGCCCAGTAGACTGCTCCAGTGCTCTGGTCGATGTTATGAGATAGGTGGATCCGGAAACCTCCCCCGCACCAAGTGCAGGCGAAGCCGGGACGACAAAGGGGTTATCCTCATCAAGCATCGCTTTCTTGTTCTTCTCCGACACGGCCTTCTCATCCATGATCTCTTCGCCGTCCCATCCCCAAACCCAAGCCAGTCTTCCAAGTTCTTCTGGCCCGAAACGCTTCCCACAAGTCCTCTCGACAGTCTCTTTGATTGCCAAGTAGTTTGTGAGATTCGGCAGTTTGACGCTCGTGGCGGTAGACGAATGAGGCGGCAGGACGGGATGGTGGGTTGCGATATGGAGGGAGAGGGCAAGATTGAAGGCGCGGTGGAGGTTGAGGAGGGAAGAGAGGTGGGGAGGGAGAGGGGCAGCATCCGGGTGGGAGGGCAGGCCAAGAGGGACTGCAGACTGGCCGGGAAGGTTTGCGTTTCGGTGTCGGGTCGCAGGAGGGGTGGGGAAGGGTACAGGATTACTAGAAGATCCTCTCGAAGCACCAGTTCTATTCCCGTGTGAGCATACACTTTCGCCCCGCCATAAAGCGGATACGCACGCTACTCGCTTGGACGTTCTGCCAGACCTGGGCGTAGGTACAGAGCTTTCAGCAGCCTTCTCTCCTCTGCTGTCCGCCTTTCTCTTTCTGGGAGTGATGTTAGACATGATACGGGAGTTTGTTGATCAAGAAACCAGTTCTTCAAAGTACTTGTTGATAAGGGGACAGGGGTGAGGAGGTTGGTGATGGGATAGGGAACGGGACCAGCCTGTTATACTCTCGCCTGGGGGTTGCAACAGAAAACAGAGGGGACCTTACACAGTAAGGGGAGGTTATGGCTGGTGAGGAGGAGAGGAGAGGAGAGTTGGAGATTGTGGAAAGAGAAAAGATACATTCATGATCAATGTTTGGCACAAAGCAAGCCTGGCGGACATCGCCGACTGTTGACAGAATCGTGGACCGTCGGCCTGCGCATTAGGGTTGAGTGATATTGTATTGGACAATGTAAAGTGTTTGAATGAAAGCCTTGCGATACATTGATCTAGCGGATACATATTAATATCTAGCTGGCTACCGCTTAGCCCCCTCAGTCTCGTGCATTTCCTCTCCATCGGCATCCTCCAGGATTGCTTCCGGTTCCACAAAGAGCTGACCCCTACTCCCTTCCCTGGAGCCAAACTTGCCATAAGACCCGACAGCAGGAGGTGTAATCAGTGTGGGAGTACTCGTAGAGGAAGAAGGAAGATCGTCCAGACTCTGGGTTCGGAGCTTGCTCTCTTCCTCTGCTCGAGATTTTATCTCGCGGAGCTCGTGCTTTTCGGCATGCTCCTTGTCGGCCTGCGGGTTATTGTCAGCGCCTACCAGTATGAATACGATTCGTGGACCCACCTTGGAACCCCACTTTGTCCACCAACCCAATGCCGCACTCCTCGCATAAACCTCGTCAACACTCCTAGCTACGTCGCCCGCAAGCTTTTCATCCCACAATCCCGCCACCGCACACATCGGCGGGTTCTCTCCTTGCAAGTCTCGTGTCAAGAAACCATCCTTCTCGGCCTTGGCTCGGTCTTCAGTACGCAGCTTGCGCCATTTGGCGAGGTCGCGAGAGTACTTTTTGTCCCAATCGGCTCTTTTGTTGAGCCATTTCTGGACGGCGCCTTCACCGTGTACCCGCCCTATGTGCTCTCGCAAGCCAGGCTGGAGAGCAGGGACAGCGGCGATATCCTCAAATGGCCGGATATTGCCATGCGTAGAAACTCGCTCCGGCACGATGTTGACGTTTCCAAACAAGGGCTCTGTCCCATTGACCGTGACAACTCCAGTCCTTGGACCCTTATCCGCTGCACTCTCCTCATCCGTATCATTCCCATCATCAGAGGATGAATCTTCGTCCTCTTCCTCCGACTCTGCCTCTGATTGCGCTTCGCTGAAGGAAATGGGCTTGCCGTTGGCAGCAGATGCAGCAGAAGAGGTGATGATGGGCTGTGTAAGGTCGAGTGTATTCTGCTGGCTGGATGAGGTAGAGATGGCGGGCGAAGGAGGTGTAGGAGATGCAGAGTTGACGAGAGGTGAAGTGGTGTTGATAGGAGAGGGTGCGAGATTGGTCGGAGAGGTAGTAAAGCTGGTCGGAGAGCTCTTGGAGCTGTGTGCAGACTGAGGACCACCGTTGGAAGAGTCTGGGATGGTCAGGCTGGAAAGGCCGTTGGCCAGAGCGGTCTTCTTCAATGAAGCTGACGACCTAGACTTTTTGAGAGACTTGCTCGATTTCTTGTGCTGCAGCTTCTTTTCAAGAGCTTTGTGCGCAGCATTGAAAGCCCATATGTTGAAGCTACAGTGACATCAGCATACCACAGTCGCATAGCGTGAAGGAATTCACTTGGCACAAGCCCGGTACATGTACTTGCTACTTTTCGTCCAGCTCATGGTAGGCACTACATGGCAGCAACCTTCATAGATCTGCAGATGAACCTTGGTAGGCTTATAGTTTGTGATCTTTGGCACTTGATCAGGGTATTCTGCGAGGGTGGAGGAGGATGGTGGGTATCGTTCGGGGTCGGCGGCTTTGTGCGCCAAGTAGACGATTTCATCTCTGAGAAGCTCTGCGCCTCCTCCAAGCTACGTCCCGGATCAGTACAGCCGATGATGGATAGCCACTCACGACCAGCAGCGGACACAGTCCGCCCAGTGACCCTTGATTGACAGGCGATACGAGAGGATGGGTCAACAAGTCGTTGGGGCTGCACGTGCGTGAGTATGCTACTAGGCAGAGATGGTACACGTACCAGTACATCTGTACTTGTTCATCCACTCTCATGGTAGACCCATCCGCCATGGTGATGTCGATTCCGCTACCGGGGAGCGGAGGCCAAGCACAGCTGGGCTTGTAATGGAATCCCGAGGAAGGGATGAAATCACCTCCGTCCCATCCTCCAATGCTCGGCATACTATGGGTCAGGTCTACCCACGGGCTTATCAAGCTGGCGCCCGCTGGCATGGGCAAACCCATCTCTCGGATCAAGACCAGCAGGCTGACGCACATGCCGGCCCCAGCAGAATCGCCCATGAAGATGATGTTGGTGGGGAGGATGGGTTTGTGCGGGGCGGACGGCGGTGGAGAGATGAGGTAGAGGTAGGAGGCCAAGCAATCCAGGAGGCCGCAAGGCTGGGAAGCATTAGCCAAGGCAGTCTTATGAAAAGAGGGGCATACGAAGGGGTACTGTGGGGAAAGACGGTAGGCTGGAGAGAAGGCTCTAGCACCGGCTTTGCGGGCGTGGCGCTGCACTTGGTATCTATGGGTCTCGAGAGATGAGAAGAAGAAGGCGCCGCCTAAACATATCAAATCAGCGCACTCCTTGTCAGAGATCGACGACTTACCGTGGATATACAGGATGATCCGATCATCACCGACTTCTTGACCGGAATTGTCGACAACACTTGCGGTCGTAGACTTTCGGCTTGGGAGATACTTGTTTGTCCAAGTGACAGTGTTGGGGCTGACAGGCGAGGGTGGAACCGGTGACGACGCTTCAGCAGAAGCACTAGCTGGAGGCTTTGGCTGGGTCCTTTTCAGATAGTCTTTCTGCATCTAGGAAGGGTCAAGCTGCATCTTGATTGAGATGATCAAAAGCCTTACCTCGATCCATTCGCCTTCCAGAGGCTTGCGCCGGACTCTCCACCATTTGTCACCACCAACTAACTGGATTCCCCCACCATTCTCGCCTGCCATGCCATATGTTGACAGATGTTTGGCAAGAATAACTTCAGCCTCGCGCATATTCTCCTCAGGTATAAGGACGACATCTCTCTTGACCCAATCTAGCCCGCCTCATCAGCGGCCGCCTCCATTCTGATACTGACACACTTACGCGGCGTAGGCACCCACATAGCGGTGAACGCTTGAACCTCCTCTACGCCATGATGGCTCGCAAAGTCCAAGAACCGCCTGACCACCTTGAGCCCCTCCTCATAGGTTAGCTGGTTCTCGGGGCCCCCGCCTGGGCCACCAGACTGGAGGGAGCGCTTGGTCTCGCTCTTGCGCTTGCGGCGATGGAGGATGTGGGAAAAGAAGGTGGAGATGACTGTGGGAGTTGTAGCTAGCGCTACTGACGGGGTGCCGTAACCAGTCATAGCTGGACGTCGCTGCAGTGATGTTGAGGAGTGTGGTGGGACAGTGGCCCGTTGAGACTGGGACTAGCTGGAGACGGGAGAGATACAAGTCGAGAATAAGAAGGAATATAAAGGGAGTAGAAGGGATTAAGAAGACTACTATTGATAGAACGATGAATAGATCTGTGCCACTTAGGGTTCATATTGAGTCATCGTTCGTTCCTTGGCCGTGTGTTTACGCTTCAATCACGGGACCAAATAACAGCAGCATGACGCAATACGTCCAAGTTTGACGGAATTAATTTCGATGCGCGGTGACCCGAGGCTGAAGTTATTCTTGCCAAACATCTGTCAACTACAACTTCGAATGTAGGAGGTACGCTCAGCACGCGTAGTGGCTGAAGACCTGGGCACTGAAGTCAGTACAGGCCTGAGTTCATATGCTGCGCGACTCACGACGTGACCTCCAACATCCCAGTAGAAACCTCACCCGAAGCATCTGAATTCTGACCCGTTTAAGCCTGCTAACGTCGCTCTAGCATACCAACATCATCGGACCCCGCCAATACAACACTAGTCTACTGCTGCTTCAGTATGTTTGTGGGTATAGACCTGAAACTTTCGAGAAGCCACGTGTAGACGGGTTGTAAGTCATTCAGTTATGAACTGGAAACGGAGCCATGGTCGAGATCGACGAATCCCTCTGAATGCTATGCGATAGATCGCCTGGCTTTCTCTATCCCGATACACTCGGTGATCCGGTGCACTTGAGCCTTCTCACCTGCATCCTTCTGAGCCTATCGCCGTCAACACAGAGGAGGCTTTGCGCGAGGTGCTCCGTGCGGGCCGAGGCTTGTTGCCGGCGTTCGCTGCGATCAGAAGACGCTTCACTTGCTCGTCCATCATCCATCACATCACCAGCCCATCGCCCACCGCCCAGGACCTGCCCCTCTTCCCCGCCGCACTCAGAACAACGCTACTCACCCACCCAGGCCCTCCTTTAACGATCGCCGTTCATCTCCTCTAACGTCACCAACACCGACTACAGCGACCGGTCTTCCGAGGGTACCGACTTTGCTGAACGCGGGGGGATACCGATGAGGCGTCGGAAGGGGATCAAGTCGTATCCGAGGCCAAGCGCGGAGATGAGATGGCCGGTTGAGTAATTTCCGCTTGGACCGCTGGGATGCGCCCTTCTTCCACATTCTCCCCACCGACTTTGATCTTTCTCTCTTTCTTCTTTATCCCATCTTCCAACAATCTACCCATAACAGACATGCCGGAGTTCTCGTCCAACCACCATCCAAATCAGGCCAGCGTCAGCCTTACAGTGTCATTCCAGGGCCGTGCTGACTGGAACCCATTAGCTGATAGGTTGGATCACCCCCACCCTCTCTTCTGCGGCTTCCCAGCCATCCTACTCAAGCCTGACCGAAGCACTCGCCGACAGAAACGCCAAGAGAGTTGCCACTCCCTCCTTGGAAGCACACGGCGTACGTTTCGGTAGCCCCTTCGCCCCAGACATCGCTGACAAGCCAAAAGTCTACCGCCAAAAAGTCGAGAATGAGAGGAGATGAATCGAGCATCGTAGGTCCTTTCGCCTCGTCAATGAAACATAAGCTGACCCGCCTCCATCAGAATCCTCCCACGCCCGAAACGGCCCCACGTCATCCAATCGCCTCGACCCAGGACGAGCCTGACCCCGACTCCGACTCCGACGACATCTCGTCAGACGAGGATGACAACGGGGACGACGCCGACTCCGACGACGGCCAGTCCGGTGAACTGGGCGACGGCTTTGCGAGGTGCATGAGGGCGGAAGAGATGCCTTCTACGAACCTGCCAGTCACGGGAGACGACTTCTGGATGAAGTATCTCGTCAGGCCCATCGAGAACCACGCATATCGCCTGGGCTTAAAGCCAACCCCACTACTCGACGCCACGCACAAGCGCCTTTCGGAGGTCTTGGGCTTCGTTCTGAGCAGCAAGCACGTGAATTACTTCTGGACTGTCAACCCGATGTTCAAGGGAATTCGGGAGCGGCTGCTCGGGCTGTTGGGGCTCTTCATGCCGAAGAACGTCAAGAGCTCCTGGCAAGCCCAGAGCCCCCATCCGGCGCCCAGATCCGTTCCCTCATTGATGCCAACGGTGTATACTGTAAGGAGCACGGGGTCCGATTGGACAAGCTAGAGGGCCGTGGCGAGGTGCAGAGACGCTGTCTTGGTGTGTACTGGAAGGTGGCATTGCCAAAAGGCAATGTCGACTCTGAAGATACCGACTATGACGACATCGATGAACAAGATGCCGAACATCAGTATAGCGTTCACCACCACCCGCCCCCGCCTATACGCATATATAACGGACAAACGGCGAAGGTGATCCCCTCTGGCAACCCGATGGGGTTCCGAGCGCGATGGAGAGAACATGTGAGGGAAGCGTACTGTCATGACGAAGCGAATGCGCGAGACAGGTGAGTTCAATGACGCTTTAGCCTTGATATGAACAATCTAAAAGGCGTGCAGTCTCTTCACGACAACATTCATCAAGTCCTAACCGGTATATCTCATGGCTTTCGCCGCCATCGTCGCTGTTCCGGTACCCAAAGGTACCGAGCTCGATACCCAGCGTCATTGAACCCACCTGTCTCGCGCATCCGCTTCGTCATGACTGTACGCTTCCCTCACATGTCCTCTCCATCGTGCTCGGAACCCCATCGTCTTGCCGGAGGGTTTCACGGTCGACGTTTGTCCCGTGTATAAGCGTACCAGGGGGGGGGTGTGAACTTCTGCATCTTGTTCGTTGGCTTCTTGTTCGTTGGCTTCTTGTTCGTCGGCTTCTTCGTCGTCCGTATTCTCAAAGTCGACATCGTCTTCTGGCAACGCCACCTTCCAGTACGCGCCAATACAACGACTCTGAGCCTCGCCACGGCCCTCCAGCTCGTCTAATCGGTCCTCGTCCTCGTTACAACATACGCCATTGGCTTCGATGTGGGAATAGATTTGGGTGGTAGAAGGGGGCTCTGGGCCTGCTAGGAGCTCTTGGAAGTTGGTCGGCATGTAGAGCCCCAACAGCCCGAGCAGCCGCTCCCAAATTCCCCTGGACATTGGGTTGACAGTCCAGAAGTAATTCACGCGCTTGCTGCCCAGAACGAAGTCCAAGACCTCCGAAAGGCGCTTGTGCGTGGCGTCGAGTAGTGGGGTTGGCTTTAAGCCCAGGCGATATGCGTGGTTCTCGAGGGGCCTGACGAGATACTTCATCCAGAAGTCATCTCCCGTGACTGGCAGGTTCGTAGAAGGCATCTCTTCCGCCCTCATGCACCTCGCAAAGCCGTCGTCCAGTTCACCGGACTGGCCGTCGTCGGAGTCGGCGTCGTCCCCGTTGTCATCCTCGTCTGACGAGATGTCGTCGGAGTCGGAGTCGGGGTCAGGCTCGTCCTGGGTCGAGGCGATTGGATGACGTGGGGCCGTTTCGGGCGTGGGAGGATTCTGATGGAGGCGGGTCAGCTTATGTTTCATTGACGAGGCGAAAGGACCTACGATGCTCGATTCATCTCCTCTCATTCTCGACTTTTTGGCGGTAGACTTTTGGCTTGTCAGCGATGTCTGGGGCGAAGGGGCTACCGAAACGTACGCCGTGTGCTTCCAAGGAGGGAGTGGCAACTCTCTTGGCGTTTCTGTCGGCGAGTGCTTCGGTCAGGCTTGAGGAGGATGGCTGGGAAGCCGCAGAAGAGAGGGTGGGGGTGATCCAACCTTTCATCTAAGGTGTACGACGATGTGCGCGAACAAGTCGCAGCTGAGAGCTCACGTACGTATCGGCTGGTGGATAGCTCGTCAAAACGCTAATGGAAAGCACAGATGAAGATATGTCACTGAGAGAAGACAATGCCGTGTACGATCAAGGCGTGCAAGAAAATGTTTGCGAACAACAAAGGAAAGTTGAACCAACATGTACGTATCAGCCGGAGAATTGCCCATCAAAACGCTAATAGAAAGCACAGGTACATGAAAGAACGTCATGAAGACGCAAAGGTGCATGAGGGGTGTCTAAAAACATTTGGGAACGAAACTCAAATGAGACGACATGTACGTATCGGCCGGCGGATTGCTCGCGGAAACGCTAATGGAAAGCACAGTTGAAGGACACGCATGGACCCAAGAATGTAAAACGCGGTTGTCCACTGATGTTTGCGAGCGAAAGAAAGATGAACCATGTACGTATCGGCCGGTGGACTGCCAATCAATACGCTAATGAAAAGCATAGTTTGAGGAGGAGGCGCAAGCACTAGTTTAGAAGCCGATGCGTCGTTGGTGGGAGATTGGAGAGTGGCGGTATATTCGAAAGACCGGAGAGAGCGTTGGTGTCGCGGCGATATAACAGCTTCAAAGGGAACAATGGCTGTACATCGATGGGCGTAGCGATATGTAGCGACATGTTGCATGTATGGGGTAGTGCAGCTAGGCAAGAATAGACAAAACAACTGAATAGACGGACAGAGGAGGCAGAAATGGCATGCCGCGGCCGCCGGATAAATGGGTGCTGTTCCGTGCCTTTTGATTACGCTTCCATCACGGGACCAAATATTGGCGGCATGACGTAATACGGGCTCTTGGCCGGCCGAGATACACTAGGAAATGCTGTTGACATTCTCATCTTCACGCACAATGGCCCTCCCCCAGGCAGACGCACACGGCACAGTGTCTACCAAGCACAAGAACCCCCTCCACAGGATCCGCAACAAGGTAGACAACCTCTCCTCAAACGTATCCCGCCTCGGCATCGCAGTCTCCACTACATGGAACCCCAACCACCGCCACGACGAGGAATGGGAGAAAGAGGTCGACGCAAAGATGGAGGCCATCCGTGACTCGCACAGGTTCAGAAGCTTTGCTGGCGAGCGGAACGACAACCTCGTGAAGTGGCATGTCGACGGCCACGACTACTTCTGGGCGCTGTCCGAGGCCATTGACGGCGCAAAGGAGGTGAGCGCGGCAAAATCATGACGGTCTGTACTGACTGTCTACAGAGCATCATGATTCTCGACTGGTGGCTCTCTCCCGAGCTTCAGCTCCGTCGACCGGCTGCCAAGTTTCCCGAATGGCGACTCGACCGCCTGCTAAAGAAAAAGGCCGAGCAAGGCGTCCGCATCTACGTCCAGGTCTACAAGGAGGTCGACGTCTCCATGACTTTGGCTTCCAAGCACACCAAGCATGCGCTCGAGGACTTACACGAGAACATCACCGTGGTTCGGCACCCGGACCACAGTGGTAATGAGATCGGTAAAAAATCGTCCCACCAGATCGATAATCGCTGTGGCTAACTCACATGTCGCTGTAGTGTTGTACTTTTCCCACCACGAAAAGCTCTGCATCGTGGACAGCACGATTGCCCTGATGGGCGGTCTCGATGCGTGCTTTGGTAGATGGGATACCCACAACCATCCTCTAGCCGATGTCCACCCGACCGAGTTCTGGAGGACGCTGTTCCCCGGACAAGACTACAACAATAACCGAGTCATGGATTTCCAGACTGTGGACAAGTTTGTCTCCAATGCGCTTGCCGTACAAGAAACTCCCAGAATGCGTAAGTGAGATTCGTTCGGCGCTGTGGAGCATGCTGATGGGTCTGACAGCTTGGCACGACGTGTCGCTGTCCATGATTGGCCCCTCGGTTGTCGACCTGGTCCAGCACTTTTGCGAGCGATGGAACTTTGTCAAAAAGTTCAAGTACAAGTACAACCACAAGGTGGAGTGGCTTTCTCTTCCTCAACGTACGTTCCGAGTAGCTACAGGGACAGAGCTGACTTCGTGCAGCCTGGGAGAATATCTCCTCGATAGAGAATCAGGAAAAGATCGAGGCCGAAAACGAATTCCGTCTCAACCACCCTCATCTCGCAGAGTGGAAGGAAGCCGGTCGCCAATTCTTCCATCCTTACCATTTCCCGCCGTCCGACCTCCCCCGAGCGGACGAAGCTGTGCCCCACGGTACCTCGCGGGTGCAGGTACTGAGGTCTGCTGCTGACTGGAGTCACGGTATCTTGCGTGAAGACAGTATCCAGCAAGCCTATATTGGCTTGATTGCGGAAGCGAACCACTGTATCTACATCGAGAACCAGTTCTTTGTTACCACCTGCAAGGATGGGCAGCCGGTAGAAAACCTCATTGGATTGGCCCTTGCCCGGCGTATCATCTCGGCTGCGAAGGATGGCAAAAAGTTCAAGGTCCATATCCTGATTCCCGCCGTCCCGTGAGTTGTTTTTGACTCTGCGCGTACACCATTCCTGACTCTATTGCAGCTGTTTCGTAAGACTACATGACCTTCTTGCTGAGCTACAACTGACACGCCGCAGCCTGGAGATATCTCTACCCAATCTGGAATCAAGGCCATCATGGAGGCGCAGTATCGATCTATCAACAGAGGTGGCGCGTCCATCTTTGAGATGGTCCGCGAAGCTGGCTACGATCCGTGAGTCAACGTTCGCCGAGGAAAGAATTGCGCTGACCTTGGTGCCAGCGAGGAATACATCTCCGTACGTGCAGCCCCAATGCAATCGCCATCATGACTAACACACGCCCACAGTTCTGGAATCTGCGATCCTACGACCGCATCAATTACCCTTACGCCCGCATTAAGCGTATGGAAGAGCGCTCAGGCGTCACATTCCAGGAAGCCCAAGTCGCCCTTGCCAAGATCTACGTTGGCGGTGCGGACGTCAAGGGCGACGTGGACGAAGTCGTCAATATCGAGCAGCCGCACGACCAGACCACTGGGGCTGAGGATATCGGAAAGAAGGAAACGCAGAAGGCGGTCAAGCTGCCCAAGACGGTGGAGGAAGCAAGGGCGATCATCGAAAAGTTTCAGGCGGCTGCGGCGAATGACGATAAGCATGTGTCTGACAACGGTGAGCTATAGTGTGCGAGGTATGGGTGCGTTATTGACATGATCCATAGTCTGCCAGCATGCCCTTCAGGACAAGACCACCTTGAACGACGAGCAATGGGACGGTTCAGAAGAGGAAGAGCTTTCTTGCTTTGTCTCCGAGGTGGGTCCCGCTCTTCTTTCTCTCATGACTATCCTGACAAAAGCACTAGCTGCTGTACATCCACAGTAAACTCATGATCGTTGACGACCGCCGAGTCATCTGTGGTAGTGCCAACATCAACGACCGATCCATGAAGGGTGATCATGATTCAGAAATTGCCATCGTCATTGAAGACTCCACCATGGTGGAGTCGCTGATGGATGGCAAAAAGTATATGGCGTCTGCGTATGCTACTACCTTGCGACGAAGTCTCATGCGAGGTATGCACCCAAAGTATGAATGGGAAAGAATGCTCACACGAGGTATACAGAACACCTCGGTCTCTTGCCCCATCAAGAAGCCTTCGACGACGATACTCAGCCCACTGCGTCTATGCATCCGGCCCCCACGCCTCACGTTTACGACTTTGGCTCTAAAGAGGACAAGATGGTCGAAGATGTCTTGTCGGACGAGTTTCTGCAGTTGTGGGTGGAGACTGGTAGGAACAATAGGGTTATCTTCGAAAACATTTTCAAGCCTGTAAGTGAAGATGGAGACTTGACTGTGGCAATCATGTGCTCATGGGTGAACAGGTTCCGGATGATAGCATCCACAACTGGGAGCAATACAAGGAGTACCTCAAGCCCCACACCGGTGTTTCTGTGCGTCACGGCGATACTTGTTGAGATGGAACACAGCTGATGGACATTCTAGATTGGCCACGTTGTCAACAAGGACTTGTCGCTCCAGGAGGTCAAGGACCAGCTCTCGCGCATTCGAGGTCATCTCGTCGACATGCCCATCAATTTCTGCCAAGTGAGTATAGCGTTACATTACAACCGTGTCGCGCCTTGTGCTGATGGCTGTTGCAGGACCTGAAGTGGATGACCGAGGGAGACTGGATGACTGTCAACCCTTACACCAAGGCGCTGTATGTCTAGGCCATGATAGCAAACTTGATTGAATTCGGATTTTTCAGGCACTTTTTGAGAAGGGATATTTATATATTGAAATCGTCTTTCCGGCTCCGGGATGATGTGACTGTACACGATTGAATGGATTTTGATCAATAAAGATATGTATTTGTTGAAGCCAAGGAGTGCCGTCGTCTGTTGCTCGCTTGTGGTGTTTCCAAAGTTCCATCGATGCATATACCGTACAATCCTGCTCATACACATGCCTAGTGGGGGGCGTTGTAAGCCGCCAGAGCATCCGCCTTCTCTTGAGCGGTGAACATGCGAGGCTATGGACCATTGTCAGTTGATGTGCATAGACCAAGTCAGTCGGCTCAGATGACTCACGGGAATGTTTCGTTCCCTGTTGAGAGCAATAGATAGAGCACATGTCAGCAATGGACCGGGATACAACGTCAGGGGACCGAAACGTTACTGACCATTTCGTACCATCGGGGAACAAAGGTGCTTGAGATAAGTCAGCATGATCCCTTTTCTTCTGCTTTTTTCATTACTCACGTCTGTATGGGTCGGGATGGATCTCCTTCTCAAGTCTGGCCTCTGCTTGTTCAAGGACGATGGCAAGGGCTCGAGGGTCGGTGATGTTCCTATGCCAGTTGTCAATCGAGGTCGACCGCGGTAGACGAATGGATGATCAAGGTAGGACTGAGAGCGGCATGACTTCTCCTGTATTCCACTTGGCGACCTCAAGATGTCCTGAAGCCACCTGACCCTCTCTGTTGCTCCGCAATCGATACCATCTGCCCTGCGTGTCCCAGCCATGCCGCTCTCTACCAGCTGCAAGCCCAGCCTATCCACCCAAAGAGCCGTCCAAGACCCACCTGTTCCTCTCAAACTCGGCCCTGATCTCAATGGCCCTTTCTCTCCACAGATCTCTCCTGATATACCAATTCAACGAGTTGACGAGATATCGCTTGTAGAGCGACTTGACGTAAAGCCTGTAGTTTGCGCCTTCTGTCAGCTTGATTTTCGAGCGGAAAACTGGTACTGAGGGGCGAGGGGGGCTGACCTGTGGGCGTTTGAGAAGGCTGTGGGAGGGCCGGCCATGGTGGGATGTGGATGGGGAGAGGGGGATGTGAGTATCAGGCAGACGGTGATAGGTCGCCCTTTGCAAAGCGTCAAAGGCGCAGCGCCTAACTCCTCAAGGCGCGCAGGGTAAACCAACTTGGCTCTTCGGCTACAATATTCTTCTTATGCATCTTATATCGTGCTGTCTGCCGACCATGTCTGGGGATGGGGCACGGTAGACAAGGCAGAGGTAATGGTACATGTAGATAGCGAGAAAATGTACGGTAATTGACGCTCTTGGCTTCCATTCCTGACCGCCATCGACCTGTAGATTCCTTCTGCTAGCACATCCTGATACATCCAAGCCCCTGTATCTGCTGTGCATACTTGACAATGGAGCTACCCATGCAGCGGAAACACAAGTCAAGATACGGATCTGAATGCGGTTACACTTACAGCGGTGCCCGCCACGTCGCGCGTTCTTTCCCTCGCTCAGTCGCTGGAGCATTCTATTCTCTTCTTGCTTTCCTCTCCATCTCACTCAAAATCTGTATTTCAGCCACCCCCAGCCATGCCTCCCCCTACCGCCACCCAGAAGCCCACTGCCCCCGCCCCTGCCAAGAAGGGCGGCGAAGACAAAAAGTCCACCCAGCTCACCAAGCCCGACCAGGAAAAGTACAATGCTGAGCAGAATTCTATCAACGAGGAGATTGCAGAGGTCAAGGCCAAGCTCGTGAGTACATGCTGTCGGTTTGCACCTGATGCACGAGCTCATGCATCGTTTTCCGCCCTTGCCCTACCCATCCCCGTCGCTGACCATTGCAACTCAACACAGGACGCCATTCGCTCCCGGATCGCCCTCTCCCAAGCCCCCACCTCCAACGACAGACGTTCCGCCATCAAGAGCGAGCTTGACTCTCTCCGAGGCGAGCAGGCCAAGTTCAGGGGCGACAGGAACAAGCTCTTTGAGGACATGAAGCGCCTGCAGGAAAGTGTGCAAAAGAAGATCAAGGAGGTGCAGGGGTCTAGGGGCAAGCTTGTTTACAGGACTGTGTCCGAGGTCGACGCTAGGATCGAGTGAGCATCTATCAGTGTTACGGCGTTGTGTGAGCTGACAGCAAGCAGGGAGCTTGACAGACAAGTCGAGTCTGGCAACTTGAAGCTCGTTGACGAGAAGAAGGCCCTCCAGGAGATCTCCAACCTGAAGCGGTCCCGAAGGACCCTCGAGGCCAATGGATCCATTGACGATAGCATTGCTGCCGACAAGGCCCGAATCGAAGATCTCAAAAAACAGCTCGACGACCCCGAGGCCAAGAAGGTCAGTGAGAGATTCGATGAGCTGAAGAAGGAGATGGACGCTTTGAGAGAGGACAGTAGCAAAGCGTACGAAGAGCGGGGCAAGCTTTTCGATGAGAGGAACGCTCTCTCCGCCGAGATGGTAGGTTGATTCCCTTCTCTCGCCCATACTGGTACTAATATGGTAACAGGATGAGCTGTACAACAAGAAGCGTCAGTCTGCCCAAAAGTACCGGGAAGAAAACGACAAGTACTATGCCAAGGTCCAAGCCGACAGACAAGCCCGTCAAGAGCGTTTCAAGGCCGACAAGGCCCGTGAGGAGGCCGAGCGACGCGAGGAGGAGATTGTCCGTCTCCGTGAGGAGGCCAAGATTCCCGCTTATGCCTCCGAGATCGACGACACTGGCGTTCTGATCAACTGGTTCAAGGGAAAGTATGGCTCTGGCGAAGTCCCTTCTACCCACGCTGGCGGTAAAGGTGTCGGCAACGTCGTGGAAGGTGTCAAGCCTCTGGAGACCCGAAAGGTCGATGACGAGGCTTTCAAGGGGATGACTTTGAAGAAGAAGGGTGAAGACGACCTTGCGGGCTTCTTTGGTGGTAGCGGAAAGAGCAAGAAGAAGGGAGGCAAGAAGGGCAGCACAAACGGAAGCGGTACCGCTACCCCAGTCAGCCAGGACGGCGAGAAATCAGGCAAGGAGGCTGCCGTCAACCTCCCCATGTCGCTCTTGAGCGCTCTCTTGAGCTTGGGCATCCCCCCTCCCAGTGGAAAGGATGATGTACAGAGGACTATCGATGACTTGGAGAAGAAGAAGGCTTGGTTCGAAGCCAACTCTGCTGCCAAGACAAAGGTGCGTTCTTTGCTCGTACAAGTCGTGGAATGGACTGACTTTATTCCCGCAGGCTGAGATCGAGCGAGTGGAGAAGGTCGTGGCCAAGCTCCAGAAAAAGAATGCTGCGGCTGTCGACGAGGCTTCTGCCGAGATTTCCGAGAAGGGTGGTCTCCACGAGCCTTTGCACAGTGAGCTGGAGCGAATGTCCATCTTCCCGAACACAAGCTTACCAAAGTTGCAGCTGTTGCCGTTGAGGGTTCTGCTACTGGTCCCGAAAAAGTTCTCGATGAGGGAGAACAGGTCAGTACTATGATTCTCTGCAACAAACAGAAATTGATGCGACATCGTAGCTTCCTACGAATGACGACGAAGCCAACGAGGTAAAGAAGGTGGACTCTAAGCTCGAAGAAGCGAAGGAGACTCTTGAGTCTGAGGAGTAGGGTAAAAGTTGCACCTGTCATCCGGGGGGTATGTGGGGTGTGAGGATAATCTCGAACGAAACGGGACGTTCTGTGATGCTCAAAATATGGTCGGCGTTTTCTATACGACGACGCTGAAATGAATATCGATGCCTCTGTGACCTCTTTGACTTTGAGAGTGCCAATACCCACACTACCAACAGCTAATCCACAGAGGCTGACTAATTTGGATCCGAGCAAAACTGGCAGACTCAAAACCCTCGGTTATTCGCTATAGGGCTGTATGCATGATGACCCGATGAAACGTCCGATACACGGCGTGTATGCGATGGAATGAAAGGGCGAGGACAAATTGTTAGAACCAGAGTGGCCATATCAAGTTAGGGGTAGAGAGATAGTATTATACAAGCTACGTATGTATATTATAGCTGAGATTGTGGCAAAATATCGTTCGGACAGATGGGCCGCTCCCATGATGACAGTCATAAAATCATTAATCATTAAACCCGTTCCAGAGAGACGAGGACTTTGAGCCAGGACCTATCGATACCGGCCTGACCTTCTTCCCGAGACTTTTAGTGCGGCTTCCTTGTCGCCTCAGAAGCTCAAGGTCCATGGCCTGACAAGTATCCAAGGTAGATGCAAGCTTGCGAGAAGACTCGATGGCCCCGAGAATTTTGTGATGTGTAGTAGATGCGGGAGGGATCTTGGTAGACAGCTCCTGAAATAGCAACTTGTACCTTGAAGCTCGTTGAACGGGCATCATGATCTAGCACGACTGTCAGCTGCTTCAAAGACGGGTTAGATACAGAACACCCACAATATCAAGGTAACCCAATCTTTCATCTCCTTCTTCCCCATCAATTTCTTCCTCAACACCCCTCCCCCTCCTCCGTTCTTCGTCCATCGCTCGATTCAGGTCCTCCATGATGCCACTGATGACTACACCTCCCACCTCGCTCGCCCACAAGCCAACCTCTCGGCTCATGTCCTCCTCCATCTCAATGAATGCCTGCGAGACACCGTAGGGCGAAGCGTCGTTCGAGAAGGCATTGGATAGCTTGATAGACAAGTCCAAAAGGGTTGGCAGACGGGCGATCAACGTGTTCAGCGCCATAGCCGCCGACCCCTGAGAAGATAAGGTGGTAGATGATGTAGAAATGGGCGTGGGCGACGGGGGAAAACCTGGGTTTCTCAATGCTGTGGGCGAAGGTGTGAGAGCATGAAGGCTACCAGCCAAAAGCTGAGGATTGCGATCCGTCAAAGAATTTCGACGTTTCTTCAAGATGGAAGGGACGCTGCCCGTACGATAGTGACTCTTTTGTCGAGGTACTGAGGGCACAGCAGGAGATGGACTCTCCAAAGCCGAGCGAGACCCGAAAGTAGCTGAGCGGGCAGCCGGCGTGACAGGGGACGGAGGGGCAAAGTCCTTGCCTTTGAACTTGTTCGTAGCCGCCATTGCTTTGGCGACCTAGATAACCAGTCAGAATGATATTTCCGCCAGAGGAAAGTTGATGCTCACCCTCAGACCTTTGGCCAACAGCTTGGCATGTCGACTCTCACCCTGCACAATCTCTCTCGTCACAAACCAGGCGGCAATGCTAGCCTGCTTGGCCTTTTTCTCCATACCTTCCCTATCTCTGCCCTTGGACCGCATGAGCACATGTCCATCATCCTCACCTTCCTCGGCGCTCGTCGGATTGCTCGCCTCGGGAGATACCAAAGAGATTCCGCCCCCCAATGCTTTCCGAGCCCTCGGATCATTCTCAATCCTCGCAAACTCTTCCAACATGTGGGCGAACTCTCTGTCATCCTTGATGTGCACCAAGCTTTGCCTGTAGCGCCTTCGGACTTCGTGCGCGTGGCGTTCGTGATCATCAGGCCCCAAATGGCGTGTCCTGTTCCGAGGACTGGAAGGAGCAGAAGGCGAGTAAGGTCGGGTGGGAGCTGCGGTGTGGAAATATGAAGGTAGGGAGAGGAGCTCTGGTGGGGTGTATGGACCGAGAAGCGCGGGCCAGTAAGGTTGAGGCTGGTCAGAGAGGAAGGAGACGCTACGCGTCGCTCCTGCATTTTCGCCATACGGCTCCCCTGTCTCCGCACTGGAGCTAGAGTCCATCCGAGGTACAGCCAGCTCGGCGCGAGAAGCCCCAGAACTGGGCGTAGCCGTCGCCGGTACGAGATCGGTGGAGACGAGAGCAAAAGGCCTAGCAGTTGGCACCTCTTGTGCGGAAGGCGGTGACCTCTTCTGGCCAGGCAAAGACTTGCTTCGGCTGATCTTGGTAGAGGCAGTCTCCTTTTCGCTCGTGGCCTTTCTCGCTGGTACAATTGCAGGTCGAGCCGAGCCACCCTTGACCGGACTTTCGGCTCCTATCGACATCTGGAGCTCTGGAGCAGCAGTAAAGATCCCACTCTTCCTCTTGAGCGCAGACCCAAAGCTCTGCCTTTTCATCTCCTTCATCTGCGGCACTCCGCCAAGCCCTAGTCCGACCCCCCACTCATTCGGTTCTCCAGGCCCACTAGCCTCGCCATCCGCCACTGCCCCATCACCTTCTCCATCTACATCATCCGCCACGGACATTGAACTTTTGTGCCTTCTTCTCTTCTTCGGGCTCTTACCGATACTCATTCGGCGGAGCATGTTGCCGATACTGAGCGTGCGTTCCATCTCGACAACTTGGTCACTGTGCTGCTCGCCGGGAGAGCTGGGGAGAGTAGCATCTTGGGAGGTTGCGACTCTGAGGGATTCACGGCCCGCGCTTGCGGAAAAAGACCCGTTTCGAGGTAGAGATGAGCGGCGGGGCGAACGCTGAGGCCGGTCTTGTTTGTTTGGCGAAAGATGGGGAGGGATAGGAGCGGGACGAGAATGGTATTCTCGTATCGGATAGCCAAGCTGAGGCGATGAAGAATTGACATCTCCCAGAACTCTACGGCCTGAATGCGACCGGGGGCTACCTTCAGGTTTTTCCACAAGCCCAGCAATGTGCTCTTCAGGGGCTGAACTACGTCTGGCCCCAGTGGATCCCGGGTGGCTAGGAGACAGCAACACCTGCTGGGCGCGAGTCACGACGGCGGGCGTGGCAGTAGCCACCTCACCGAGGCTGTATATCGAGTTGGTACCCAGGCTGTTGGCGAATGATGCTGCGCGGGGCCTACTGAGCCTACTGACGCGAGCGGGAGTGGAAAAGTCGTCTGAGAACGTATCACCGTTGAGAGGGGTCATAGTCTCCAAAGGAGATGATGGAGACAATGGAGAAGCAAGCCTGTCGATTCGCCTTGGTGTAATCTTTGGACTCTCAGAGTCTGCAAATGTCTGCAGGCCAAGGTCGGCTGCGCTCGTTTTGATCCTGAGAGCCTTGATAGACCCGTTGGGAGTGGCAGTCTTGGACGAGCCGCCCTTGGACATGGGCGAGTTGCTGGACATCCTAGAAGTCTCCATATCCCCGTCATGGTCATGATATCCGTCAATGCCCTCGAAAGGGATCTTGGCCAGCTCAGTCCCTCGTAGAGAGTCCCACATCGAAGAGCTCATTGTATCCCGCTGCGATCTGTCGGAAGGGGTGACGATGAGAGCAGACTCTTCGGTAGAAGGGTATGCAGCCGAGGACGCTGAGCCGTGGCTGGTCACAGAGGAAGGATTCCTGTTTAGCGACGAGACGTACTCTGGATCGGCTGGTGCTGCGCCCTCCGGAAGGGGGAGGCTGTTTATGATTGGAGATAAGGAAGGTAAAGGAGGTACAGCAGGGATAGGGCTACCCCCAGCGTTGGCAAAAAGGGTAAGGATCTGGGGTGGCGATCGGGGATAGTTGGAGGGGCTGGTAGAAGAGGAGCGAGCGCGGCGAAGTTGTAGTTCTGTGGGATCGTTGGGAGAGGGCGAGAGAGCGTTGACGGGAGAGGAGGTTTTGTCGGTGACCATGGACTTTGGTCTCCTCTTTGTCAACTTGGAAGAGCTACTTTCTTGGGCGACAGGGGCAAGAGGTGAAGATTGTCTACAAGACTGGGAGACATCTGGTGAAACGACTCTTGAATACGAGACAGCAGTAGGCAAATCGTCGGTGGACAGTGCCAGCCCCACCTGAGAATTCGAAACGTGCAAACCACTCTGACTACTCGAGCTGAACGGGGCGTGGGCAGGCCAGGCAGCCATCGGCGAGGGCTCGCTGAGGGGTAGGGCAGGGCGTGGTACCGGCTGTAACGGCGGTACGGAACTGCGCGGCAGAGGCGAGCTGGCATGAGAAGGATCAGCGACACGAGCGCAACATTGCTGATAGCACGCACCTCGACGCCTTGTTGGCCTCTGACTCTGCTTCACTTTCGCTCGTAGCGTCTCCGCTGGACTCTCGCCTTTTCCTGCCCTTGAAGCTTCTCATGCGTCCAAAGCTCCAGCCGTGGCCAGACCCAGAGGCAAAGGAGCTTGGCGGATAACTTTTTTCTCCCGTGGTGTTTCGCTTTCGAAAGCTCCTGGACTGTCTCTTGTCAACGGGCGAGGACGGGCGTGTGGAGGCAGGGGTGAGGGTGATGTCGGTGGAGGAGGCAGCCGCCGAGGGGAGGGAGGCAGTGGAGTGGGTCCTGCTCGGCGAGGATTTTGAACCATCTTGCAAGTTGGAACGCCTCTTGACCAGCCTCATGGGAAGGGTGTTGCAGTGGCCGCTGATCTCGAGGACGGTCCAGATCAGCGATCCTCTACAGCAAGCCTGGGATTGTCAGAGATGGGCGGGAAGACGGGTGTGATGACCCACTGTTGTGGCGAGTGATGGCCCGTCGCGAGGTGAGTAACCTGGAGTCTAGTGGGGATTCCAGAATAACGGTCCACGGGTCGGGCAAAGGGGAAGGGGTAAGGGGGCAGAGGAGGAGACCAAGGGGGGACCACGGGCAGCTTGTCGAGATGTGGATGCAAGATGGGAAGGGATGCATAGATGGTGTCATGCTGCTCGCTGCGTCTTTTAGCTCTTCATTCACAGGCCCAAGCTTGTCTCCCCGACCCGAACAGGATTATGTAAGCCCCTGCCCTCACCGCTCTCTTCGGGGGTTGGTAACTAGGAAACCTATTGAGACCCTGAGCCTCCCTGCAGAACCTCAGTCGGAGGATAAGCCCACCGACGTCATTCCGCCCACCGCGATCGCCTCCTCAACGCCGAGCGACAACAGCACAGAGAACGAAAAAGGCGCCGCTAGCAGCCTTCTCCCTGGAAGTTTACTAGCAGAAGCGGCCCGCTCTGCATCTCCTCCTTCTGCCGCTGTGGGCCGTCAAGAGGTGTCGAGTGGTGTTGCAGCAGCGTCCCTGCAGCGCCCTATCAATTCTTGCAACAAATAATCAACCCATGCCGTAACATCTCATGGATCGTAGATGAAAGAACACGCGGGACCACACAGCTTTCATGCTTGCTCTCATAAGTGGGATATACAGGGGGATGTGGCAGATCACAGGTGCCGGTGCAGCTGGCTGTTCGTCTGGGAACGCCAAGAACATGGTTGATGACGAAAATCGCACCGGTGGTGCACTAGTCCGTCTATCGTCTCACCACTCCATGAGTAGCCTGATCAGGTGTGGATCAGAAGCCAAGTATCCAGATCAACATGTCACCCCGCGGGACGGGAAGATTATGGCCGTCGGTCACAGATGGGCATCTGCCCATCTATATATATTCAATCGCCGTATGACTTGACGTTCTATCTCGTGGCCATCAGATCAAGCCGGGAAGGTGACGATCAGAGCACGACGAGCGAACCTTTGACGAACGACACCTGAAAGGAGTTGGACCACCATCATGATGACTTTCAGATCACCAGCGCTCTCGCTCCCCTGATCACATTCTGAGATCGGAACACTGAAACTAACCATGTTCAGCGCATTCTTCGGCTCGTCAGAAGTGGTCAAAAAGAAGGCGAAGAAACCGGCCAAAAAGCATTCCCAGGCGACGACAGCCTCATCAGCACAGACGTCGACCAGCTCATCTATCGAAAGCACCAGCGACAGCGAGAGCGACACTGATATATCTCCTACTCGTGAGCTCTTATCAGGGATGTGGGGGCTGTGAGCTAAAATATATATCTCAGCGACGACCCCTACCACCCAAGTGTCAGATTCTTCAGATGCCAGCAGCTTCTTTAGCTCCAGTGGGGTCAGCACTATGGCTAGCCAAACTTCATCGTCGGCAGTCACCTCGTCTTGTAAGCGCCCCGATGCCTTGTGTCAAGGGTTGTCGCTGAGCCTTGTTGAAGCAAATGGCGCCTCGCTCAGTACATGGTCAGACTCAAGCGCTCCAGCAAAGCCAAACATTGGTCAGTAAAGACGTACCTCAAAAGTTCTGGACCAACTAGCTGACAACCAACCCACACAGTCCAAGGGTTCCTGACCCAACAGCTCAACAACGTCACGGGCGTCCTGAAAGGAAAGAAATAGGCACACAACACACTGGTTACATACAATACTCGAGTACTCGTACAGTACAACGTCATGCTCGATGCATATCGTCTCCCAGCTCACAATCTGCTCCTCACAAACCCAAGTGGCTTTTGCCCAAGTGTCTGCTTCCAGCTCATCCACCACTCTACGCCTAACCTTTTGTCTTCATCTCGCAAATCCCTGCTAATCATCTGGAACGCCTCGCCCATGAGCTCCATCCTCTCATACGAGCTCTCGTCCACGCCCCTCATCATCTCTCCCAGATTTTGCAGGTAAGCTGGCAATGAGAAGGATGGGATATGAGGCGCGAGGCGGATCTGAATCAGGCGGGTGGCGGGTGATGGCGGGAGTGAGGAGAGGGCTTGTAGGCACAGGGAGACCGAGGCGTGATCCCGTCGAGCGGCGTAGGAGGTGATGAGAGGGAGAGCTTGCTTGAGCTGGTCGGGCGTAATGTCGCCGGACTTCGCTCGCTGTGGCTCGCATCAGCATGTCATGCGACACTCTTCCGAGGTGTTTTACCTTTGTAAGGATCGAAAGATAGTTAGGCAACAAAGCATCGAAAAAGTCGGTCTGGGGTGAAGCACTCTGCAAGGTTTCTGAAGACACCCGCAGAAGCGAAAGAAAGAACGTATGGGCAGCTTCAAAGCTTGGTCTGCTTTCGGATCTGTGAGCGTGCCTGCTCATTCCATCAGCGTCTGTCCCACCCTTTACTTAAAGTCCACCTACCTCTCAGCTAGAGGAAGCAGCAAGTCGATGGACCGGCTGCCAAGCTGATGTACGAGTCCGTCCCCTAGTATCAGGACGAAAGCAGCTTTTGCGTCCGATAGTCTTCCTTCACTCGAGATATGTGCGAATAAGGTCTCGGTAGCCGCGACCCCTCCCCGCTGCGAGGTGATGTCGAGACAGCCGGCAAGTAGTCTGTGATAGTGCTCAAAGCCATCGCCGCTCACGGTCAAATACGAGAAGGCAAACATTGTTCTGATGATTCGACCGGCCAAGTCCACAGATTCCTCCTGACCAGACAAGTTTTGGAGGAGAACGTCAAGAATGGAAGAAGCGGGCAGGAGGAAGGCCCTGAAAGCAGTCTTGTGAAGGTCTTTATCTTCGAAACCTCGGCCTACAGATGGGGTCAGCAAATGCAATACTTCAAAAAGATGCCTTACTATCGGCTTGCCGTTCAGACGCACCTTTCTTTCCCAGTTCCAAACCTAATCCCTCCATCCTCTGACAAAACAGAGACATAGCCTGGAGAGTGTGCCGCTGATTGGATGCAGCTTCCGAATACAGTGCCACATATGACCGACCAAGAGCAGAGGCGTATATATGTATCTGGTCAAGGTCCTGCTGAACAGCAAGCAAAGCAAAGATGTGATCGGCAATCTTGTCGCTCAGTGGCTGCCAAAAGTCAGCTTCCCATGAGCGCAGCTGTACCTGACTCACCTGCAGATCCAACGCCAGTAGCCTGTATACACCCACATGCGGCATGGCGACACACAAAGGCTCCAAGTCTCCCGTCTGCTCATCCCAAGACAATGCCAGAACCACCTTCTCTTCCAGTTTGACTCGCGCATGTCCCCAGTCGACGGTCTGCGACTCCTCAACGCCTTGCAGTAGGCCTATCAATACTTGCGTCCGTGGGCCGACTGTATCCCTGGTAGTCTTCGTAGCATGGAGCACCCCGTCCAGCCATTGCCTAGCTGCTTTCGACCGCCTGTATGATCCAAAATACACTCCCTTCTTCTCATTCTCCATCCTCATCACGAACCCCACGACACCCAGCTTAACTGCCGCCCTGATATCCTCACTGCTCACTCCATTGGTCTTCGGCAGAGATAGCGAACGGGTGAGGGAAGCGATGAAGCGGGCGAGCTGGGCGTCGTCGAGGGTCGAGATGAAATGGGTGATGGCGCCAAGGAGCGTCTGGGCTGGGACGTTTGAAGGAGCGGGGTCGTCGAGGAGGGCGAGGAAGGGGTCGAGAAGAGAAGAAGTCTCGTCTAGGGAAGTCATAATGGATGATGCGTAGATGGTACAATGTGGCAATGCAGCCAAAATGCAGCAAGAACGGCAAGGCGGCGAGGATAATTGCCGAAAGCCGAGCGGTGCGGCGGCTTATTCCGCTACTTAGAGCAACCAGACAGATTGATGATGGTTTCAAAGTATGCTCTACCATGGACTTGACGGCTGTGATTGAAGAATGTTTGCAGGTCGTTAGGCTTGTTACCATTGATAAACGGTTGCATCTGGCAAAACCCGTCAAGATACCATAGACACTGATTGACGTTTTTCCTTCATCAACTTCTAAGCTAGATCGCCATGTTCTCTATTACTATTCCTCTCCACAGCTCCCCTTAACGGAGAGTGACAAGCTCCTCAGAGGAAGTGGGGTCTGGAGATATGTCAGCCCTAGCCGGATCACGGCAGCTTGAAAGACTTACGGATGGCAACACAAGAGTCAAAGTCGTCCTTTGTAGCTCCCATCTTGATAGCAACGCCGACTGCATCGAAACCATCAGCTTCCCGTACTTGGCCCATCATCGGAACCAAACGTACAGCCCTGCAAGATCTCGTCACTTCCTTCACCAATGATATGCAAACCGACGACCTTCTCCTCGGGCCCAGTGACAATCAGCTTGTAAGCAGTAGGCTGCTTGTGGTCCTCGTCGAGCATGGCGAAAGACATGGCCCGGAAAGAAGTCTTGTAGATCTTGAGATCGTCGCCGTACTTTTCACGGGCCTCGGGCTCAGACAGACCGACAGAGCCAATGGTGGGATGACTGCACGACGATCAGCTCAACAAAAGAGCGATAGCGGAAGCACTCACGAAAAGACGACACTGGGAATGTTGTCGTAGCTCAACTTGTCGTTCTTGTACTTTTCGGGGCCAAAGAGTCTGTTTGAGAGCCTTCTACCGGCAGCAATGGCAACAGGAGTCAAAAGAGCCTTTCCGCCAACGTCACCGACAGCATAGACGCCAGGGACGTTGGTATTCTGGTAGTCATCGACGGGAATGTCGCCCCTTTTGTCGGTGGTGATGCCGGCCTTGTCGAGACCGAGCTTGCTGGTGGAGGAGTGTCGGCCGATAGCCCAAACAAGAGTGTCGACCTCGAGGGGCTCGGCTCCAGTGTCAAAGTGGACGAGGAGAGAGCCGGAAGAGGTCTTCTCGACCTTCTTGACTTGGGTCTTCTTGTGAACGTTCATACCAGTCTTCTCCATGTAGGGCAATAGAACCTCAGAGAGCATTGGGTCGAAAGTCCTAAGGACTTGGTCATGGCGGATGACGAGGTGTGTCTCGGAGCCGAGAGTGTTGAAGACACCGGCAAGCTCGACGGAGATGTAGCCCGCACCGACAACGGCAACTCTCTTGGGCTGAGTCTCAAGCTCAAAGAAACCGTCCGAGGTGATGCCATAAGAAGCACCAGGGACGTCCTTGTCTGAGGGAACAGTGGGCTCGCCACCAACAGCGATACCGATGTGCTTGGCCTTGACGTTGTAGGTCTCGCCGTTGGGGCCAGCGATTTGAAGGGTCTTAGCATCGATGAAAGAGGCGTAGCCGTGGTGGTAGTCGACCTTGTCCTTGACGAGGTTGGACTCGCTGAGTCACAAATCAGTTTGCCATTAATCCAAAGTCGAATCCACTCACTAGATGCCGTTCAGTCGATGGATGTAAGCGTCTCGCTTGTGCTTCAGCTCTGTCCAGTTGAAGTCGGCGGCGAGCTTGACGCCCTCGCCTTCTTTACCGAAACCGTACTGAGCAGACTTGCGAAGATTATCGGCGACATCGGCAGTGTACCACATGACCTCTGAACAGCTAGTTAGTATACATTTGACAGTTTGGCTGAATGGCAAAAGATCGTACTCTTGGGCACACAACTAGAGCGGTGATCAGTCAGCACGGTCGTGATGAGACAGGATCATTTGACGCACCCGACGTTCACACAAGTACCTCCAAGTCGAGGGGAGGCTTCAACGAGACCGACTTTGGCGCCATAAGAGCTTGCACGTCTCTTGAGATGATTGTCAGCATTGACTGCGAGGACCCGAGATTGAAACGCACGGCGGAAGCAAGACCACCAGAGCCACCACCGATGACAAAGTAGTCGCTGCAATTCTATGAGCTCAATCGGGGATGGAAAATGGCAAGCACATACTACTCTTCGACCTTGGCGGCCTCAGCTTTAGTGAGAGGGGGCATTCTGCTGGGGACGGAAGTGGTGAAAGACCTGGGGAGGAAAGTAAGAGTGGAGGTGGAGGTTCGGTGGGTGTTGCGGAGGAGGATGGATGCGCGTGTGAGTGACGGGCGAGCCGTTCTGAGCAGAGGGAGGGGGTTGAAGGGCGGTATCGTGGAGATGTTGCGGAGAGAGAGATATGAAATTTATAGCAAAGCGTAAAGATGACTGATGAGGTGATGCTCGCTGCTGCATCACCCTTAATTACAATTCAGTCGAACACCGAAGATTATTAATCCGGACTGCTGGGCTGCAACTTCATTCGCCGTGGTGATCAGGCCGGCATAGGTCATCGCGATGTAGCATGAGTTTGTACAAGTTCATCGTCATGTAAGCAAGTAGCTATATCCCTCAATCCTCGTCCATTCTATCGTCTTCTTTCTTCAGCCCAAGAAGACCGTCCAAGAAACCCTTGACGCTCTGTCCGGCACTCTCCGGCAAGCCGAGCTCTCTCATCATACCGCCAGGAAGCCCGCCGCTCCGAAGAGCATTGTCAAGACTGGCGATGGCATCGTTGAACTGGGGCGCAGAAAGCACGGGAATGATGTCTTCCGCCTTGGGGTTTTCAGGAAGACTGAGGCCAGGAGGAAGGAGAGGAGTGATGGTGGGAATCAAGCTTGGGTTGCTCGTGATGAGTGTGGCAATGTTCGACGGAGAGAGGACATCGGTGAGACGAGCAGCTAATATATCTATGTCAGGACAGATGTATGTCGAGATGACGCGAAACGCTTACGGTCCTCGGCCTGGCCCAAAGCACCACCTCGAGCCCATTCAGCCAGCAATCTCGCCATGTTCTCCTGAGTAGCTTCGGGGGCAGTGGAAGAGCTGGCTTCAGCACTGGTAGAGGGAGCAGGCTCAGGGTTGGAAAGTCGAGGGGCACCGGGGGTAGGGGGCCAGTCTTGCTCTTGCTGAGGAGGCAGAGCAGCGGAGCCGGGTCTGGCATCCGAGTCAGTGATAGTCCGCAACCCGGTGTAGCACACGCACTGGTAAGAGGGGTCCTGCAAGAGATTGTTGATGTCTACTTGGGCACGAAGGTCCCCGTCCTTGTTCTTGCGCTGAAACCAGAACTGCGGGTCGACGTTAACACTACATGACGATCCGGCCAGATCCATTCAACGACGTACAAAGTACTTTTGGTTGGAGCTGCTGAATTTGAGGATGTGGGTTCGTCCAGTAGGGTCCTGAAGCCTCGTCAGTGTCAGAAAATCATGATCAGATGTCGTCGCGTACTTGAGTGACCTTCTCGAATGTAGCTTCGCCGGGAAAGATGATGAGCTCCTACACACATGTCAGTGAATGTCACCCTAGAGTATAATCTCTGTAATGACATACCTCGTCAACCTGGTGGTTTTCCCTGGATCTCCAAGCTAAATGAAAGTCAGTCTTGGCTTCACGCAGACACCACAGTGTCCACTCACCAAAACGCAACAAGTCGTCTTCGAGCCTGAGCTGGATGGCGCCCTTCTCAGCCTGGGGATCGACCCAATTGCTGTTCTCTTCGCGTCGGTGGCAGCGGCCTGCGGGGACAGATACGATATAGGACATGGCGGTTGAGGTAGTATGGCTACGAGAGTACGATAATAGATGTCAGCGGAGACGCGCGGCGCTGGAGCTTGGTAATGCCATTCCTGATCGCGATTTGGTTCCGCTAATGCTGCAGTCCGCTCATGGCTCCTTGCAAGAAGTTGCATTATTGCTCTCTGTCCTCTACATCGAATACCTGAACAAGATGGCCTCCGTTCACCCATCCCGACTAGGTCTCGTCCCTGGTGGCAACCAACGCCCTCCGCCACCCCCAGCATCAACACGAGAAGATCAGCTCAAACAACAACTTTTAGAACGTAAAAGTCGAGACGACAGAGACGACCGACGCAACGGAAGCCACGACCGGGCAAGGACAGAAGACAGGCCCGACGTTCACGGTGGCTCTGAATCACGACATGGAAGGGATAGAGACAGGGGCGAGTGCCAGGACAGGGATCATCGAGAACGAGATGAAGCCCCTCATCGGTCGCGCCGAGCGTCCCCTTCTTACCAACCCTATGCCCGTGATGGTTATGGTAATGGCTCAGCCCCACCGCAACCACCTGTGGGTACAGGCTATGGGTATGGTAGAAGAGATGATATACCTCGTGGCCCACCGGGGCCGCCAGAGGGTGAAGGAACTGGACTGGGGTTGGGAGGATACAGGGGATGGCAAAACCCCCCGGCGAGGTTCACTGGGCCTATCGATTTCGACAAGTCGGTATAATCCACTTCTACATGAGCACGATGCTGACAGTTCTTAGGCGAAGGCAAGAGCGGAACAACAGCGACCTCTCAATATGGCCTCCCTCTCCCAAAGAACCGTATATGGACGAAGAGTACGCCCCTTTCGGACAGAAACATGCGCCGATACTAACAATGGTAATAGTGAGCTCGCAGCCGAACGCAGAAAGAGAAAGGCGAAATCGAAATCAAAATCAAAACACTCCAAATCCAAGAAACGGTCTAAACGTTCCAAGTACTCCTCAGACTCTGATTCTACCGATTCCGAGGAAGAGCGTAGGAGGAGACGGAGGAGACGTGAGCGGGAACGAGAGAGGGGTGGTCATCGGGACGGGGATAGGGAGAGAGATAGAGAAAGGTATAGAGATGACGAGGATGATGAGGATCGGGAGAGGAGACGAAAGAGGCGTAGGAGCAGAAGCGAGGGAGAGGGCGAGGATGACCTGTGGGTCGAGAAAAGTAGCAAGGGGAAAGAGCGGGAACGGCTGGCGCCCATTGATCCGGCCACGAACAGAATATTCCTGGGAGAGGAGGAAGAGGATCAAGATATTGAGGTCGGACCGCAGCTGCCAAGGGAGATCAACGATAAAGTCGATCGTTCTGCGTAAGTCTATCCAATACCCTGCGAGACCGATGACTCATGACAAACAGTTATGCCAATATGCTCCGCGGAGAAGGCGAGGCCATGGCAGCCTATGCAGAGTCGGGCCAGCGTATTCCTCGTCGAGGTGAAATCGGTCTCGAAGCGGAGCAGATCGCAACTTTCGAAAACTCTGGATATGTCATGTCCGGTTCTCGCCACCAGCGCATGAACGCTGTTCGTTTGAGGAAGGAGAACCAGGTGATCAATGAAGCCGAGAAGAGGGCAATCTTGAAGTTGCAGAGAGAGGACAGGCAGCAGAGGGAAGGCGCCATTGTCAGTCAATTCAAGGAGATGATAGATGAGAATTTGAAGAAGCAAGGGGGACAGGGCAAGTAGGGCAGTGTCAAAACGATGTGCTTATCGGCATGTAATAGTGTTGTGTCCTGGCATCAGGTGTAGGAAGTACAAGGCAGGCTGCAATCTGAAGAATGCTTTGAGGGTATGTTCATATGTCCTCCGCGCCGTCAGATGACTTTCGATCCTAAGAGGGAATTACCTAGAGCCTAAGATGAAGGCAAGCTGACGCATGTTGAGTGATTTTCTTGATACTGACAGCCCTCAAACACCGACGGGGTATTTGCTCCAAGTATCCTCCTTTGGACCAAACTCCATTCCCTTCTCTTCTACACCCTTGCCGTGCCAACCTCATCCTTTCTAAGTAAAAACTTTCACGACTGCCAGTAATACCTTTCAGCAGCCTACGGTCATCGGCCGGGTGCTCTGGACGACAAAAAGGCGGCAGTGTCGTCGAGGATATTGAAACACGCAGCCTTGTCGATCAAGACATTCGAACACGTTTATCAGCCGCTGTGCGACTTCTCCCAACATCGAATATCTCTCAAAATGGACCTCTGGTCAGTCATTGTTGACGTCTCCTTCCTTCTCTTGACTCTCCTCCTCCTCCCTTCAATCTCGTGGTCGGCTCAACCCCAACTCAACATTGTTCCTCCTGAGGACGGCATGGCTTCCCCACCACCTCCCACCACCCCACTGTCGCCGGTGACCCCCATCAGCGCGGTCGGCTCCCACTTGAGCGTGCCGTCATTTGGTGGCGTACCCAGTATCACTCTGACCCCTTCTGAGCTATCGCCCACCCATAAGCGGTCTCGACGAGGGTCATTCGGTAGCCTGAGTAAAAAAATCGGGCACAAGCGCAAGACTGTCAGCTTCTCCCTCTCAGCCATCGATGATGTCCTGCCTCCACAAGCGTCCCCTATGAAGGGACGTCCCCCTGCTCCCTTTGTCAAGGGCCCTAGAAGTCCCAGCCCCGGTCCTCACCCCAGAGAGAGTCAATCGACCTTCACACTTGGCGTGACTGGAGAGCTGCCGGACGCGGCTATGACTCACAGGAAAGATGTGGCGGACTCGATGGGGGTCAAGCAAGGGTGGCTCATGGCGTGAACCATACATATGCGTGTAGTAATACAGCGCTGCTGCTACTGGGAGGGAAATGTCGCGTTACATGCATACTACTAGTAGCCTGGCAGTTCCATAACGGGCCGGGTACTGTCCGACGGTCCGCCCCTTCCCTATACATTCATTTGGTTTCCGCAAGTTCTCATGACCGCATTGGAGTCGTTGACGCTCCAAAAAACTAATGAGCTTCTGTTTCTAAACATAAACGATTATTTGTCGTGTGATGGGAATATTCTACCCCATGTCTCGGATGTCCCACCTCCCACTACTCTGACCATCGCCGTCCATCGAGCACCGAGTACATACTACATCATTCTCTGATACATTGCTTGGCGATTTGGGGCCCATTTTTGTACTCAACGATCATGGTCAGATCATGCTGGTGATCAGAAATGTCCTTTTCATATCAAGAAGTACAAGCAACGCATTTGTTACTGGTCATGGCTGACTTGCAGTGATGATTCTATTATTCGACTATATACAGACAATACTACAACTAGGATCCGATCCGCAATACTCATCTCCGAGCCCATGATACGTGCTCACGCTCAAGGTACGACCTTGCCCCCCATGCTGAGCGCAGCAAAGGCCGCCGGTGCCCGTCCAGCCTTGCTTCCTTGTCCGAGCTGCCAGACCCTGGCAGAGACATTCCTGCTGATGCCATGAATGATGGGGTGGGCCGCTTCGTCGCCGTAGACGTAGTATGTCCAGCGGGTGGTAGCGTAGAGCAACTGAACAGTGGCGTTGCCGAAGATGTAGTACAGAATGGAAGTAGCGCAAAGGATGAGAATGCTCCCTATGACAGACATTAGTCGTTTGCAAGACAGATGAGGAGCTAGACGTAGTCCTAATTCGAACGGGAAACGGGGACTTACAGACGATGAGTTGCTCAGTTGGCGACATGACGGAGAGGGCAAAGGTGACGTCGAACCTGGTCCTATCGAGCTCGTCAGCAGATGTTCTTCGCCAAGCGTATCGGTGCAGACTCACTTGATGTCCCAGACCTTGCGCTTGAATCCAGGAGGCGGTCTCGGGGTGTAGAGTGGGCGCTTTGAGAACATGGGCTGAGCCTGAGCTTGGTAGGGGCTGGTGATCATCGGGCGAGCGGTGGACATTGTGCTGCGAGTTTGGAGGGCGTTCAATTGTTGTCGAAGACGTGAAAGAGGATGAAGAAGAGCAGAAAGGGAATGAGCATCGAATGTTGTTATTATATACTGTTCGCGAAGGTCTCAACTATGTATGACGCTACCCTTCGCCAAAGGGTCAAGGGTAGATACGCTGATATTTTTCGAGGAACCCTGCCTGAGGCCTGAGGAATCGGGACATGCGACGTCAACAAGCCACAAGGGCCACAAGCGTCGTGGTATGCGTCGTGCTTTGCGAGTGTTCCGAGGTCTAGCCTTTGCATCCGGCCCTCGAGACATCCTCTCGCAAGTCCATTGGACAGATGATCATATCTGCGCCGGATCGAGCATCGGGTACTTACCAGGGGAAGCCATTAGACTGTCGTCTCCCGGGTCGCAAAACAAAAAGGGATGAGAAAAACATCGAAAGGATAAGCTAGTATGCACTACGCGTCGTATGCGCTCCAGCTGGAACAGGCAGTGTCAGTATCAACTTCCATGTTGGGTTATCTATTTCGGAACAAGAGAGTCCGTAGACCTTCCGCTAGGCGGTCTAAAATGAGTAGGAATTTGATTGCGGGAATCGGAAATGAGCCGCACGACGCAATAGGTAATGGACAAAAACATTACTCGCGAACGAAGGCAAGGAATGGTTGGTTAATTCGACTCGCTGTTGTGAGAACGTTGGGCGGACAGAAAGAAGGCTTCTCTACGCTGTAAGTTCTAGATACAGCTCCTTGTGGTCTGGCCCATCGGAACAGCTGGACAGGAGGAGTGCGGGTCCCAGAAAGAGAAGCAGCGGACCAAACAACCGGAGTGCGGGAGGGCTATCGCGAAACAACCTCGGATGTCCGCTCCCGGACCTAATTTTTAGCATGTTAATTAAGTTGAGGTTACACCCTCCGAGCCTGGCCAATGATGAAGGCCTCATATGAGCCAAATACTCCACTCCATACAATAATCACAACAATAAACATGGCCTCCATACTCAAACACGCTGCTCTTCCCTTCCGCTGCCCCTCGAGGATCATCTCCCTGTCCTCGGCCCGCCCCAATGCAGCCCAAGCTCGTCGCCACTTTCAAAATATCCTCGCCCCGCAGGATCCCGAAGCCGACACCCCCACCATCACAATCTCCAAACTCACAGACCGAGGCCTGATATGCTCTGATAATCTGGTCATACCTGGAGGCGCCATATTCCATTCCGGAAAGGTCATCATGTGGGATGTGGACGCTCCCTCGCCGAGAGAGTTGAAGCCTGGAGAGAGAAATACGATCGAGAAAGTCTGGGAGGGATGGGAGTCTGACAGATTTACTGTTTTCGAGATGCTTGTTCCTCGGCCAGGTAAGTCTAGCTTGATGATTAGCATTTGAGTGCCAGCTGACTGACTGATCAGAAATTCTGCTCCTCGGGACGGGTACGAGAGCTTGGCCGGCACCGAAGAGGATTCGCGATTATATCAGCAGTCTGGGCATTCAACTCGATACAATGGATAGCGTGAGTCCGGTTTCGATCATCCATGTAGAGATGCTCATATTGCCCCAGAGAAATGCTGCCTCTACATACAATCTTTTGATTGAGGAAGGTCGTAGAGTCTCCGCTGCTCTCTGTCCCCAGACACCAATCGATCCAAGGACCGGCGCTGCCCGATGAGCGTCATCGTCGTGTGTCTGCTTCGGCTCCTCATGAGCTTGAAGCTGCTTCTGTATACCTCATTCATAACTCACACAAGAGGAGGCCGAGATAGCCGTCCTACTGGGCGATGGGTGCCGCATTTGAACGACGTCTCGGCCTACACTCTCACTTGCATCGCATGTCATGTATATCATTAGTCATTGGCGTCACGTCTACGCTCCACATGGCCGCTTTCGTTTGGTATGTACATGTCCTGACTATCCGGACATGTGAGGACTACATGGAGAAGAGATTCAGCATCACTGGGTGTTTCCAATCCGGACCGGTCAAATCCGGGCACGCCATAATCGACTCTGGAATGATGACTCAGTCATTGTACATGTACAGAGTATACAAGTGAGTGCATACATGTACAGTCGGTGAAGTATGATTCTCGAAACAATGTCTATCATTGTCACCACTGTCTGGACACAGCGTCTAGTCGTACACTATAGATCAAGCTCGTCAGACAGTGACAAGCAACAGGATCAGCGTCTGGACTCACCGTGTATCAGAGCATAGCTTCCGATCCAGAACAGCAGAAATCCCAGGAAGTTCTCCTGCCCAACGCCGGAAAGACTCCACCACCCCTTCAAACTCGCTCCTAATCCGCCGTTCTCTGTGCTCGGTCCTGTCTTTGCCGCGCCGCCGACGACCTTCTTGCCTTGGGGCTGAGCACCTGGCACAAACCTCTGTAGGTTGAAGCCGCACTTGACGGTGCCTACGATCAGAGCTGTCACGAATGAGGATATCAAGTACAGGAGGAAGCCATGGGAGTTGGTGAAGCCGAGGATGCCAGCTACGAGGCCTGAGAAGCACGCCGATAGCTGTAACAAGCATTGTTAGAATTATAACACCGATGGTCCACTACGACATACTGTGCTGATGGACCCCAGTATCCTAGTGTTGTGGATGACCGACTGAGGATGGAGGGGAGAGAAGTCGGGGGACAGCTGGGCGTTCAGGAAGGGGGGCGCGCCGGGGTTCATGATGGGCTGGGGCGTTTGCGTTGCGGGCGTTGCGATACAAGAGCGGTTCAGAGTTCAGCAGAGAGTTCGAGGGAATACTCGAGAGATGCCCACTCACTGCATGTCCACCTCTTGACGGCAGGATGGCACCGTGGATTTGCTTCCGTCGGGCTCACCGAGAGATGCCACGACGCGTGAATTGATGATGTTGATTTCTCCACTTGACGCATTCTCTACTCAATAATATATCTCACCATCCCCCCCCCTCGCCTACCTTACCTCCTCAGCATCATCCTCGGCACCCGCGTGCGCATCATGTCTACCAGCTCCTACCGATAACAATCGCCTCACCCAGAACGCACCTTGTGTGCTCAGACATTTTGACCAAGAGTATTAAGACGTACCATGACACCCCAGGTCCTGCCATTCGTAATATTGGGTGGCATAGTCATCGCATCGGCAGCGCAGACTGAAGTCGCCCATCATGTCACTGCCTACCTACACTTCGATAAACCCTACTTCACCTTCTTCCTCACCCATTCGACCTTCTCTCTGATCTTTCCCCTACATCTGGGGCTTTTGTATTTCACCAGCCCCATACCTGTCTCGGCATACCTCGCTTCGATCCGGTTCGTTCTGACGGAACAGCTTGGTCTGGCGAGTCCTCATATGCCAGTTTCCACCCGCGAGTACACTGCCTCCTGGCGAGATATCCTCCCCATATGGAGCCAGAAGGTCGCTCTCCTGACGGCACTAGTCACAGTTCCTGCCTTGTCATGGTTTGTTGCTATGCAGTACTCGATGCCCGTCGACATCACGAGCATCTACGCTACAAGCAGCTTTGCGGCATATGGGTTTAGCTTGCTATTGCTAGGGGAGACGCTGAGCAGGATGACACTTGGCAGCATACTGTTGGCGTTTTTAGGAGTTATTATTATCAGCCTTGATGGGATCGATAGCGGTGAAGGAGATTCGAGTAGAAGAGCTTTTGGTGATGGGGTCATGCTGTTCGGTGAGTGACGCGTTGTGTGATCGTGCTCTTTCTCACAAAGCGACTTCTTATAGGCGCAATCGCTCTCGGGTTATACGAAGTGATCTACAAATTGACTCTGCCTGAAGGGCATGGAGGCGTGACCGTCGCTCCTGACGAGGAAGAAGACTACGATCCCCTGCCTACGTCGCACACACCCCCTCATTCGCCAGAATCCAGCGCAATCAGCCATCGGTCACATTTTCACCCTCATCGCTCCGCATCGACCCCGGATATCCCTCTAGATACTGCCTCGCCTGTCCTTGAAGACGAGCATGAGCGGCCATATGCTCTTCGTCGATACACCTCGGCCTCACAGCTCATCAAACCTGGAGCGCCCCATTATCCTGGCCACCCAGTTCCCCTTCCACCCGCTCTGCATGCCAATTTCATCACGAGCTGTATTGGTGTGGCAACATTCTTATTTCTCTGGCCACCCATAATCTGGCTACATTGGATGGGTTTTGAGACTTTCCAATGGCCTGGGCAGGTGGGCGAGAGCGCTGTCATGGTCTGGGGCGGACTAGCTGTCGTAGCTTGGGGTGGTGCTCTATACGTACGTGGATCGTTACATTAGACCGAGGCCGCTACTGATGTGCCTATAGAACGCTGGTCTCATGGTGCTCATTGGTGTATGGGGTCCCACAACCTCGTCAGTCGCAAACCTATTGGCAATCGGCTTGGTGGCTCTGGTAGATGCCCTGTGGGTAGGAATCATGCCGGATCTGCAGACGTTTGTGGGAGTGGCTTTCATATGTGCCGGTTTCGGTGGCGCGCTGTGGGAGGGCGATCCTTGATGGATGACATGTGTTACGAATGATTATCTACGCTCTCTCAGTATCTCACATCCATCGAAGTAAATGTATTGTATCCATAGACGACTGCTTCATGAACGAGCTTTTTGATGACCCCTGCTGGCCCTGCTGGTATTTGTCTCGACTGTTTGGTTAAGGCACAGATCTCATCGCCGAAGAAAGGACCACGTCTCCGTGGCGGGCATCCGTCGCTTCCATTGTCATCAACAATCTCGACTTTGTATCATGCGTTGATTCTGCAGCAATTCCAAAGAACAGCTTTTTCGGTACATAGCATCGCCTGTTGCTGAGCTGCTCAAAACCGAGCCAGGAACCAGCGCCCACTCGTCGTCCACCGGCCACAGAACGCGTCACTCGGTCGCGTCTACTACCCACTGCACTTCCGCTCAGGGACTTTTCCCAGGCTCTCTATCTTCTCAACCAGCATCGACAGAATTCTCAATCAATACTTTTCTCCGCCATGGTAGCAGATGCCGAGGTCGATATCCTCCTGCACGACATCAAACTCACTCAGCTCACGCCGCTACCCGACGAGGAGTATCCCCGCATATGCGAGGAGCGGAAGCCTGACCGAGGCTTCTACATAGCTCTGGGACTGGTCATATCAGTGTGGATGATCACACCTCTATCATGGTAGGAGATCCCCTCTGGCGCACTGGCAAAGCTTATGCGGGAAACGCAGTGTCTACTTGATTTGGTATACTCTGCTCTCTTCACAACCCCACAGCCTCACCGCAACCATATTCGCAGCATACGCCTTGACAGAGACGGCATTCGCTGTCTATCTTTCTCGATTGTCAAACCTTGTTCAGCAGCCAGCACCGCCGTCGAACCTTTCCGATGAGACCCGAACCACGCTCATTCAGAAAGTGTTTCATTCTGGGCTGCGATATCCGACCCCTCCGCGAGGACTACTGGCCCACGAGAAGGATGATATCGAGGATAGGGACGCCATCGCCGAGCGAGCAGACGCCGACTATCAGAAGGGCTTTATCAGCGCCGCCGAATTGTATCACATTCGGGATCGAGAATATGAGGAGACAGTTGGGATGAGGGAGCGGCGGCGGGTAGGCAAGATGACTCAGCCGGAGAAGGATGTCATCAGCGCTTTTGTCGAGGAGGAAGATGGCGACAGAGAGAGGCTTTTGAAAGAGCAGATTGCCGGAGACGTGACCCGCCCGACAGAGGAATGGGGCTACGAAGGGATCGTCAAAGAAGGGGAGATCGTCAAGCTGCATCCTTGGGACCGCCGGGCTATCGAGTTCCGGGAGAGACTCCGCACGTGGTTCAACAACGCTCCTTGGGAAAAGATCAAAAAGACCAACATCCAGCTTTGGTTGGCTTGGTCATGCTATGGACTTCCACTAGAGGATGCGAGAGCGACCGCCGAGCAGGCCGACTTTCTAGATGTCGCCACGAGATTGCTGGAAGCTCGTACGGGGACCGACTTTGAGGAAGGGTTCTCCGAGGGGGTCGAAGTGATGAGGCTTACTCTGGACCCCGTTAATGTGAGTCATCCCGCCAGAATCACAGGTTGGTACTGAAGCGCTTTCAGGCCAGGGGACGACCCTTAATTCTGTACGCTGTCACGAACTTGATCAATATGACTCTCAGACAGGTTGTGTATCCTTTCCAAGGTGTGGCCTTGGTAAGTCGCTCGAGTCTTTCTGTTTCAGATCATTGGCTGACATGCAAGAATAGTATCGCGAAGGTGACATCGAGTGCGCAGGTCTCCACCCGGGAAAGAATAAAGCTCACGTCTTATAACAGATACCTTATTCGTATCCCTCACGGCTGGACGCCAGAAAAGGGCAGAACAGTACCAAATGCCATGCCTGTGGTGTATCTACATGGTTTGGGCTTTGGTCTGGTGAGTCAGGAGCTGCAAAACCCGCCTTCTGAATCTAATTAAGCTTCAGCTGCAATCCCATCTCCTCATCAAACATCTGATCGCATCTCTTCCCACCCACCCCATCATGATTCCCATTTCTCCCCACACCTCTCAGTCTCTGTTCAACAAACGCCATCTGCGTCCTTGGACGAGAGCTGAACACGTCAGCTTCATGAAAACCATATGTCGTAAATGGGGCTTTTGGGACGGGAGTGACACTGACCGGAAGGAGGATGTGGAGGCGGGTGAGAGAAAACGGGATAGGATCGGGGGCGTGTCTCTGCTGAGTCATTCCAATGGTAGTGTTGGACATGCTTGGAGTGAGTTTCTCAAAGTATAGGCGGCAGAGCTAATCGTCGCACAGTTTTGAAAGACTGCCCGAGTTTAGTCAGACGGAGCACATTCGTTGATCCTGTTGTATTCTGTCTTTGGGAAGGAGACGTCTGCCATTCCTTCTGTTATCGGAAGCCAACAAACGTCGGTTCTTGACGTCTCTTGCTCGTTCGGATACTGGCTGACGAACGATGCAGGCATTGGAATTGCTGTTGTACTATTTCATCGCTTCGGAGGTTGGCATCGCAAATTACATTCAGCGAGTAAGTTTGCGATTGCGGCGCCAACGATGAAGCCTGCTCACATCACACCACAGCATTTCGATTGGAGTGAAAACACTCTCTTCTTGGAAGAGATTCCGTTCGCCAAAGATCCACGCAAAACAGCGTTCTTCTTGGGTGGGCACGACATGATCATCGATGCTGCAGTAAGTGCCATTTCGCTGTGCATACATGGGACCTACTCTGACGTTGGTGTATCAGCGTGTGCGAAAGTATCTAGAACGCCGTGAGTCACCTGTTCACCCAGAAAGTGCTGTCAGCTGACCAAGCATCTCAGAGGGTGTGACATCTGGACTTCATTGGGATGCGACAGCCGGTCACGGTGACGGTCTCGCAGGAGTCTCTAGAGATCGCGTCGTCATGTACGTCGGTACGGGGTCCACCAGTGGCTGGCAGACGTGGCTGGGTAAGGGGAGGAGGAGACATTCTCTAGGGACAGATGATCTCTTGAATCGAGGTGGCAGGAGAAGAGGCGAATGATAATCTGCTCAACAACAATGAAGCCTGCTCGACGCCGCCGCGTGCATGTATAGTAGGACCGAGATAGATACCTAGACTAATGTCATAATGATACTGTACTCTAGTACTATACAAAAGCCTGCATGTGAGTTTTCTGTAGATGATATAGACACAACATGTATGACACTTTGAGCCGAGTCGAATGACGCAGCTAATAGGTGTTGAAGAGTTTGTCGCCCTTTGGTACGCCGAATCATTAGCATTGACTTCTATGTATGGCGCGTAACGTACAGCATCTCCCAGACCAGGCGAGATATAGCCCTTGTCCGTGAGTTCGTCGTCAATGGCAGCAATGTAGATCTATACAACCCACGTTAGCTTACAAGCCAAACGTTGATTATGCTCCCCAGCGCCTACCTCGACGTTGGGGAATTCATCCTGAACATTCTTCACACCCGCCTGGGATCCCAAGACAGAAATGATCTTGATTTGTGACGGCGCGAGACCCCATTCGGTCAGCATAGTGAGGGCGGCAATGGCGGTGCCTCCGGTGGCGATGAGGGCTACCAACATATCATCAGAGTCGATTCAGAGGAGCAGCGATGTTGCTTACGGTCAAGCAAGAAGACCAGATCGGCAGAAACTTGAGAGGGAAGTTTGGAGTAGTACCTTCAGGATGAGATGTCAGTTAGCGACGACATCCGACGAACATAGCAGCACCACGTACTCGATAGCTTGCAGAGTCGCCTTGTCTCTGAACAAGCCCAAATGGAGGACGGTAGCTTCTGGGAACGACTCAAGCGCAGCTATAGAGCACAACAGTCAGCGCTGCCTGGACTTGATGCTTATAATGGCGCTCACCATCACACAGGCCGAGACCGGCTCGAAGAATCGGCGAGAGGCCGATACGGAGGGGGATGGTCTTGCCGGTGAAGGGCGCTACAGACGTGCGAAGCTACAACATGATAAGCTGAAAGTTTCCACAGAAGCACAATGCTTACATCGGGCACATCAGACAAGGGAAGGGAGCTCGAGGCTTCATAGACAAGCATGGATCTACGGGTGGGATTATGCTTATCAGTAAAGTCCCATAGCGGTGCACCAGCAAGCAAACTCACCCAATTGCTCGGATACCTTCGCGAAAGTCCTTGGATGGAAGGTCGTGGAGCCTCAGCTGTGTGAGCTTGGAGAGGATGAGAGGGTGGTTGGAGATGTGTACTCGGGACATTGTGCTATGGCGAAACAAGTTGGAAGCGGCGAGCGGAAGGCGGTCAGTGGTAGGGGAGTGTTTAGGGAAGAGATGGAAAGGGAGAAGCAATAAGATAGAGATAAGATGGAGCGTCGCTGCTTATATAGTGGTGGGGAATGAAGGGACGCTATCTGCTTGATGCGATGATGTCGGACACGTTCGTGGTCGGCAGACGGTGTGGACTGACTCGAGGAGGGGTGTTGAAAGGAAGATCGCACTGAGAAGACCTGGGAAATAAGTAGACGAAAAAAGAAAAGATGCTCGTCTAGGCGAAATGGTGTACCACATATCACAACACATCATACACCGGAACTCGGAAGGCGTCCCTCCGTCATCTCGGCCAGCCGCGTCCATCGGATTTGACCGAAGGCTGCCTTCAAGTCGATAATCTTGAGGTTTCGTGAATCATATGCATGTTGTTGGCATGCAGACAATTCTCATGAGAGAGTGGCTACATGCGCCATGATATACAACAATGTGGGTGAATGAGAGTCACACCGGCAGCTAGGAGACCGCGCCGCCGGCGCAAATGCTTGTTTGTCTCAGAGATTATCAGAGTCCTTCATCTTCCACACAAACAACGAAAGTCCACTGCCGACACCGACAACCCACTTGGCCCCTCTCGGACTGATAGCAACATTGAGAAGCCCCACATATTCGTGATTTTGTCTCGACCACTTGTCAACATCTGCCGGCTCTGTCATGGTTGCGGGTTGCAGTAGCCACGTAGATAGGGACGGATTGTCGGTGAAACCGCTGTTGGGATCCAGATCGCCTTCGACATCTTCCTCGGGTACCGGATTCTTTCGCGAATGGCCGCTTCTGAAGAGCTCTGGTGACTTTGGGCGAAGAGTGGCGTAAGGTTCGGGCGGCTTGCCGTTTGCCTCTTTGGCAAGGCAAGGGTTGAACATATGGATCGACCCGGGGTTCCGTACCCTCTTCTCCTCGCCATTCTGAGACACTGCAACAAAGTCCTCTTCGACATGGGATGCACAAGCAATGAGGGTTTCGGTGACCATCTTGTCGGGAGGGAAACGGGAAAGGTCTTCCAGGTGGGGATGGAATCCTCGATGATGTGCAATGTTGCGAAACCATTGCTCTTGGCCAATGTCGTAGCGAGCGATCGTCATGAATGACCCTGCAAAGGTCAAGGTCATTGCACTATGATGATTGAATCCGAAACTCACCAGACTCGCTGTAATCTCCATACGAAGGATCCGTTCCCAAGGCAGCAAATTCATCCTCTCTAAAGTACCGGGGGTACGACAGCCACTGCCAAGTCACTACGGCCTTTTCGCTCCGCACGACGAGGATATCGTCTGTTATCCTGTAGACGGGTCAGCCTCCTCACACTCGTGATCACAGACACTCACCATCCAACCCAGTCCATGAAACCTGCTACGAGGCGGCTTGTCGAAAAGATGGGGAAATGGAGGACCTTAGGACGATAACCTCGTGGTGTAGGGAGGGACATGGGGTATGGGTCGGGAAAAGGAGGCAGGGCCCATATCTTGACCTTGTAGTCCATGCCGCAGGTGGCGATTGCCCTTTTGGATGGGTGAAACTCCTAAAGTCCGATTAGCAACTCGGCAGATAATTGTAAACAAGACCCACGCAATGGACCACATAAGACTGATGTCCGCCCTTGCCTTCTCCCGCGATGACAGCGACCACGCATGTGCCCTCATCAGCATCGGCCATTGGGTAGTTCTGGCTCAGTTCTTCAATGGGAATATTGTTCGGGGCGTCGGCACCTAGGATATTCCATATCCGTGTTGTCCTGTCTGCTGAAGAAGACGCCAATATGTGAGGATGGTGAGGGGCGAACGTTAGATAGTTGACAGCCTGCACGATCATGAGCTGTCTTCCTATGCGAGCCTGATGGGTACTGACGTCGCCATGCCCTTTGAGGACCCGCAACACTTCTTTGGTCAAGACGTCGATGATATAGATCAGTCCAGTTTTTCCACCTACTGCTACCAACGGGTGGCAGGTGAATGGATGATATGTCCAGGCAACCGAATACAGCTCTTCCTGTGGAACAGTCAGTAGAGTCAAGGCATCGAATTGCAACTTGCCGTATTGATCTTGCCTATTTGTATGTCCGACAGAACGGACCAAGCGTGTTCATCGGTACATTGTCCGATTATCAGCTAGACCGCTGAGCACTCACCAAAATTGATGACCTGTGCAGCATACCTTGTTCATCCCACAAAGCGCCACAGTGCCCTCAAACTCATCCCAATCCCAGCCGTCTTCGCCTTCCGGATTCCTCCAAGGCTTCAAAGCACCCACAAAAGGCCAAAACTGTACACAATCCCATCTGTGGAGTTCGTCTGGATGATCATGCCCTTCCTGTTCAGGTCATGTCAATGCAGACCGTAAAAGTTGCATGGACGTAGCTCACGTGGGTGATGGTTTCCAGTTGGTATGGCGGAGTACTGTGGACGGAATTGTACCATTGCCGACATGGTTCGCCGTTCGCATGCTCCGAGGGGCCATCCAGCGCCATGTATACTTGCCGTGCGCTTTGCATGCACGACACAAACAAGTCAACAACGAAGTCATGGAAGCGGTGCCTGGCGGCAGTCGCCGAAACACGGTGCCACTGTAGGCAAACTCCGAGAGGCCGCGAAATTCTGGTGGGTGGTGCAGGGAAGGAATTGAGAGTTTCGACACATTCACCGTCCATCAACTATCCAACATGCCTCCCCAGGTTAAGACTAAGGGTGAGTCAGCCGTACTTCCAGAGAGAATAACACTGACAGAACACAGCCCAAAAGGCCGCCGCCGCTATGGCCGGTTCCAAGGCTGGGTAAGTTTCGACACTTTTACCCCTCCGCAACATGTCCTCCCCTTTCTCGATCTCATTCCTCCTTCTCGACGTATCGGACCACGGTGCTTGGATTGGCAAGATGGAAACGAGCAAGGGAAAGGGCATGCAGCTGCGGGCGGGGGAGATGCGATTTCAAAGGCGGCAAAACTGACATTGGCTTCAGTAAGAAGAAGAAGTGGTCCAAGGGCAAGGTGAAGGACAAGGCCAACAACGCCGTCATCCTCGACAAGGCTGTCTTGTAAGCTTTATCGACATGTTGTAATCACCCTCGGCTGACATCTTTGCCAGCGACCGAATCGTCAAGGAGGTCCCCACCTACAAGCTCATCTCTCAATCCGTCCTCATCGACCGAATGAAGATCAACGGCTCCCTCGCCCGAAGGGCCATCGCCTACCTCGAGAAGGAGGGTTTGATCAAGCGAGTCGTCCACCACAACGCCCAACTTATCTACACCCGGGCTATCGCTGGCAAGGATTAGATGTAGGATATGGATATGATGACTTGAAAAACTCTGCGGTCTTTGATCGGGCAAGACAATGTTCACATGGTTGCAAATACTGACAAAAGAAGGTGCATTCAGCCTCTGGTACCGAGCGAGGCGGGTGTATGATCCAATAACCATCTCCACACTTTTCCGCCAACTTGGGACATGGTTCTACGGACCTCTTCGCCTGTCTCGCTGCTCTGCACCATCACCGGTCTCCCAGCATCTCCGCCGTCGCTCACAGAAGTCACCAGGGGGAGTTTGCCTAGGATCATCAGCGCGAGGTCTGACGTCAAGCGAAAATTTCTAGCTCACCGAGTACTTCCAGTCGCAGGTCATTAGCGGCCTTTTCAAACTTGGCGGCGCTTCCAAAGAGCTCGTGAGGCGTGGAGCAAGAGGAGCAGGTAAAGTGGGACATGTTGAGCAGTAATCCAATCATCTGGAATCTTTTAGTCTGGCGCTGGGATGGTCTTGATAGTACTTACCGGTATGGATACCTTGTTGAACATGCCTACTCCTTTCCTGGCGTCGATCAATGCCACATCCTGAGGCGTAGACACAATGACAGCACCTAGAGCACAATTCAGTATATTACAAGTCGACACGAGCACACATACCGTCGACGGAGACCAACTGCCCCAAGCTGAGTTGCACGTCTCCGGTGCCGGGCGGCATATCAATGACCAAGACGTCGAGGTCGTCTTTACCATTTGCTGATGTGGAAGTCCAATCGACATCAAAGAGTAGCTGTTGGACAGCTTTCATGACCATCATGCCTCTCCAGACGACTGGAGAGTCGTTCTCGGGATTGGGTGCTGGGAAAGGTTATCAGTGAACGTTGAGTGATCTCACGTCACACGCACGTAACAGGTAGCCTATTGACATGGTCTTGACACCATGATTCTGCAACGGAAGGAGTTTGTTCTCTGCATACCTGTCAGCGAGGCCACACCCCATCACAGAGCTTTACGTACCGTCACTCAACCGAGGATCACCAGCATTCTCGAGTCCCATGAGCTTTGGGACTGAAGGTCCAAATATGTCCAAGTCCAGCAGCCCTATACGGGGTGCTCTTCCAAGGGGCGAGCTGTTCAGTAGCGAAAGCGCAAGGTTGGCTAGATTCGTGTCAGTTGAACCAGACTTTTTCGCTCTACATTGGTCATTACCTGCGACAGTACTCTTTCCAACACCTCCCTTGCCACTTGCCACTACGACTACTTGTTTGACACCCTTGATCCTCGACTTTTGAGGCGGCGCCCCTCTACGAGGGATAGTGGGCGCGGGGTTGGCCTCTCGTCGCGGAATGCCCTTATGACAGTCTAAGCTCGGTACTGCATGATTGACGACGGACGCACAAGGGGATTCTCGTGAGAGCATGCACGGGCACTGACATGGAGCTGCCTGCATGCCGCGAGGGGGCGGAGGAGGACGGCTGCGCGGGGGCTGAACATGGCCGGCGTATGGGAGGAAGAGAAATGTGATGACGCTTGAGGAGATTGTTGTCTCTCGCTTCACCTCCATCTCACGCACAGACCACATCCCCCCGACAACGCCGCAAACCTCGCCGCCGCCATCACAATCCTCTCCGCCACCACCGCTCATGCCCCGTTGATCCACCCCTCGCCATGGACAGAACCCCGACACCGCTCAAGGCCAAGCGCCCAGGCGGCGCTCGTCCTATCCCTGGCTCGCGCCCCTCCAGCAGCGGCAATGGCCAGACCGGGTACAGCAGCGGCAGCATGACCTCTGGCGGTCTTCCAAAACTGAGTATACCATCAGGTAACGTCCGTAAGTCGTCAATGCTGTATACACCCTGTCGCGGCCAGAGTTCACCGTCCCCTCCAGCTGGCATGAACGTTGATCAGGCGGGCCAAGGAGGGTGGCACCAATCGTCCCCTCTTCCCTCTCTTGCTCTGCGCCCAATGCGACCCTCTACCGCTCCTTCATCAACGTCTCGCCCCAAGCTATCCCTTCCCACACTGTCATCGACCTCTCTGTCAAGCGGCACTCCCCCGCCGAAACCATCAAGACCTCCTCTCCTCAGCGCCCCGTCATCTGCACAAAGTTACGGCCAGAGAAGCGCCCCAAATCTGAAACTTGCCATACCTGGCATGAACACTGCCGGACCAGGCTTCTCAGCCGGCCACGACTATCCAGTGGAACCGGCTGATGACCCTGATTCGCTCGCATCTGCACTCAGAACGCCCATAGCCCGCGATAGCCTCAGTCTGAACATGTCCTCGTTATCCCTGTCTTCAAACTCGGCGGAAGATACCAACCCTACTCTCCAAGCTCGGGGCAGAGACTATGATGGCGATGGAGAGTCCTCGTACGGCTACGGTCGGATGGGCAACGGGCTGGAAGACCCTGGAGGCGATGTCCTGAGCGCCATGACGGAGGATATCCGCCAGGCGCTGAATAGGAGCAGATTCGACGAGCGCAGTAGTGGGAGAAGCAGAGCGGGCAGTATGAAGAGTGTCGCCAGTAATGACGACAACAAGAGTACGCCCGGGCGTTCATCTGTCAGTATGAGTGGACGCAATCGCTCTGATTCTGGAGCTGGATCCATTTCAGGCCGAGCATCTAGGCCGCACTCGTCACAGGGAGGTCATATCCCCCCAAACATAGTCGTGGCTGCGCAACCTGTGGGCTGTGACGAGGAAGCCAAAAAGTCGCCCGTCTTCCAGCCGGAAGATCTACAGCTCATCAAGCGACTTGGGGAAGGAACCGGAGGATCTGTAGACTTGGTGCAAGATAGGCGGACTGGGAAAATCATGGCCAAAAAGGTGTGCAGTCTCGTGTCCATTTTGTGCCTCGAAGACTGACAATCGCAGGTGATCACACGCACAGCAAATCCTGCGATCCACAAACAGCTTCTCCGTGAACTTGAGATCCTGAACTCGTGCGATTCCCCATACATTGTCGACCACTACGGCTCCTTCTTGACCGACCTCAATTCGTCCATTGGTATTGTCATGGAGTATTGCGAAGCTGGAAGTCTTGATTCCTTGCTGCAAAACATGAAGAAAAAGAACATGAGGTGTTCTGAGCATGTCTTGGGAAGAGTCGCGTCTTCGGTGCGTGTCTCGTTGTAATATATGGACTGCTGCTCACCGTGTGGTCAGGTGTTGAGAGGTCTGGACTATCTCCATCAACGACGGATTGTCCATCGAGACATCAAGCCGTCCAACATTGTCGTTACAAAAGGAGGTGCCATCAAGCTATGTGATTTCGGCGTCAGTGGCGAGCTGGTCGAGTCTCTTGCGGGCACCTTTACCGGTACCAGTTTCTACATGGCTGTGAGTGCCTACTTTGTGCCCGTCAACCAAGATGCTGATGAGACACAAGCCTGAGAGGATCCAAAACAAGCCTTACTCTATCAAAGCCGATGTCTGGTCTCTGGGCATGACCTTACACGAGATTGCCCACCTCCGATTCCCTTTCCCCGCTGAGGGCGAAGACCAGAATGTGGCGCCGATCGAGCTGCTCTCCTACATTGTGACCGCTCCTGTGCCTGTCATGGTAGACGATCCGAGCGTGGGGAGGGTGTGGAGTGACGTTATCAAAGACTTCATGGCTCAATGGTGAGCTATCAAGGGCTGCGTCAACAAAATCAAGCTGACGACTATTGCAGTCTGATAAGGTCTGGCACGGACCGCCCATACCCCTGGCAACTTCTTCAGCACCCATTCATCATCGCAAGCGAGGCCAAAAAGGTCAACATGGCTAAATGGGTCGCTGCCCTCTGCGGCTGGCCTCTGCCTTGATATACCTGCTGCTTTTACCAACTCTCTTCTCGCCACTTGAATTGTCTCATATCCTGGCCCGCATACCCACCTGTTTGATACGCCCGCATTGCACAAACCATATCACCATCGACCAGATATCCACTATCTATCTGATACACCCTACCGTTCTCTTGACCCCTTTGACTTTCGGGGACTAGACCTGAAAGGGGTCCGTCCGCCTTCACGAAGAATACCAAAATCACAATAGAAATCACGCACATGTCCTATGTGTCCCTTGTATATAGCATTGAAAGAAGCTCGTTTGGCCCGTGCATAGCATATATTATGTTCATTCCATGATATCTACTCGAGTACAGATACAACATGTTAGACCCAAAATGACGCGACACCCTCGTTGTTCTTAAATTCGTACACCCTCTACAGCGATCCCAGCTTCCTCATCCTTCCTCATCTTTGCGTCCGCCTCGCCTCCCACGCTTTCTCTGTCGTGATCGATTTCAGCCTTTGGAAGGTTGGGTGGCCATCGTTTAGAGCAGTAGACGATGGCCGCGGCAATCAATACGGACACAGCCCCACAGACCAAGGTGGCGATTTGGCCGTTCCGGAAACGGGGGGCTTCAACGACAGGCCAGGCTACAATCTGGTACCAGAGATTCCAAATGTTGGATCCGACTATCAAAGCTGTCAGCAAAGACTTTTGAAATTGCGCCTCAACACGTACGGTTCATGGTGAACAGGGTGATGGACCTCAGAACGTCATCATCCCGACAAAGCTCATTCGCCCAGGCGAAATTACTAGCTTGGCCTGCATAGCCAAATCCTCCGATGATGTATGCGAACCAATGCCCACCGGGGGTGAGATGGTCCCAGTTGAGGAGCATGACAGAGGAGATGAACACGGCGACAAACATGATGGGATTCACCATGAACCGGTTGCGGGTCGCGTCGGAGAGGACAGTGAGAAAGTAGGTGGAGACGATGGCTGTAGCTGTAAAGATGGAGGGATAGTAGGAGACTGCAGAATGGTAAGCAACGGGTCAGATCTCGAATGAGAAGTCAACTTACTCTGTCGAGCATTGTATCCCGCCGATTTGAGCCAAAGGTTGAATTCAGTGTAAACTCCGACCTTTTCAAAGGCGGTAGCAGACACGGTGAACAAGGCGGTGAAAAGATACCACCGCCATGAAGTGAGCAGTCGTTTAAGTGATGTTCCGAGTGTGCCGAAAGTCATCTTGTGCTGCTCGACATGGGGTAATCGACGGAGGCAGAGATCTCTTTCCTCTTGCGTCAGCCAGACTGTAAACAGGTCAGCACTCGTTCAGTATCGTTTGTGAGATGACATACAAGCCTTGGTACCGTGTGGTGTTCCCGGGAACATGACAAAACCATAGATGGCTATCGGGACGGTAATGGCAAAGTCAATGATGAAGAGGTATTGCCAGCCTTTGTGACCGCCTTTGCCATCAAGGTTGGTCATGATGCCCCCTTGCATGACGCCCGAGAAGAGGGTACCAATTTGAGCAGCTGTAGCAAACTGTACGGTATGTCAGCGGGGTACTACCAGCCCCTTTCAATGGCACTTACGACGGCGGATCGCTTGCCCAACTCGTGGTCTTTGTACCATGATCCAAGAATGTAGTGCGTGCCGGAAAAGGTGGAGGCTTCGAACAGTGCTTGTACGAATCGGATCCCCCAGACTTGATGAGGAGTGGTCACCCCTACGATGTACAATCAGCATGCAACCGTGGCAGGAATTATGCAATAGCAACTTACAGGCTAGACCAAGGGTACATAACCCCCACGCAATCATGCAGAACGGGAACCAGAACCTCGGCGAGATACGACCGGAAGAGAGGATGAGAGCAGAGGGCCACTGGCCTACAATATAGCCGGCTGTGAACATTGAGTTGGCGTAGGTGTAGTCATTGCCTTGGACTGAGATCATGATTAGTCATCGAAAGCACCAAGCCATAGTTGTACTTACATCCTACATCCTCCTTCATTCCAGTGGTATATGCATTCGCCAAATTGGCTCTGTCGAGGTCTATGTCGGTGTCAGTCCAATGGTTCTCGTCCAGTGATCCCGAACAACCCACAGTTGCAGAAATCTAATGATGGTCAGCCAACGCTCGGCATATGCACACGGCTGACGTACAAGACAAGCAGGCATAGGAAAGTATGATCAAGTCCAGTTTCAAGAGAAGTTTTCTCTCCTTGGGATCCGAGGGCGGCTTTCCCCAGAAAAATGTCTCCAGCTTGATACGTGTCTGACTTAGCGACATCGTACGACGAGATCGGTAGATTCGTTTGGGGATGTACAAATGATTGGGGGCGATTTATTTCCAGCGAAAGGGTGGATATTCGAAGAAAGCAGAGCTTTGCCCGGGAGGGCAATGACTTATCACAGCAGGTGGCTCGGGCTGTCTGCTTATCTCTGGAATACCGTAAAGATTGCTTGGTAGAACGGTCTGCGAGTGCTTCTCGGCTTTATCGTACGGATTTAGCCGAATAGATACCTGTGCGGCTGAAATAGTCGCTCTCGGTAATGTCGGGATCCTGGGATATGAGCGCGGGGAGATAGTGGCGTGCGTGAAGAGAAAGTGGGAGAGATGATAGTAATTGTGAGCCAAACCGAAATTTCAACGCGTCTGCGCGAGATCTCATCTACTCTCAGGCACAGGAACCGTGTCCAGTGGGCTTCTCGGACATGCCGGACACTCCTTACTGCTGACTCTGAGCCACCGACCCTGACATGACTATGCTTCAACCTATGGCCATCCCAGGTGGGGCTGATATAACGGCGTGCCAGATATCTCCCTGAACAGTTTCCCGCTTCAAATCTGATTCGCCTATCGCACATGTGGGCTTATCTTCGGCCTTGTGCGAAAAGACATCAGTCGGCTGTTTCTCACTCCTCTCGGCAATTTTGCGTCGGATCGCTCACATACAGAGAGCCCTGTAAGCGCCAGCGGCATCCAGATACGCGCCCATTCAAAGCCCCTGCGCTGATGGGATGCATGGTCATTACAGGGGGATAAGCAATTTAGGCATGAATGTCGTATACAGTCGTGAATGTGGTAATGGACACCTCGTGTCCTTCTTGGAATCTCCTTACTCTATGGCGAGCGAATTCGATTAGCCGATCAACGCCGCTGCCCACGCGAGACTGCCCTTGGGACAAACACCAACGAGTTTGTAGGTCCCTCATCTCGGGGCTGCTCCTGGTACTCTTGATCTTCGTCATACCCCTCTTCGCCGTCCCAAATTTCTTCTGTATGGTCTTTTGCGGCGGCCTCGGCGGCTTTTGCGGCACGATTCGCAGCATGTTCTTCTTCCATCTGCTTCTTCCTCTCTTCCTTTTCTGCCTTCTTTCTGTCGGCTTCTTCTTTCTGCCTCTTTGCCTCTTCTATGTTACGCTGCTTGTCCGGCTCTTTCTTCTGCACGGGGTCTTCCTGAGGTTTTTGAGATGACATCCAGTCCTCCCAGATCACCTTGCCGGATTCTCCCATCCAGGCATATCTTTTACCGGAATGGGAGGGTTCGATCAGCCCATTTGCTTCAAAAATGACGTTCTTTTCGGATAGCTTGATCAGAATTCTAGCAATATTCGTTGCGTCCTGCAATTGTTAGATATGAAGGATAGTCATCCTGTGGGCAACTTACGTCCAGACCAGAGTGTTGCCTTCCTTCAAAATCACCCAGTCCCAGAGCTTCACACATGCCAGCAATGTTGAGATAGTAGTCAGTCCGGGGGCGGGGCGGAGTCTGTCCCTTTGGCGTGGACGGCGAACCAGGAGCATTAGGAGCACCAGATCTGGTGGGAGTGGATGGGGCAGTGACGGGTATCGCTCCATCAGAACGGAACGCTCGAGCAACAGCTGCTCCGTACCCTTCAGCCCCGGCTCCTGGCCTCCATTTGCCTCCTCGCCTGGAAGTAGTGATTGGCATGGTCGCTCGCTCGTTCGCTGCATTGTCAGGGTGAGCGTCGGCGTATACACGTCGACGATTGATCTCTGACATGACGGACTGGACACCATGTTTGATGTTGAGATATGGACCGTGGAAGAAGTTGGGATATGGGTTTGGAGGAGTGATATGAAGCTGTTTGGGTACCTGCGATCAGGTCAGCATTGGCAGCGAGTAATACAGACAGACATACAAAGTCTCTGTAATCGGAAAAGTGTGATGATAGCGGTCAGTAAGTCACGCGTCAAAGTAATCCTCATTGAGCCTACCTCAAGTCCCAAGGCTATGTCACAGTCAGCACAGTGTCACGTTAGTCATGGACGGGACTCACCCCATCTGTCACCCAGATCGCATCCTTCAGCCCCTTCTCTCCACGCAGATCCCATTTATCTAGCCAAACCTCCAACTCTTTCAGGACTTCTGGGAAGGTTGGAGAGGCATCCACGATCTCCTATATTCCTATGAGCTATGTTCTGTCATGCTCGGAAGGGGCGTACCTGCGTGATACCAGTAAGAGCTTTGCAAAAGTCGGTCAATACAGGCTGCCAAGTCGGGCGCACATATGACCTGAAGGTGTCCACTTTCTCCAGCACCCTCTTGCCTTCCTCATCTGGCTCTCCCCATTTCACCAGTACTACTGGGAATTCCTGCAACTCGCTTAGCACGTGTCCAGTATGACGACAGAAAGACTCACAATGATTTCGTTTGGCCAGTCAAACTCTTTGCCTCCCCGACAGGTCGCCTCTACATCGAAACACAAGAATGACCTGAACTTTTGCCCCGACTCTTTCATCTGCTGTCTCTCTGCCCTTCGTCTCTCCTTTTCGGCAAAATGAGCTGCAAGCACGCTTTCCGAGGGAAACTCGACTTCCCAAGGGTTGTCGCTGTCGGATAGGGGTGTGGAAGGGTCTTCGGGAGGCGGGGCCATAGCCATGGCGGCGGCCTGAACCGCTGTCTGCGCCCGTCTACTTGATTGTCAGAATCAGACACACAAAGAGAACGAGACTCACCGGTACAAAGTCTCCTTCTTCCCTTTGGGACTCAGCCCCATCTTCTGGAGCGCCTCTCTCAGTTCATCCACAGTGTTCTTCTTACTGATCTTTGGCAATCCTGGAACATCCACAGGCTCTGGAGAATCTCCAGCAACCTCCGATTCCTCTTCGCCCTGCCCCTCTTTATCACCATCGAGCTCCATATAGCCCAGTTGATCTGCCAGCATCTCTTGCGAGTCGGTTTCAGAGTCTGGCTCGGGGTTGTATTGCTGGATAGGGGCCTGACCCCATACGCCGGGCTGATATGTCGGGGCGGACCAGGTCTCTTGAGGCGGATCGTACGACATCTCGCGAGTTTTCGGACGGAGCTGTCTTGAGGATACTGTATACGAAGCCGAATGTCCGTCGTTGCGCACTCTTCGATGTTTCTATCACGTTAACATCTAAGATGAGACAAAAACATAGTCAGGCCGCCCGCGGGGGGAAAAGTGGAGGCATCATCAACGACACAACGCTTTTAGTCATCTCGTGTGTTGTTGCTCCATATACGACTGTCGCCTCTAGAAGGACCGAGCAGACGTGTGGGAGTATTATATGCAAGGCCATGGGACGCGAATGTGTGACTGTGAAATCACCCTCTTGTTAACGTGACAGACGAACCTTGCCCTGACACAAGTCTATTGTAAGAGTTACATCTGTTTGCCATAGTCAAAAGAGTAGAAACGCAAGATGGAGAACTAAAATCGTGCTGGGAGAGAGAACAAGCCATCATAACAGGCCCATACACAAAGAGCCACAAGCCACTATCTGCTCCTGGTCCTCCCCCCTTGTCCTTCTCGGGCGCTCCACAGTCCGCCGTGTTACATACAACCTCCTCAACGCTCACACAGAACCCGCACCGCTGAGAGCCTGCTAACAGCACTTGCCGCCGGCCTTGGCACCGCCATCGTCGGCTGTGGGGGTGACCAGGATGGTTTCGCCACCCGAGGGCTTGATGACATCGCCAGAGGACTCGAGGGATTTGGAAGAGACGATCCGGTAGATCTCTGCGTAGGTGAATGGTGAGAATCGCATCGCGTTAACAAAAAGACAACATACCAGTGAGAATGTTTTGGAAAGCAGACTCGACATTTGACGCGTCCAAGGCAGATGTCTCGATGAATGAGAGTCCGTTCTCGGCTGCACCAGCTGATCAGCAACAATTCCCCACGCTCCAAACATGACTCACCAGCGAATTGCTTGGCCTCGTCTGTAGATACCGCTCTCAGGTGCTTCAAATCGCTTTTGTTTCCTACCAACATAATGACGATGTTTGCGTCGGCATGGTCCCTGAGCTCCTTGAGCCATCGCTGAACGTTCTCGTAGGTCTGGTGCTTGGCAATGTCGTACACCAAGAGGGCACCAACAGCTCCTCTGTAGTAGGCGGAAGTGATAGCTCTGTATCGTTCTTGTCCGGCTGTGAATCATTAGGTTAGCTTCCCGCCGCGCTGGACACTGGCATTGGGGCGGTGCTGGGACCAAGACTTTACGCAGTGTCCGAGACGTTCAGTCCAGGCCCCGCACACGACCCATCTATGGCTCCAAAGACCCACCAGTATCCCAGATCTGGGCCTTGACTGTCTTGCTATCCACATTGATACTCCTGGTAGCAAACTCGACGCCGATGGTGGACTTGGACTCGAGGTTGAATTCGTTTCGGGTGAATCGAGAGAGCACTGATCGAGGCATGAGCTTGGGTTGCACTGAGAACGCGGCACACTTACAATTACTATAGAAAGAAGCGGCAAAGATAGCTAGAATGAGCAAGAGTTGACAAGGTACCGACGCGACAATACATACGATTTACCGACACCAGAGTCACCAATAAGGACGACCTATATGTATATTAGACCCGGTGGGACACGTGCAGGCGATAAGGACGCACCTTGAATAGATAGTCGTAGTTGCTCTCTGTCATTGTTGTTTATGTGGGGTGTGGAGCGGGCTGGTGGCTCGGGGGTGACTGGGATATTTGTGGGCGAAGATGGGCAAGTCTCAGACTCTGGACAGGAGATGGAGATACACTAGGCGGCTGAGGGAGATGGAGGATGTGGTGCTCTTCTCCTGCGATGAATGGAGAGGCGCGTGCACGACACGTCTACGGAAATAACGGCGATACCCTCCATGCCCCGTGTGGCGCGTCACTATCAATCTCCCTGCATCGTCAATTGCGATATATCCCACTGGCCCCTGTCCATGGGAGGGCTAGTCAGATGCACACAGCGTCATGGACAGCACAAGTGACTTTTATGCATCGGTCGGCTTATCAACACATACTGCGTAATTTACAAGTCTCTCAACACCCGCTGCACCGTTTCGGCCAGTATCTCGACGTGTTTCTCCCCAAATGTCAACATGGGCCTGAGCCTCACCGTCTGCTCTCCGCACCCGCCAATCTGAACACCCGCCTTCCTCATCTTTCCCACAAACGCGTCTCTCATCTCGGGCGAGGCCATATCCCAGGCGAGGTACGTCCCTTCACCTTGGCCCCTAAAGTTGGCAACCTTGCCTGTTGCGGCGCTGGAGGAGAATACTTGAGAGAGGCAGGCGGCGAGGATGGAACCGATAGTGGCTGTGTGGGAGACGAGGCTGTTCTCCTCAATGAGTTGGATCATCTTGCGGGCTTGAAGAGCTCGGATGGGATCACCCTGCTAGTGGTCAGCGATTCATCCGTCTCAGTACTCGTTATCGCTCACCATCCAGGTGTTGTAGTTGCGGTAAGGGGCATTCGGCCTGGTCTCGTTCTTGTGGTAAACACCCGCAGCCTGCATCTTTTTCGAAAAAGTGACAAAATCAGGCTCTTCACCTTCCTTCAGCCCCCACTTTTCGTGCGCCCAAAAAGTGCCCGTGGCGCCCACACCAGTTTGCACTTCATCCACGATGAAGAAGGCACCGTGCTTCTTGGCGATCAGACGGAGGGAACGGAAGAATGCAGGGGAGGCGTGCTTGTCGCCGCCCTCGGACAGGATGGGTTCGATGATAACGGCAGCGACGGGGGAGTGGGTTTTACTGTGGATCGTCAGCTCTAACGTGGTGTGTACGGTAAATGTATTCACCTGCTGGTCAAAATCTCCTCGTACTCTTCCAGACACCTCTTCTCTTCAGCCTCGTTCTCGGCTACGTGGTCGTCAAGGGGATATTTGAGGGACGGAAATGAGGCGCTCGGCCAGTCAAAGGCAGGGATATCAATCTAGTTCTGTCAGTCCAAGCTACTTGTGTCTGAGCATACCTTGTGGATAGCTTTGCTTCGTGTGGCGCTGAGACTTCCAAACAATCGACCGTGGAAACCAGACTTGAATGAAAGCACGGTGAGGTCAGGACTGCCTGGAGAGTGGTTGTGCATGCAAGATTCTGGAGAAAACGTTAGCTCTGTTCACAGTCTCGAAAAAAGAATAGCATACCCATGTCTTCTTTGCTGAATGGGACATCGCTACCACCTCGCTCCCTCTGCCGGTACGCCATGAAAGCACATTTGAACGCCGTCTCTGTCTACAGGTCAGCTCGCCGTCTATATGGCTGCGTAGACGTACCATTTGCGCTACTACCACAGAGCGTCGTGACGAGCTGGTCCAATCCTTTGGGAGCGACAGTCAGCAGACCAGTCTTGATCCAGTCTGCCCATTGGACAGGAGGAAACGAGCCGATAGCAGGTCGATTCAAGGCGGCCTTTACAAACTCGTCCTACTCGGTGTCAGTCTCTCACCGCATGATGTTCGTCCTACTTGCAGATCGCCCGAGCTCAAGCAGTGCTGGGACATTGTACCCCAAGCCGATGGAGGAGATCTGCGCAAAGACATCGAGGAGGACGTTGCCGTCCGCGTCGACGAGATAGTTGCCCTTGGACAGCTCGTAGTTTGGCACAACGACATGTGTACGAGGATCTTGGAATGTGCCGATTTCTTGGGACTGTGGGGCTGTGAGCTTGTGAGCACGGCATCGGGTGGTGACTTGCAGCAGCAATGCCCTTGGGTCCCGGGACGGTGTCGGTGACGACGCGAGGGCCGGCGGGCTCGTCTGGGATGAGGTCGAGGGAGGAGAAACAGCGAGCGGTGGGACGGGCAGATATGGGCACCCTGCGCAAAGAGCGGGCAGTACGGGAGAGCATTCTGATGTGGAAAGGGGGCGAAAACAAAGAGCAATGCAGAAAGCGGCCCATAGACACCTCGGCAAAGACCTCGGCAAATTGGGGGCGGGTTGCCGAGCATGAATTTTGGTCGATGACGGATGTAGCTTCGCTTATCTCCTGCTCGGAGCTGCCCGTCTCACCAATCTACATATATGAACCCCTATACCATCTATCCCCTCTGGATCTCTATACACCACCATGGCCGCAGCCCCAGCCCAGTGGCAGGAAGTTTCCCGCGCAAAGATCGCAGCCCGCGATGCCCTCATCCCCAAGGAGTGGATCATCCCAGCCACAGACGCTCGCAGCGTCATCCACATCCCGAGGACGTGCGGTGTCCTCTCTGACAAGGAGATTGGTATCACAGAGACACCTGCGACAGCGCTCGTAGAGTCGATGCTGAGCCGAGAGCTTACGAGCTACGAGGTGACGTTGGCCTTTTGCAAGCGAGCTGCTATAGCACAGCAATTGGTGAGTACTGCCATGAGATGGACTGTGCTGATCATCCTATAGACCAACTGCCTCACCGAAATATTCTTTGAGACTGCCCTCAGAACAGCTCGAGCTATCGATGATGACTACGCTCAGACCAACACCCCCCTTGGACCTCTCCACGGCCTCCCAGTCTCGATCAAGGACAACTTTTACGTCGAAGGGGTTGATACTACTGTGGGCTTCATCAGCTGGGCCAGTGATCCCGCTAAGAAGGAGCAAGAGAGCGAAATTACCAAGGTCATGCGAGAGTGCGGCGCAGTGCTCTTCTGCAAGACGTAGGTTGCTCCCTTGACCTCTTGAATGGCGCTGATCCCTCGTAGTAACGTCCCAACCGCCATGATGATTGCCGAGTCATACAACAATGTTTGGGGATATACCTCCAACCCTTACAACACTTCCTGCTCTTCTGGTGGATCTTCTGGGGGTGAGGCCGCCCTCCTTGCCCTCTTTGGATCTCCCCTGGGGATCGGCACAGATATCGGCGGGTCTATCCGTATCCCCGCTTCCATGTGCGGCCTCTACAGCATCAAAGCTTCTTTCGGTCGCTTCCCCACTTACGGTGCCCGGTCGGGATTGCCCGGACAGGAAGCGATAAGGTCTATCAATGGACCACTGTCGAGCACTCTGGAGGGAGTAGAGCTCTGGGCGAAGAGTGTGGTAGGAAAGAAGCCTTGGGAGAGAGACCCCAACATGCTTCCGATCCCGTGGCGAGAGTACGAGGCTCCTAGCCAACTTTGCTTTGGTGAGTATATCTTCCCACGATTGGCGGTGGCTGATGATATGTAGCTATGATTTTGGACAACGGCATAGTCAAGCCTACACCTCCCGTTACCCGCGCCTTGCAGGAAACAAAGGCTACTCTGGAGAAAGCAGGTCACAAAGTCATTGAATGGTCCCCGTAGGTACCATGGTTGCTCAGCTGGTCTCTGGCTGACTCGTATCAGCTACAACGCCGAACAAGCCACCTCCCTCGTCAGCCGCTTCTTCCTCGGCGACGGCGGCGTCAAGATCAATCAGATCCTCGCTGCCAGTGAAGAGCCTTACCCGGAAGGTCTTGCGGCATACAAGGCTCGATTCGAGGCTTTGAAGAATAACCCCCCGCTTGTGGGAGATCTGTGGGATCTCCAAGCCGAGAGGACATCATACTGCAAGAAGGCACTCGACCACTGGCTGGCTAGTAAGGATGTCACCGGGACTGGGAGGCCCTTTGACGCTGTCATCTCTCCAGTCACTCAGCATTCTGCTTGTCCCAAGTAGGTCTCCTCTTTCCTCTATCACAGCTTCAACTGATGTCCTGTCAGGAAGGCCTACGGTGGTCATGTGACGTACACCTCCATGTGGAACATTACAGACTACAGTGCTACTACTTTTCCTGTTGGATTTGTCGACTCTGCCGTTGACAAGAAGGAGGAGTATGAGCCCAGGAATGACGTGGAGAAAAGCATTTGGGACCGATGTGAGTATTAATCTTGGGTCATCTCCTTGTGGCAGTGTTGACATCAGATAGATGACCCCGAAGAAGTCTCGGGTGCGCCTATCTCTCTCCAACTGGTGTGCCAGAGGCTCGAAGAAGAGAAGGCGATCGCGTTGACTGGTGTTGTCGCGAAGGCATTGAAGAAGACAAAGGTTTGATAGGGTATGTAACCGTGATCTGTTATGATGGCCAGAAGGCTATGCAGCAGTAGAATCTAAAGGCGGTGGCCACGACCATATTCAGAATGATACAGGCCAACATTTCGAAAGAGGCAGGACTCCAGGAGCATCTGACCACCACGAAGCAAGGTTGAAATCCATTCGTTCGACAGAGACATCGACCAGGGCAGTTCACGTGTCAGTTCACGTGTCGAGTATGTAACGTGCTATCATTCGATGAAAAAGGAAAACAAAAAGAAATCTTCCTGACGGGGAATCGAACCCCGATCTCCCGCGCAATTACGAAATTGACAAGCGAGCATACTAAACCGTTATACGATCAAGAATTGGCTGAATAAAGGGCTAAAAGTATGTACTAAAGGAGCACACACCTAAACGAACCAAGTACACCTACTCATACTTCTCGACTACCACTCACTCCCTTTTGCCCTCTGGGAACTGCACCTACAAGCATCTACACAGACGCCTAACACCCACCGCATCTCCCGGCAACGCTTCGAGATGCTCGGCCCCATAGGGCATCTACCCCGCCTTGTACGACTCACCCTTCTGGCAACGGCACTGGTTGTCCTTCCCACTCTCTACTTTCTGTATCCATCCCCCGAACGGCTTCCCTCACCCGGAGAATGGCAAGCAGGAGGTATAGATAGTGATCACTGGAGAAGTCCTGTCAAGCCGGCTTTCGGCGAGTACGAGCTTGAAGAAGGACGAGGGTGGGATGACCAAAGTGGCGTTGGAGGCTCAAGAGGTTGGGGGCAAGGCAAGAAGAAGGCCCCAGAGATAGGCCAGGACGTGATTCATGGAGGGGTCATAATGCCGAAACTGGGCAATGCCACTGCGAAGTGAGCTCCTTCGTCTCGGTATTTGGTTCGCGCTCACTTGAGACAGGGCTGAGCTAGGAAGATCTGCTTGGAGGGTGCTGCATCTCATGACCCTGAGATATCCTGAGGTGAGTCGAATCCTTCCTGACGGCATTTCACAGTCACCGTTGACTGACCTTGCATCAAGGAACCGACAGAAGATGACCGTCTAGCACTCAAGTCTTATTTCCACCTCTTCTCTAGACTGTACCCATGCGGAGAATGTGCTCAAGAATTCCAAAAACTGTTAAAGGAGTTTCCCCCGCAGGTATGGTCTCGCCACGCGAACGTCCTGACAAGCACTGACAGCATTTGGCAGACATCCTCGAGAAAATCCGCCAGTCTTTGGTTATGTCACGTCCACAATCAAGTCAATGCTCGATTAGGAAAGCTCGAGTTTGACTGTCTGACTCTTGATGCCACCTACGACTGTGGCTGCGGGGACGAAGGTAACTCGACCTCCACATCTGGACTTGTCCCCGATAGTGACAGGAATGTGGTCAAGGCCATGACCGCAGCAGTCAATGACCCCGAAATTCTTGACGACGGTGGCCAAGCTCTGCAAGGGGAGTTTGAGCTTGCTGCGTCCGCCGAAGGGGTCGGCCTCTCAGCTGATCAGGTGGATGAGTCAAATGTACTGGACAAGGAAAGCGAAGAGCTGAACCGCCAGGACCAAGTCGGGGAACTCGAGTGGAGGAAGAGTCAGAATCTCAAGCAGATCGAATGGGATCAGGAGAAAGCAGAGCATGGCGTCGATTAGATGGGAGCGCCGTACCCCAAATACTAGCACTGTCACATAGAGCGCCTCGACGGGACGGCCGTTGTATTTCCTTCAGGCATAGATGCATGCATGCAATCCTTCTACAGAGGACCGCTTCACGAGGAAGCCTCGAGCGCAGGCAGCGTGCTCGCATCGTCCACCACGGCCTTCTCGTTGATGACCTTGCCAGTCTTGGCAATCTTTTCGGTCACAGTTTCAAAAGGAGGCAGAGAAGGACCCCAGACGAGGACGAGCTGCTTAGGGAGGGAGATGTGGTATGCGTTGGCTACGAACCATCCTTTGTCAGCATTCTTCCATACCATTTGACACGCTCCCATATTGGGAAGGCGGACATACGAGCAGTGATATTCTTTGCGAGGACCCGGTTGACGGCGCCAGAGCATCCAGTGCAGGTCATCTTGACGTTGTACTGGTAGGCAGGGCCGCTGGGGGTGGATCCGGGGATGGAAGTGATGATGGGACCGGGCTGCAACACGATCAGCTGGGCGCCATAACGTCTGGGGGTACTCACAGCTGCCATTGTGAATGATTTGTGGACGGATGAGATGGAAAGACAAGAAAGAAAGTGACGAAGAGAACGAGAATAGAAATGGTCGTCAATTTCAAGTTCCAGCTCGCTCTCTTGCGTCGCCACCGCTGTCGTCAACACACAACGGCGGCGATGCCCGTCGGCCGACGCGTAGCAGACAACTGAAAGCCATCGCCAGGCCAGTTCTCTCATGACCTCTTCTTTCACTCTCGTTCCTGCCCTCTCCTACGTGTCTTTATCGGATGTATATACAGCCTCATTACATGGTATCGCCTGAACAAATGATTCTCGCTGATCTGCTGCCCCGCGACTGAACCCATGACCACTCAACTGCTCAGAGATCAAGTTCGTATCTCTATACATGATGATGGCGATGCAACAATGAGCCCAATGATTAGTCTATATATACCTTTGAAGGCCTATTCTTCCTCCTCGTCGCTTCCAATCTCCTCATCCCCACCAGTAACGGGCTTTGAATTGGCCTCGACCCATTCCTTCGCTCTCAGCTTGGCCTTCTCCTGTCCAGGAGCATCGCCTATTCTAGACTCGAGACTCAACCACTTCTTGAACAAGAATCTGATAGGTATTATCAGCTACTGGTCATATTCAACCCGATAACAGACTCACTTGGCCTTCTTGCTCGTCAATTTCTGGTTCAGCGCTCGGTCAACCAACCCTCGCACACCCTGGATATCTCCACCCTTGCCGAGCTGGTCAATGTAGACGCCCCAAAGGTCAAGTCGCTTAGGCAGCCGGTCAACAAGGCCCTCGAAAAGGGTCTTGGCACGCTCGGCGTCACCGTGCTTGAACTCGAGAAGAGCCATCTTTTCGATAGTTTCGACATCTAGCGATTTGTCAGTATGATACGAACAATCAATGGTTCATACTCACGTTTCGACTTGTCAAGAGACTTCAAACTTCTCGGCAGAAGGGCTCGGGCACTGTCGGCATCACCCTTAAGAAGATAAAATTCGGCAAATCGTGTCCAAGATTCAGGATAAACTGAAAACTTCTTCACAATCTTCTTGAACACTTCTTCTACAGCCTTGGAACGAGGTCAGTCAAATCGCCGGGCACAGACTACCATACTCACATCTTCTTTGCCAGCAGTTTGGAGCGCATCCGCGTATCTCATGAAAACAGTCCTCTTGTCGTTGTACTGGCTGGCTTCCTCAAACAGCTTCTCGGCGCTGCTCATGGTTCCGAAACCAATCTCCAGATTGATCAAGGCCATCCAGACGTTCAACTTTTCCTCTTCTTCTCTGTAAGAGATCTTCTCCAACGCCTGTCGACCAATCTTCCTGGCCTTTTCTATTTCATGAAGTTGAAGGTAGAAAGACATGTACTGGATCCAGAGGAAGGAGGAGTTGGGAGAGGCGAGAAGAGCACGCTCATACTCGGCGGTAGATGATGGGCGATCAGAGGGGGCGGTGGCAGTGAGGTCAACATTCTTACCCTTGCCCTTTGTAGGAGCAGAGGTCTCGCCATCGGAATCCGACTCGGAGTCTGAGGGGCCAGCCTCGGGGGCATCACCGGTCCAGTCGAAAGACGCCACGTTGAGAGCAGTCTTGGGGGCAGAAGTGGACGCCTCGGGTTGCAGCTCTTCGTCGTCGTCGTCTTCTTCGTCGTCATCATCGTCCTCGGCATCATCTTGTGCCTCGGCCTCATTGTCTTCTTCCTCATCTTCGTCGTCCTTACCGGCCTCACTCTCCTCTTGGTCGAGTTGCAGCTCATCTCCACTCTCCATCTCCACATCGCCATCGGCTTCCTCCTCTTCCTCGTCATCTTCACCACCCTCAAAGTCTTCGCCAAAGTAGCTGGCCTTGATACCAAAGCTGATCTTGTTCTTCTCAGAGTCGATGCTGGTGATCTTTGCCTTGACCTGGTCGCCCTCTCTGAATCCCTTCAAAGCTTGCGCGACATCGGCCTTTTTGTTGTCGGTGATCTCGCTCTTGTGGCAAAGACCAGAGACATTGGATCCATCGATCTTGAGGAACATGCCGTAGGCCTCGACCTTCTTGACACTGGCGACAACCTTTTGGCCTACGGTAAAGTCTGAGAGGGAGAGGAGGGCAGTCTTCTTGGCGGCACGCGTGGGGTTCTTTCGGAGAGACAATTCGATAGAATTGGTGTTGGAGTTGATGGAAACGATCTTTCCAGAGACGAGCTGGCCGACCTCAAATCGGGATTGCCAGTCCTTGACATACTTGGAAATGTTAGCAAAGTCCGATGGCGCAAGTCTGTAGCAGACTTACTTCGTCAAAGAGCTCCTTGATCATGATTCGGGCAGTCACGTTCCTGCCCAAAGACACAAAGACACCGGATCCGGCAATGTTCTTCACCAGACCCCTCACAGTGCTACCCTCCTTCAAGTCGCCGACGGTGTTGATCTCCTTGTCAACGACATCTTCCTGGCCTTCAACCCTAGAGGGTCTGGTGGAAAGGTCGATAGCACGCTTAGAGGCATCAACCTTGAGGACGTAGCACTTGACGTGCTCGCCCACAGAGAGGGGCTTTTGAGCAGTCACAAGAGAAAGGTCATCCGCAGCGTCACAAGGGTGGACACGACCTCGAATAGAGTTAGAGATCTTGACCATCCAGCCGTTAGGAGTGTGGTCAGACACGGTGCCCTCGAGGATTTGTCCCAACTCGATAGAGTCGATAGCCTTGACGTTGGCAGAGATACCGGACGCGGCCTTCTCTTCCTTCGTCTTGGTCTTCTTTGCAGAGGGAGTCTTCTTGATGTTGACAATGATCAAACCAGACACCGGGTTCTTGGAAACGATGACGAGGTCCTCAATCTTGTCGCCAGCCTTCAAGCTCTCTCTCAATTCTTCGATGCCCATTCGCTTCTGGTTGGACAAGTTGCTCAAAGACAGCAAAGCGGTCAAACCGCTTCCGTCAAGCTTGACAACGACCTGCTCAGCGTGCACCTGAGAGACGACGCCGGTGACAGCCTCACCAACTTCAAGCTTCTCGGCAGCGGTGGCGGGGGCTGAAGCGGAAGCTTGCTTGGCGGAAACGACGAGTCGGGCAGTCTCAGGGTCGGCTTCGATCACACGGATGGAGAGGGGCTTGCCGACGTGGAAAGCCTCATTCAGGTTTTTGACAAAGGTTTGGCTACACTCGGAGTGAGGCATGAAGGCCTTGAGGCCGCCAAAGAGCTCGACCACGATACCCTTGTCGACAATCTTGAGAACAGAACCGAGGGTTACAAGGCCGACCTTGAAGTCTTCAAAGGACTGGGGAATGGTGGCGTCGGATTCGATAAAGGTCTTCTTGAGCGTCAAGACAACCCTGTTGCGGATAGGGTCAACGGACCAGACACGAGCCTTGACAGAAGCATCAGGTCGGAATCGCTTTGCGGGATGCTTGAGCTTGATATCGGCATAGTGGTTGGGCTGCACGATACCATCGACGTTGCCGTGGATGTTGACAAACAACATGGTGTCGGTCAACTTTCGGATGACACCTTTCAGCTGCTGGCCAATCTTGAGCTCGGTGACCTGCATGAAAGTCTGGGACAGGACAGATTGCTCGAAAGACAAGAGCAAAACACCGTCCAAGGGAGAGTGGCCGATGACTCGAGCGCGGTGAAGAGTACCAGGCTTGAATTGAGGAACAGCCTTGGACAAGACGGGGATACGCTCGTCGGCCAGATGACTGATGTGGACGAAACCTTCCAAGCCGTCCTGGGTCCTGACCATCACACCCCAGTCGTTCAACACTCGGGTGACCTTGGTGCTCTGGTAGATTTTGCCGGTAGGGATGGCGAGTTCGAGAGGAGTCGAGTCACCTTCTTGGGTAGGGCTTGTGAGGTCGACGACGTGGGGAAGAGCAGAGAGAGAGAACGATCGAGGGTCGGCGGAGAGGTTGTCGTAGATAATTCGGGCTCGGATCTGCTAGCTGTCAGCAAATACGACCTATTTGTACAATGTACACACCTTTTTGCCAATCTTGTATTTCTCCTCTACATCGTCTTCACCGAGAGGAAGGTGGGCAACGTCAAGGGTACCATCGAAGAAACCAGCGACCTTGACGTTCAAGCCACTGGGAACAACAGCGGTGATCAAGGCTGTAACGAGATGGCCGGGGACCAAGGATCCCACAGTAGAGACTTCGCTGACTTGCGAGCGGACCAGTTCCGTGGGGTCGAGAGTGAGTTGCACAAGACGACCGCCCGCTGCAATGGAAGAGATGGTGGAAGGGACAAGTTGCCCCGGGATCAACGTCTTGTTGAATTTCTTGGCATCGTCTTTAGAGACAAAGCCTTCGACGGATGACCCCCCGTCTTCAGTGTTGAGTCCAATAGCGACAGTCCATCCCTTGTCTTCCTCAGACTTGACTTCGCCAGTCAAGAGATAGCCCTTCTCAAGATCCTTCTTGGCAACTTCAGAGTTGACCTTTTCGGGTATGAGAGTGAGCTCCACTCGGGCAGCCAGCCGAGTAGTCTCGGTGACGGGATACTGTGAAACGAACGATTGACTGGCGGTGGGGTACAGAGTCAATACTTTGGCAGGGACATATTGACCGGGGACAAAGAGCTGAGCCAGGTCTGGGGCCGATGATTCGTCATCAGACTCGTCTTCCTCTTCGTCCTCCATAGCAGCATCTTCTTCGGCGCGCAACAGCTGGGTGAGGGTGTTGGAAACTTCAGTTATCGGGACGTGGGCGAGAAGGTTGTTGGGGAGAGACAAGATGAGATGGAGGGGGAGGATGGTGTGGACACGAGCAAGCACACGGGTGCCAGTCGCCAGTCGCTTGTAGTTGAGCAACTCGACACCTGTTGGGCATCAGCGACTGCACCTTTGCCATCTCTCGTTAACTCACGGATTCCTTCCTTGTCCCTCTCCTCACGCTTCTTGGCGTCCTCGTTCTTCTTCAGTCGCTTGGTCTGTCGCTCGCTGACCTGCCTCTTTCGCTTCTCACCTTTGGAAGCCTGCGCCTTTGCTTCTTCTTCGGCTTCCTTCCTGCCCTCTTCTCTGACCTGCTTGAACTCGAAGGCGGTCAAGCCGGATCCCCCGCCTCGTGGAAAGTCGGCCTCTTCAGCCTGCAAGCTGGAGGTGAATGCTGGAGCCGGCCTGGCAGCGGCTGGCTCTTTGTGGTCGCCTTTTGTGGGGGCCATTTTGTGGTTTGGTGCTGAGCCGAGTTGTAGCGCACGCATCTCAAGGGTGGACTTGAAATTCTGCCAGGAACTGTCCTATATGGGGGGACATTTAGCAGACGCGTCGCGACGAACGCTTTCCTTCAGTGTTCAGTCGTTGACTCTATGCATTGGTTTTCTGTTCTGCACAGTCCCAGCTATACCTGCAAGAGGCCCGCCGTTCTACTACATGGCATTCACGACTCCGACGAAAACTCCCACGAAGCGGCCGGCGTTCGCAGCTGAGGCTGGGGTGGGCAAGCCTCGGCCTACCGGTGCTTCCCCTGCATACGTTCGTTTCTGTCGTCTGGGAAGCGCATCGATGCTGACTTCATGGTAGAGCTCGAGGAGGCATTCACTCTATGGCATCGAAGACCGTGTAGTCCTTGAGTAAGTGCCAGGTTGCCATGTTGCACTCTACTGACGGCCCATGCGTTCCCAGCCTCGGCTCCCGTACTTGGAAAGTCGGTTTTTCTGGAGAACCAGATCCACGAGCTGTGTTTTTTGCATGCGGATCATCCACAAGAGACCAGTCATCTGAGGCGTGGGACTTGGACCTCGACTCTGTGAATGCTATCAGAGGGAGCAGGTCTGAAGGGGATAGATTGATCGGGATCAGGATTGTAGAAAGGTTGAGAGAAGTCTTTGCAAAGTAGGTTTGTGGCGATAGTATACTGGCGGCTGACATACTTCAGGCATCTCCTTGCGGACTCAAAACAACGCAAGGTGATTGTAGCAGAAAACACGTTCCTCCCGACATACCTTAAAGAACACATCGCCCGTACACTGTTTGACAACCTCCGAGTACCCTCTGTCGCTTTCACACCATCAAGTCTATTAGCTCTGGGATCTTGCGGTAGGATCACAGGCCTTGTCGTTGACGTTGGGTGGCTAGAGACCAGTATCACTCCAGTAGGTGATTCATGTGCTTCCGAATCAAGCTGACTTGCCCATAGGTGTACAACTCCCGACCCCTTTTCTCCCTCTCACGATCTACTCCTTTGGCTGGCAGAACGCTACACACCAGGGTCAGGTCTCTACTCCACCTTTATGGATCTTATATTGCGCCCCTAAAATCGCTGGGAGATTTGTCGAGGGATCGTAGCGAGGGAGTGCCCCTGGCTCTGTTGGATGATGCGTTTGTGGAGAAGTTTGTGACCGAGGGCCTGTTTGTCGGAGGCGTCTTTGTTGAGCCAGAAGATAACGATGACGCGGAAATGGAGGATCCGGGCGACATGGACGAAGCAAAGAGTGGGAAACTGGAAGATTTACATCTTGTCAGGTCTCTCAAAAGCAGGTATCAGCCGTCCTCTTCAGCCAAAGATATGACGTTTTCTGTGCGCCCCCCGACGGGCGTGACCACGATGGGATATGGTACCATTATGGTACCTGGGTGGGTGCGCGAGAGGGCTGCAGAGGTGTTGTTTGAAGATGACGAGTCTGATGAAGCGGAAGCCCTGCCGCATGCTATCCTCAGCTCGATCCTCAAGGTATGTCCCAATGTTGGCGACTATCTTCAAGTGCTTACGTCGATAGCTCCCTGTGGACCTTCGGCCAGAGCTCATATCGACTATCCTTGTTGTCGGCGGCACATCTTCCCTTCCCAACTTTATTCCTCGTCTTCGCATAAGTCTTCTTCAAAACCTGTTACCACCGCCTTCATTCTCGTCAGACGAGCCCCCGCCACCTCCATCGCCTATTGGCACATTGGCTAGTAAACTCGAGGACGCAAAGTTATGGCGCCTCAGGAAATCCCAGCCTTACCAAGAGATCTACGGATTATTCGACAAGGTGGCCATCCTGAATGACCCGGCGCCCGTCGATGGGGCAGGGAATGGAAAGGGGGGTAGAGCACCGAGATGGGTTCCGAGCTTGATGACTTGGGTGGGCGGTAGTCTTGCAGGGTGAGCCATATGATCGACCATATACAACTGTACCTAACTTGCCACAGCTCCTTGCGCACAGGTGGCCCCGAAATGACCCGCGAGACGTACGATACTCTGCTTTCCGCATATCTCGCCAGAGGCGAAGTGTATAGAGAAGAGCTGGAAGAGGCTTATCCTAGCGTAGCAGCTAGTGTAGGGGTGAGTGTGGAAGACCTGAGGGTGGGCGAGGCGGTCAAGGACGCTAGGGGACTAGGGAGAAGAAGAGGCTGGAGATATGGCAAGTGTGTCATCGAAGATTGGAGTCAGACGGTCAAGGTCTGATGGTGAGAGGAAATCAACATCATCAACACAATGCATACATATGACATGTAACATAATCACAGCATATCAACATCCCTGATCCCCGATGACCTTGACCGTCCATCAAAGCTTCAATTTTGCCAAGAAATGTGAGTCGACGGTCGTTGTTGAAAGACAAACCGCTGGCGGGGCGGGGCGGGGCGGGGCCACCGGCGAACTTTGTGGCGACAAGTGGGGACTCCTTGTTCCGCGAGTTCTTCCCCAGACTCGAGCGAATTAATTGAAGAACACGCGACGAGCTGAGCAGCTCGTCGCCTCAGCTCGTCGCGTCGGCCACTGCCATTCGCGCGCAGTCTCCAGACGCCCAGACAATCCGCTCTGCATCCATCAGCAAGCGCTTTGAGCCTGGAACATTTCTTGCGGAGCCAATGTTGGCTAGGGAAGAGCCGATAACTTTTCTCGAAAAGTCCAAAAAATCTCTTCTGCATCGTCATTCTGCATGTGCCGCAATAAGTCGTGCCGGATCGGCTACTAAAAGATACGTGCCTAGCTCAAAGCTTAACTGATCCCTTTCCCTGCTGTCAATCGGTGATTCGGTGACGCGCCTGGCTGACGTGTTTGGTTGCTGGCGGTGGCAGCCGAGTTGTCTCATGTCTGTGGCATTTATGCAGGCTGCAGACTCTTGCGTCTTTACGGGAACCCGGGACGGGATCCAGTCGGAGGCGGTGTGTCTTCTGTCTTCGAGTCCCGTGTTGGCCCCCGCTGCAGGTCGTGGTCGTACGATGTGTGAAGTCGGGCCGAACCAGCATAGGTGTCGCGCGTAAAGAGTATGCACGTCTATCGTGAGAGGATATGGACCAATCGGGCTACTACGTGGTTGCCATAGGTCTTGAATTCTATAAGCTATAACAGTCGGGCTATCACGGATGATGGTCGTTGTCACGGGTTGTATGCAGACCAGACGGCAGGCGAGGCGGCAGGCCATCAGGACCATTGCAAAGCGCAGGCGGCCGAGGGTGTGTCGGCACAATGTGGCTTGCAACAGTTTGAGCAGAGAGTCACTGCGGATGTTCTCGCCAGAGGCCAGAAGACAGGCGGCGAGATCTCTTTGAAGATTCGGCCCGACTGCGCTGTTCATGGGAATGAGAAACAGCAGACAAATACTGCTGACGACATGATTGGGGCATTCGTAGTTACAGTATGGGTGGACTCCGTGATCACCCGTGCGTTGGTGAGTGCCATGCGTATTGTGGCGGTATCGGAGCTCTGCTCAACCAAGCCGGATGCTGTTCTGAACTTGATAGCTCTCTCAACAGCTTGTACGTGTATCACAATGTGACGCCGTAGATATCAACCGATGCAGAGATGACAGAAGCTGTCTACGCCGTTCTCGCTCAACGGGCCCCCAATGGTCCCCCAGCGCAGCCGTCCCCGTACCCCAGGGCCCCGAGTCCAGGACCTCGGGGGTCAAGCTTAGAAGCTCGGGAGAGACCCTGGGGGCTTCCGTCCCTGGCATTAACCTCGGTTTTACCCTTACGTCTTACCATTTTCCCACGCCTACATACCGGCCGTTATTGTCCTCTCTGAGATCATACGAGGAGAGTGCGTACGGCATTCGTGGGCTTGGGAAAACGGCGGCTTGTTCATTGTTCTTTCTTTCGTTCATTATCCACAATACCCATTTTTCATTTTGGCGCTTCCACGATCGTCACGACCAGGTCATCCGACGCGCTCTAGCACACTTGTGGGGAAATCGGCGAAACGGTCATCAAACAACACATCCATCAGGAAAGGTCGAGAAAAAAAAATATCTATCGGCCGGACAGCCACAGATAGACACTGCCCCCACTCCCTATCCGTGTTCTATCATTTCTTCGGCGGGACAAGTCCCCTACGCGACGGCCTGCGGGACACGATCACGCAACAACACGAGCGGCCGAGAGGGACTGGATTCCCTCGACACGGTCCAGGAAAGAAGATTAGGAAACACGAGTGAAACTTGGGAACCGCGAGTGGAGGATCAAAGTCTTTCCCATACACGCCCAGAGACGGGCATCCTTGGCAAACTCCTTGGAAAGGAGGACAGATTCCGACAACGACGACGACGACGGGTAGTGCGCGAACGCGATTGTTCATTGCATCTTGCGACGACAAATCAATACCTTTCCCCGCGAAGGCATTGACGGCGCCCCACCGTCCCACATAAGCCGCCTCTGCGATCAGCAGTGTCCTTTGGATAGAGCAGAGTCAGCTGGCGAAAGGGATAGGAGATAAAAAAGGTTTCGGCGGAATACAAGGTGAGTGCAGATGGTTCTGGAAGCGGGTGGCTCGGTTTCTTGATAAGGGCCGGTTGTGAAGACTACCATCTCGATCTCCTTCTTCGTATGCTTTCGCATCTCGCCCGCGTTGAAGCTTGAGTTTGTCGGGGTGGGCGAGGTGGGCTACTATCCCCACGGCCCCCCATGGGTTGCACTGCCCTGGCAAGGACCGCCCGTCCTTGCCACAGGATCTACGAGAAGGGATATTCTACGATCTCTACGAGGGGTTCCAGACCTCTGCTTCTGGGATATCTGTGTGGTGGCTGTCGCTGCGTCCTGTATGCCCACATGGCTGTGCGAATGAACCTGAAGGGTCGCTGGTGTGTGTCGGTCGGTGTACTCAACATGTCCATTTCCCGCGTGATTTATTCCGTCCTGTCCCTTGTCCCTGCACTGTTCCATGCGCTTCATGTGGTAGATGGCGCTGACTATATAATCAAAGAGTCATTCAACAAGACGCGACGCTCGTGAGTCATCCCCACCTGGTTGTTTCCATCTTGTTATACTTCCATCACGTCTCTGGGAATCTCTTCCCACGCACGGACCGTCGCGTGGCACAACACGATTCCCGATTGATCTGCCCTTGTGGCTGTTCCGATCAGCCAGCGCGTGTCGCTCCCCTCCGCCCCTGTTCTCCCCAAACATCCATCTTTCTTTTCTTTGTTTCTTTGTGTCCTCTCCATCTCTCACGATCTCAGCCCGGTCGCGGCCACCCACCGGGACCTGTCCGTCCTGTCCTCTTCTCCTTTCACGAACTTGTGGCTAGAACAAGCGGTTGTGCCTTTCGACCTTTCCTTTATCTCCTCTCTTTGCCCCTGCCACCCAAGGAGTATCCTTGGTGGTGTTCGTTCCGGCCTGGGTATGTCTCTGAGCTCGTGACCATCTCTCACCGCTCGCCCATAAAACGACCCCGTCTTCATTTTTTCGCCGGTCGCCCTCATACCTTCCTTGTTGACTCACCTTCTCATACGTCATCCTGCTCCGGACGCGTACGATTTCGATTGTTCTCGGATCTGCCTCATTTTTCAGTCCGTCTTATCGTCGCCTCTCCTTCTTTCCCCACCTTTCATTGAAAAAATGCAAGGGCGTATGCTGACTCTTCCCAGATATAGCAGATGGTATACGCAGACCCAAAGACACAGTCACCGCTTCCTTCCCCCACGCCAAAAGAGACCTCCGCTTGGCGTAAAGCACACTCTGCACCCACCCATATCGAAGACATCACCGTCAACATGGCCAGCAGTCCCCTCCCTACCATGCCTCGCCGGGCATCCTCCTCCAACTCTTCCACGCCTAGGAAGGGTCTCCCCAGCCTGTCCCGACAGTCGAGTGCCAACAGCTCACCCTCAAAGCCCTTGGAAGGCATTCCTCGGAGGGCGTCTTACAACTCGCCACGGCCCTCTATATCGGGGTTGCCTTCAGAGAGTGGTTCCTTGGGCCTCAAGCTGCACGGCAGTCCGACACCGGGCAGGACGAGCCCGCCCAAGAGCAATGGCGAGTCGTCGGTCCCCACCATCAGCTTTGATCCCAACTTTACTCCTTCACCACGCTCTTCTCCAGCCCGCAGCCCTCTGTCCCCTCCCGCTGCGTCGTCTCGGCCCATGGCTAGGCGAAACTCGTCTGGGCACGTTCGGGGCTCTGCATCCGCATCCATTCCCTTTCCTTCCTCTGCCTCAACTTCAGAGCTCCCGGCACCTCCAATAGCATCCCCATCCTGGCGCCCGAGTACAATCCGCAAAAAGTCGGGCGAGCTCGTCAAGCCGTCGCTCAAACTCCGGTCAATGTCTACACCCGACCTCACGCGGCAGGCCGAACCGGAAAGCCCTAGCCCTCATGCATTCGGGGAAGAGCGCTCGAAGAGTGTCAGGTTTGCCGACTCGAGCGAGGGAGATTCGAGCGCTTTGGAGAATGTCGTGTTGTTCTTGAGGGAACAAAAGGTGACTGCCGTCGGAAAGGCCATCGACCCCGACGCGCACATGACAGAGACCGAGACGGAGGGGGAGACGGATGCTTCGGATTTTGTCCAGTTCCGCACGCGCAAAAATGCGGCTGCCAAGGCAGCCGACGAGGCCAACCAGATCCAGCTCGATGGGGCGAGTCGAATACCGCGAAAGAGGACGGATTTCTCGCCGGATGCTAGAGGCAGTCTGACGGGTGAAAATGTCATCTTGGAGAGAATCGAACTGCAGACTGCGAATGGACTGTCGTTGAGAGGATCAGTCATTGTGAGAAACTTGGCTTTTTCCAAGTGGGTCGCTGTGAGGTTCACTATGGATCATTGGCAGTAAGTTTTCACTTGCCAACACGTGCCCTCGCTGACACTTTGCCCAGGACCGTGTCAGAAGTGTCTGGAACACATGTCTGTCATATCCCTTCAGGAACTACGGGCGACGAAGGCTGGGACAGGTTCAGTTTTGCCATTCGTCTGGAAGACTACAAGCGCAAGATTGACGAGCGTCAGCTTATCATGTGTGTGCACTATTCCGTCGAGGGCAAAGACTGGTGGGACTCGAACAATGGCATCAACTACAACTTTACGTTCAAGAAGTCTGCTTCCAGACGTGCAAGCCGTACGTCTGGTCCAGCCGCTTTGGGCGGTAGCTTTATGCGGCTCAACGAGCCTTCCACCTCTCTTCCGGGTCTTCGCAAGAACACCGCTACGCAGCCCTCCCTTGGCATCAAAAAAGTGTTTGGGAGCAGGCCTCCTTCTGGCCCCAACGACTGGGTCTTCCCCAAGTTGTCACAGCGTGTGCAAGAACCCTCGACTCGCCCCGACTCTCCCCTCCAAAGCCCTCCTCCGAAAGCATACAAAGCCCCCGCTCCGCCTACCGTCCACACCCACCTCTCGCTCTCCAAATACTGCGCCCCTTCCCCACCTCTCTCGCCCCCGACTGAGACGTTCCCATCACACTCGGCAGTGGTACAAGAGGTTTCTAGGCGTGGAAGTATGGGAGTCATGGGTGGTGGGTATGCCACGTTGGAGCCTCCTGTGCATGAGAGAAGGAGTAGTTGGAATGGGCAGGAGAGTAGCAAAACGTATGAGGAGCCGCGCGAGAGCGCGAATAAGGCGCTGGCGGCCATGCAATCGCCCGCTGTTGAGATGCAAACGGAGTCGCCAGCGTCCCCCCACAAACCCTTGTCGGCCAAGCGGTCGGTGGGCGACCTTCGCTCGCTTGTACAAGAAGCAGAAAGCGATAACGGCCTTATGACGCCGCCTTCGTCCAACCTGTCTTCCCCGCCTACGCCGAGGTCGGACTTGCCGCCAGAGCTCACCTCTTCTTCAACGGGAGATTCGTCGTCGATGAATACCTCGACCGAATCTACACCGGACGTGGCAAGCATGGCCATCGATATTGGGCCTGAAGCGGAGCCAAGTCATCCCAAGGATCACAAGGTGTTCTCTACGGGCAGCTACCAGGAATTCGTGAGTCTACAAGACGCCCCAATATACACCTCTGATCGAGACTATAGCTTGATAAATTCTGCTTCTTCCAGTCCCCGCGCGCCACACCCAGTGAACTCGCTCCCAGCAACCGTCCCTCTTACATTCCCCTCAGCGGAAATCAATCTCCCAACGGTTTCCCCTTCTTCCACCCGAACGCCTCTCAATCGCCGCGTACCACCCCCACGCCCACAGCGCACTACGCTACGGCTCAGGAGGCGTTCGGCTTTAGGCCTGTGTCCCAGGATTCGACGCCGACCAAGCGCGATGATCTCAGCCCCATGGCCCATCCCCAGCCGGTGGACGCTACATTGCTCACTGGCTACCATGCCAACCCTGCTGATACTATGGCTTGGGCGCAGATATACGGCAACAATACGTCGCCTTCTTTGGCTGCTGCCATCTAGAGCTCAGCCTCTTTCCTTATTATCCCTGGACCCCTGATTTACGGGTGTCTTTGTCTTATAATTTTGTGTTTTCATGTTGACCTGTAACATCATTCTTCTCCTTTCCTTGCATGTTCTCTTTCTTTCAACACTGCATCGCTTTACCACCCGGATTTCTCGTATAGCCTCGAGCTTTATCTGCTCAAACATTGCTCGATTTATCCATCACAGTCTGGAACATGCTATTTATGTAGCTAACATTTTCCTCATACTCCTTTTACCTGTTCTTGTAAATACATGATAATTCTCTAGATGGTTTTCTCAATTTCATATCTATGTTTCGATATCAAAGTATCATCGGATTAGACTCCAAAGTTGGAATGCATCATTTCCCGTCCACAAAGTCTGGCAAATCAAAGGTCGGCAAAGGCATACATACAGGTCAAAAGTGATACAGATACGTGTTCAGAGACTAAGAGTCTTGTATATAAGGAGCATAGTGATACAGTCCTATGGGTGAAGGAATCACCCTGACTTTCTGTTCGAAGGCGACCCAGCACCAGGCTGACCTCCGTTCCATCCAAACCAGCTACTCTTCCTCCCTTCCAAGCCAGGTCTGTTGGGATCCTCCATTCCTCGAACTTCATCCTTTCCAATCTGCTCATACCCTTCATACTTGGACCCGAGAGAATCGGACGAGCTGTTGGTGGAAGGCCTGCTGGGGGTGGAGACGGAGCGACTGTTGGTGTTGGGCACTGCGAATCCCTTTGGCGGGGCTCGAGCAGAAGAGAGAGCACCGTATTGCTGATGGACGTCATTCAAATTAGGGTTGCTTCCATTCCTACTGCTCCCAGACCCAGCAGCATAGGCCATCGTCCTTGAGCGAAGACTGGGGTCAGACTGCTCCCGGTGAACAGCTCCGGTGGGGACAGGTGTGGGCATGGTCATGCTTTCGGGCACTTGGGAGGCACCGGAAGAGCTGGACATGGAGCGAGAGTGGACGGCGCCTTGAGTGCTTTGGCCAGGTTGGGTGGGTTGAGAGCGAGCGGCATTGAGAGCTGTGACAGCCACGGGCAGATAACTACAAATTTGATCAACATGACGAATAGGAGAGCAACGTGGAAAAACTTACTTGCCAGCGTACTTGCTAGCAAAGCGGAAGACCGACTGCAACGCCCCTGAAGCGGGGTCATTCAGCGTCGGGGGCTGCTGCCCACCTTGGACAGGATAAGCATTGTCGCCCGCAGGTCGGCCTTGGCCTTGCATCTGAGCGAGCATAGCAGCCGCCTGCATTTGCTCTTCCGGCGTGGACAGCTAATCGCAGAGTCGATGAGTTGACGGCGAGAGGAAGCGGGTGGGAAGGCGCTTACGTTGAGCTGCACTTTGGCCTTGTTCCAAGCCCAGGTCAGAGCTTCTATCAGAGCTCCGCCAGCCCGGCCTCGGAGAGAAGCGAGGAAGTGATCAATATCACGTTCGTGATCATTGAATAATGGCGCGAGGTGAGCTCGATAGACATAGGAGGACGCCTGGTACGATCATAGATTAGCGACAAAGAACCCGCTGATTTAATTTAGAAGCGGAAGACCTACCTCTGACTGTGGAAGGGACAAGGCGAGAAAAATGAGCGTCTTGAAGAAGCTGTATAGAGGAAGCCTGAGATTGTTGTAAGTACTTGTAATTCTGCATGAAGTCCATTTCATAGATACCCACCAAGTGAAAGTCCAGCCGATGACAGCCTCGACCGCGGTCCAAGTCCCGACGACTGCCCAGTACATCAACCACCTCTCGACCTGTGCCATGGCTTCTGGAGAAGACTCGGGATGTTGCGAGAGGGCCTTGTAAGAAGCATAGGCGGGGTAGAGATACGAGCAAACATTGCTACGGTCGCATCAGGTCAGCCTGTGACGGCGGGAGAGAGGAATATGGAGATGGATATTCCGCCACTCACCAGGACCACCTGCAGAGAAGTCCGAATATCATTGGGAAGCAATGGGCGTTGCTGGAAGGGGTTGCTGCCGACAGCGATGGAAAGGAGAATGGAAGAGCCGAACGAAATCATCATGCACTGCCGAGTGCGTCAATACCGGTCATCGCCGCCGTCATCAGCCGCAGGGCATGCGGCATGAGATCTGGCTCCGCGCAAGCCCTTTGGGGTGGGGAGGGGAAGGGCTTGTGTCGAGCCAGGGCATGAGATGGGCAGGTGCATCGGGCATGCTACAGGCAGGCACGGAATATATGCAATACATGTTCTCGGATAGATATCTGCTCGTTCAGAAGGGTAGATAGTATGCAGCAGTCAGATGGTCACAATCAATCAACAGGCGGTCGTTTCAGGGCATGGCTTATGGCACAGGGAGAGAAATGAGCAAGGCTGAGAACAAAGACGGTCAAGCCTAGTAATCGTCGTCGGCAGCCTCGCTAGAGTCGTCACCAGCAGCAGCAGCTAAAACACACATGAGCATCTCCTAAAAGAGACAGTAAGGAACCTCAACTCACCTGGCAAGAATTCACTGTCGTCGTTCCTGACCCCCGGCAAGGTCTTCAACCCAGTCATTCCTCCCCCTCCCCCTCCTCCCCCTCCGCCAGTGGAAGAGCTCGCAACAGATATGACAGACTTTTCCGGGGAAGAAACAGGAGAGGAGTTGAATGTGGGTTGACGGTTTGTCGGGGGGCGCCCAAGTTTAGAAGGGGGCAGGGCTTGGCGAGGGAATTGGGGTGTAGAGGCAGGAGTGGCTAATTGCTATCAGTATGACAATAAGGATAATGTGAGGTAACTTACTAGGAGCAGAGGCGAGCTTGGCCTTTTTGGTTTTGGGCGCAGGCTTGGTCGGAGAGATGTTCCTCTTGCCTGTACCATTTGCGGTCTCTGCGCGAATCCAGTCAGTATTGTCCATTGCACTCGAGTCATAGGTCCCACTCTTCTTCTTGCTAGAGGTACTGTCGGCATCAGAGGTCCACTCGCCGCCGTCGCTCCCCAGATAGGGCGATGGACTGGACCGATCGTGGCCTGTCCCTAATCGGGCCTTTACAGCCGCAGACCTTGCCGCCACTCGTCTTGTCGATCCACCCAAGTTCAAGCACTTGGCGAGATGCGGAGCGTATCTGTTTGATGCAATCTGTATATCCGCGTCAGTGACAGCGCTTATCGGGTAGAAGGCGGTGACTGACCGGCCTAGAACAGACCAGACAGTCGAAGAAGGCATTGCCATTCGAATCCATCCTTCCGCTACCACTCCCTATCCCTGTGGCTCCCCCTGTACCCTTCTCGGGTCCCACGGCGTATCCTCCGGTTCGTCCACCAGGTTCAGACGCCAATTGCGGCGTCTGGGCTCGCGAGGAACTACCGGAGCCTTCTGCGCGGGATGCTTGGACCGAGCTCGAAGAGCTGGCAAGATTGGAGGGCAGAACCGGAACATGGCTTCTGCACCTATCGCGCATATGGCGTCAGCTACTCTGTTACGCAGGGGCCGGGGAACCCAAGTACTTTGTACCACATGTTCCGCAGATGGCCCTGCCTCGCTTGATCTCGCGATGGGCCGATATGGCGGTGGTGAGGATGAGGTCGTCTAGCATTTCGTCAAACATCGAGCTGGCCTGTAAGTGGCTGTGAGCTATTCTGTGCGTAACGAATCAGCCAGAATGGGGACGTACGACTGCCCGGATCTCGTCCTTGAGCGACATTATTGCGTGGGTGGAGTGGGCAGGCGGACAAGTGGCCGGTCAGGTATGGCTCAAACGGTGCGCCTTGGGTCGAGATGTTCCTTGTCAGACGATATGGCTATAGAGACAAGAGAATACTCTTAGAAATAGCTGATGAGATGGAGAAATGAAGGATACATGAATTTGCGGGGTTAGCCCAATCTCCACTCCCGGCGCCCGACGGTCTTCCGCTCATCTCACCTTTCATCTGCACCGTCTCCATACAATCCCCATGTCCCTCGCCGTCCCCTTCCTCCTCGCCCCCTCTCTCCCCAGCCAGACAGATGACCATGCGCTGCCCGTCCAGCCGACGCATCTTGTCTCCTGGACGGACCCTTCCGGCGCTCAGCATACCGCGCTGACGGGGGAGGACAACACCCTCTGGGTAGTATCAGCAGAAATACGAAAGGGGCCAAAGATACCGCATCCTAGAGAGGAGAGTATTCTCCCAGATCTGCCTACGATTCGACCAATAGACTCCCCGACCTCGCCAAGACACTCCCGGTCTCACTCCAGGTCCAAGACCGGTCAGCGCACGCCTTCTTTCAGTCACCGCGCCCGCACCATCTCATCATCGTCTCTCTCTACTATAGGATCAAGTAAAAGGCTTGCAGGTGCATTCTCCCCGCCCCTCGCTGCACATCAGCTGCCGACGGCCACCTTGTCTTCGGCTACTGCTGCCGCTGCCCCGCATGATCATCTTGCACACACACATTCCCCTTCGGACCTTTCCGGCAGCTCCGGAGAACGAAGAGACAGCAAATCTGATCTTGTCGAGCATTTGAAGGAACATCAAGAGAAGGACCGCAATGGGCGCAATCCCTCGGGGCTCGTTGGCCTTGGGTTTAGGAGAGGGGTCACAGGGGTCTATGGACAAGCAGAGCATAGCGAACATTCGGGTTCGACGTCGCCGAAATCGTCTTTATCCCTGGCGCTCTCGAATTCAACGAAGGAGACTGTCTCCGGGTCAAGCAAGATGTTTCGGTTTCTCCGTCGAGGCTCGGATGATGATGAGGCTGAAAGCAGAGACCTGGACGAAAGAGTGCAGGAAATTCAGGTGGAAACAGAGATGGAGAAAGAGAGGAAGGATGCTCAGAGGGAAAAGGAAAATATGGGGAGGATTGAGCGGGCGATAGGCAGGAGCCCAAAGGTACCCGGTGTGGATGAAGGCAAGAGCCACGCAGAGGAGCATGGATGTGAGTGGGGCAACAGAAAGGTGTGGAGGATCGTACTCCGACAGGTAGGTCGAGGCAAGATTGTAAGCCTCAAAGCCTATCTCGACCTGGGTGTACTGGCCGTGCTGAGGGATGAAGGGTGAGTTGAATATCAACTTTACGGGAGACGGTGCTGATGACTCATGTAGTCTTTTGGACCTGTTCTCTCTGGACGGTCTGCAATCTGTGGCATCTGTTGACCTTGACGCCCCATCAGGCAGCCCATCCTCCAGTAAAACCCCAAAGCTGGACAATTACTGGTCCTGGCGCAGCCTACATCTCGCTAGGTCGGATGGTGTAAGTGCTCTGAGCCTATGCGGTGGTCATGTTCTGACCGAAATACTCAGAAATTCATGCTGTTCGCGCATGGCCTCCCATGGCCGTGTGGGGTACCCAGTCCTAATGGTGAACTTACCCATGTCATTGCTCTCACAGTCGACTGTCAGAAGAAGGAAGTGAAAGCCGTAGCTAGACTGGAACTTCCTGGCGAAGGGGATGTTGGGGTGTTCTGTGGATCTGGTGAGGCTTTCGGGATTGTCACTGACTTCAATAACTGAACCCCTATCAGAGAGCTATTTACTGCACGCCACGCCCACGTCTTTGATGTCTTACCCCATCATATTTGCCCCTGATGATCACCCTTCCAAGAGCCCGCCAGGACAACAAGCTCGACACGTCTCAGCAGCCTTGCCCTCTCGCTCGCCCACACCCAACATCGCGTCCTCTGCCGGCTCCGTGAGGAAGTCTCGCTCTTCGTCAAATCTCACTTCAGACCCCTCCCACCATCCATCACCCGACACTTCTGAGAAAGAAAAGAGCATCCACAATTTCCTTTCCCTTCCCAACGGTCCTCACTGGCCTTCTCGAAAGAAAGAACCCGAGAAGGCTGAGGAAGCGCTCCCAGCTGCAGGGCTGGGCGAGGGTAGGGAGGTGGAAAGGGATGGGTATGGACACTGGGAGAGAATGGTGTTGGGAGAAGGCGGAGAAGGGGAGGGGGCGGGGTGGAGTGAGTATGGTGTTGATGTGAGTGTCCCGAGAATCTTTGACGAGTAGGTGTTGACTACGAATCAGGTCTTTTCGTGCGATGGAAAGAGTATGCAAGTTAGGGGGTCGATCCCTGTCCAAGTCAAAGCAGGTGAGACTCTGGACATAAAGCGAGTCTTGTTTTCTCCGCGGTGGCAGCAGGTCGCTCTGCTTGGCAAGGAGGGGAAACTTGAGATATACGTCCCTTCAGCGGATACTTTATCGGGAAACAGGTTCAAGTATGTTCGAACATGACATACTTGAAAACTCCGCTGACATGGTACCAGATTTGCACGGGTTCTGTGCCAGCCAGATATCGCAACTATATATATATCTCCCTCATCCACCTTGTGGACTGCAGGCGCAAGCTCGGTACGAACCACCAACCTCTCGTCACTTCCGCGCGCCGGCGAGTCGGATATGGAAGAATGGAAGACATGCCTTAAGCTTCTGGCCCCAGACCAAAACCTGAGAGTCGATAAGGGAGAGTTCAGTCATATCGTTCCGTATGGCTTGGAAGACGCTTTTGTCGCTGATTGTAAGTCATTATCTCCCCTGTTCTATGCTGCACTAACTCTCCAAAGTCCAAGGCAATATACTACGACGGAAATTGACCTCTATTGTCTCTCCCAGCTACCACTCGGCTTTGATCAGGAGCAACAATGAAGAAGAGAACCATCCTTGCGTCGATCGCCTTGACGCGCCAGTCACGTGTATGAAGATCCTTCGGGCTTCTAGTCCGGGAGGAGAACGTCAATTATTGGCAGTCGGGGATGAGGACGGTGTCGTCCGAATCTGGACCGTAGAGTAAGTCGGCCATGGAATATAGGCATAGAGGCTTATGGTTTTACAACAGAGACTTTGCATTCCAAGGGTCATGGACGCTTTTTGCTTGGCCTGTAGAGTCGTTTGCAGTCCTTGACAAACCGCAAGCGGGCCCTCTTCAGAACTGCTTGCTGGCCGCTTCCCGAGCAGGGACTGTGGCAGTACTAGGACTGGATGAGATGGAGCCGTAAGTAACGAAGTTTCAGAGCTGTTACCCCAAAACTGAACCGAGTCAATAGTCGATTCACAATACCCGCTGCCCGATCACCTCTCCGCGCGATTCATGTCTCCGACCGTGACATCCTTTTGGCGTACGCAAATGGCAAAGCGAGAGTCTGGAACACAACTACTCAAGAGTTCAGACGGTCGACAGGCTTGAGCGCGGCTGAGGATATGCTTGCAGCCGGTGACTGGTTGGAGGTTAACCTTCATTGCTCAGGCAAGGAAGAACCTATCAGTTTGGGCAACATGGGGGGTAACGTGTATAGCGAACTCGGCCGACTGCTTACCTTGGACCTGCGTCTGTTGTCCAAATGGTTACACTCGGCCAAAAACAATCCTTCGCATAGTCCCTTAAGGGCTTTGAGGATGTTGCTGTCCGTATTCTTGACGTGGGGTATCAATGACGGCATCGACGAGATCTGTGAGGAAGAGTTGGGGATTGGCAAGCTAGAGAATGGTGTCGTTATTGGCTGTGGTGATGAGTAAGTTGGGTGTACTGTTGCCAGAACTTACTGATCGATCTATAGGTCATATAAACTCGCCTATGCTAGTGGCGCCGACGTTTGGCGGGCATCTGAAAGGGTTACGGGACTCAGATTACTCACCATAGTGGCTCTCCTGCGACCTTTCTTGAATTCCCCAGGTGAATCGTATTTCATTTTTGCAGTGTTAACGCAAAGCTGACATTGCACAGATATGGAGCCCCGAGCAGCAGAAGTCATTGCCTTCTACACTTCATCTTTACCAGCAACGATAGTGGAGCCGGACTTGCAGTTCTTTGCTGGGTACTACATGGACTTATCAGGTGAGCAATACACACAGCTTGTCAAGATGGTATGCTGATATACTGTCAGTCGACGTCCAACAAGCTGCAAGGATGTTGTTCGCTTCCAGAGTCATCCGTTTGTCGGAGAGCGATGTAGAGGAGCTTGTCGAGTTGATCGAACATGATTGTGGGTACAGTCAGGATACTCTCAGAGCTGACTAGTATATAGTACCTGTCCATCAATCAGGCACGGCAAGGTTCAGCAGTCAAGCCGCCAATGCACTTACAGTCTTAGGAGGCATTGCACTGCAGAGGTATCAGAGTATGCAGATAAGGTAAGGCCATTCGAATCACCAGATAGATGTCACTCATCAGTTTGCAGCGTGCTCAAGGCTCTTTCAGAGTCGGTGAATCTCTTCCTTCATGATCCAAAGGGTCTTCATCTATCGTTGGCTGTGGAACTCTGCTCGAAGGGTTTCACCACTTGGCAAACATACGCGGACCCTTCGAATCTTCTCCGTCGCCTATTCTTCCTCGCTACCAATAAAGAGCCCCCGTCCATGTCTCCTACGAAGCTCGCATTGTCAACCACTGTTTCGGCTCAAGCGCGCCTTGCGGTGCTCCATGTGGCATCCTCCAACCCCCCGCTGTTCATGTCAACGTTGTCAATGGATATTCTGGACGCAAAGACTGCAGAGAGCAGGAGCGCTATCATGAAGCTGTGTGTATTCATGGCGAGGAAGAAACCCGCGGTGCTGGAAAATGGACTGCCGAGGATTGCTGAAGCGGTCGTGAAGAGTCTCGATCCAAATCTGGGCAAGATGAGAGATGATGTCTGGCAAGCAGCCACGGTCATTTTGAACGAGCTTGTGCTCGCGTGAGTTTGGTATCTGTCGAACGAACTCTTTGACTGACTATCTTTAGCTTCTCGACGATAGACTTTCACAGCGGTACCCAGCGCCTGGCAGTTGGCACCCACGAGGGAGCTGTCATCATGTATGACCTCAAGACCGCTTCCCGTCTCTATGTCCTTGAACCACACAAGGCCCCGGTATCAGCTGTTTGCTCCTCCACCGATGGTCGACGGCTTCTGACTGTGTCGCTCGAGGAAGGACTGGTAACAGTATGGAAGGTTGGGAGTAGTTTGAGCGGATTCTTCAATGTCGGAGGACCCCCTAGACAGGGTGGAGAGAAAGGAGAGCCGTTCAAAAAGATAATGTTCAGGCGGGCCGATGATCGTGAGTCAGCAGTCATGCTGGAAGAATTGGACTGACACGCCATGCAGAACCGCTCAACTCCACATCAGCTTTGAGCGATGTACAGATTACATGGCTGGGTGCGCGCCAGGCGAGGGTGACGATAAAAGAAACAGCTTTGACATTCGAAACGTAAACCGATGCGCATTTTGACTATTATGTCGCATCATGCAGTATGTACGATAGGAGTATTATATGCTATGTAGATACACATCTACATGAAGTCTGCTGCCCCCTTCCTCCCGGCAAGGCGAGGCACGATGGCAGGTTTCTCTATCCAGTCTCCTTCGTCATATCCCTCAACATCGTCCTTCTTCTTCTTATGTGTATCTTCCACAGACCCATCTCCCTCTATCTTTTCTCTTGACTCTTCGTCCTCTCTATCCCTCCCCCTCTTTTCTTCTCTCAGAGGTTTCTTCTTCTTCTTCTCCATATCTCTTTCCCTTGGCTCGTCCTCCTCTCCGTCTTCCCCCACATCGAACGACAATACACCCTGGCTCTTCCTTTTCTTATTCTTCCTGTCTTTCTTGTCCTTCTTTCTATCTTCCTTGCTGCCCTCGTCGTCCCTATCTCTATCTCGTTTGCGACTGAAGACGGGTTTGAACGTAGCCAGGTCCACCGGCTTCTCTTCTCTCGGTGAAGGCGCTTTGGGCGGAGGGAAAGGATCTTGATAAAGCTCCCTCCCCGCCGGTACCTCCGTCTCTATCTTGTCCACTTCCCCATTCTCGTCCTCGTCCTCGTCATCATCCTCATCATCGGCAAAAATGGCCTTGAAGATATCAATGCTCGGCTTCTCATACGTCAAGGTATCTCGGCCTTGATTGATATCATCCGCCATGCCCACTTCGGAGATGTTTGTCGGTTGGCGCTCGCCTCCCGCCTGAACCTGACCTTGAGGGGGTGCTTTTTGAGAGGAAGAGGGTGAAGTAGGTTTGTGGATGAATTTGGATTCCCAACTGGCATCGTTCGACGGCAGAGGCATTCCTTCCATTCCCGTACCCTTCCCCGACGAGGCGCCTGCAGCTTGTTCGGCGGGCGGCCCTTCTGGATGTGGATCTGCCACGCCGAATCGCTTACAGACAAGTTTGACGGGATACCAGACTTTTGACTCTCTCGTCGCTCTGCCCCAATTGCCATCTTTCGCCGCTTGCTCTCGAGGAGTCAGGATCTTTTGCTCCACCGCCGGTTCCTCGGCTTTGGCCGCTTCGATAGCCGCTTTCGCCTTTTCCGCGTCGAATATATGGAGGCCTGGTTTGGCCTGCTTTAGGTCGGACGCTGCCAGCGAAGAGGAACCAGCAGTGAATCGCGAAGACATGGCAAAAGGCATGGGCTTGAAGATCCTCGCACTTTCGGCAAAAGATTGCAGTTCGGCGTTGATATCGTCCATACTTCCCGAAGGCAGTAGCGTAGGATTCGGTTGTTTGGTGTTGTACGTCTGGGAGAAAAGATAGCTCTTGTACCGCTCCTGCTTCTGCACATCGTCGCCATATGGCACGTAGCCCTTGAGAGCGGCCGACGCTGTACGAGGCGATAACGGTGGGATCTCTACCGAGGTTGCTGGAGCACGAGGTGCAGAAGGGTCTTCGTCTTGCGGCTGAAGAGAAAGTGGGGGTGGTGGCGGGGCTTGTGAAGCGAGGGAGGCGAGACGTTCTTTGTCTTTTTGGTTGATCCATTCAAAGACGGACTGGGCTTGAGATATGCGTGTCTCTTCGCCAAGTGCAGCGCCTCGCTAGATGGTCGTCAGATATGAGAAATCTAGAAGCAAAGCGGGCAACTCACCTGATCATGCCTCAAAGGTCTCCCGGGTTCACCGCGTATAGAGGGTTTCACCATCTTTTTCTCACCCGGCTGTTCATCCCACTTTCTCGTCGTGCCCCACACTCTCGCAGGCCTTGGTCTCCAGTCCGCAGGTATTTCTGGCATCGGAAACCAAGTATCCTGTGGCACGCCTTTGGGGTCGAGCACGAACCGAGGCAAGATAGGGCGGCCGTCGTGCCATGTGTCATGCGATACTGAGGTCGAAGAAGGGCGAGAGGTACTCGAACCCAAACCAGCTTTCGGGCCGAGAGTGATTATCTCGTCTTCTGGCTGTTCGTGATTGTCAAACGCATAGTGACTGCCGGAGGGCCCAGCAGAGTATGGGTCGTCGTCGTCTTCATTCATGAATCTCGGCCCAGCCGCTGACGCTGTGAAAGTCAACTGGGGTTCATCGTGCATGAAATCCGACTTACGCAGTCTGTTCAAGCCCCTTCCTTTCTCATACCCAAGGCCCATCTTGTCGCCCTTGCCTTCATACACCAGCAGTCTCACATCTCTTGGTGCAAAAGTGTGTTTCCCAGCGACCTCCTCGTCCATCGGCTCGTTCTCGTTTGTCGTACCCAAGCGAGACTTGCCAAGCTTGCCTTCTTGTATACGCAGCCTGCGAAGAGTGACCCGAGGGCCGATGCCTTGACCCGGTCTCCAGCCGAGTTTCTGGAGAAGCTGTTGGCCTATTGAGGATTGGGCGGGGGCGATGAGTGATTCAAGAGCTGATGGCAAGCTACATAGGGTCAAATGATATCAAGCAGGGCACAGGACTACTCACTTTCTGTCTGCCAGTGGTTCTCTCTGGCCTGCAAATCCTTCATCCTTGAAGGTTTCGGTATTCTCTAAACGTCGATCTTCTTTCATTTGTTGAATGTCTTCGTCGTCCATAAAGTCCTCGGGACGCTGGACTTTGTTGGCGCGATTAGTTCGGCTGGATTTGAATGTCGACGGTGCCCATCCTGCCGGAATGGTCAGTCAAGCAAATCTCACGAAGCAATATGCCTACCTTCTTTCGACCCTACAGTGTTGTAGTAGCTAGCAAAAGGGTCAGTATCAGCTTGAAATCTGAATGGAAAGACATACCCGGCAGAGTAGCCTCCAGTGAACGCGCCATGAAACCTCCGCCTCCCTTGCTCATCGGTGACTTCCTGCTTCCACTCTGGGACATATTCAAGCTTGTCCTTCTTGGTATTCGCCAAAGCGGGCAGAGGCGTCCCGACCTAGGGCATGTCAGTGCTGATGAGAGAGTCTATGGGATGCGCACCTGGACAAAGGACTCGTTGAGATATGCGCTGTTGAGGTTCACCTGGTCGAGCTCGAGCTTGTGCTTGAGCCTGGAGGTCATTGTGCCCTGCCCTCTCTCGAATGAAGTGATCTACTGTATTAGAGTGATATGATGGCAGTAAGAAAGAGCTTGACGGCAAACCGAGCGGCGCTGTCCGCTGTCACGTGACTGTGCTTATTTGGCCGATCGTCACCAAATCGTCACTTTGGTGACAACCCGCATCGTCTCTCTCATCTCCCCTGTATTAGCCCCCATGTCCCTCCTCGCAGCCTCCCTCGCAGGTGCAAAGTACCAGGTCTCCACAAACGAGGAGCGCGAGTCCTCCACAAACGGCGCAGCAGAGGTCCGTCTGTTCACATCCCATCCCCCAGCTGCTCACCCCATCGCAGTTCCAACGGCGAAAGAAGTGGCCCGAAGTCCTTCTTAAAGAGCTCGTGGGATGTGCAGTCTTTTGTATCAAGCCCAGTCTTCGTCCAGATAGTCAACAGTTCCAGAACGGCGAAGCCTGGAGCTGGAGGGTAAGTCATATCCGTCTATGCCCCGCCGCCTATTGACGTCCATACAGACCGTCTATGCGTCCCCGTCCGTAACTGAAATGCTCGGCAAAAGGCCCAATGAGCTCGAGGGCAAGGACTTTCTCGATCTCGTCTTGTGTATGACCTGTCACTCTCGTTGGTTCAAAAGCCTGACGCAATTCTAGCCCACGATCGTCCTCAGCTTGAATCATTCTTCAACACCCTCCTCGCCCCACCGCTTCTCAACATCAACCCCCAAACCATATCTCCTCTTACCTCAACCCACCTCGGCGAAAGCCACACCACGTACATACGCATGATTTCCCGTGCCCCTCCGATTTCGCGCAGCAACTCGGGAACCAATAGCGGGTACAATTCTGGTTCTTCCTACTACGGGACGCCCTCGGGAAGCGGGAGGGTGGAGCCGATCATTTGGGAGATCAAAGGCCATGCGACTGGTATAGGAGAAGACCTGACAGAAGGGAGTGGAGGTGGGGATACGTTGAGAATGGGGGCGGACGGTACGGTCATTCCTGGCGCTGGAGCGGAGAGCAGCGGTAAACACAAAGCCATCTGGCTGATGGGTCGCCGCGTTGGTGAAGGAGCTACGGACGAACAACAGTCCCACGACGCGTTTCTGGAGGTCAAGCTGGAGAATGAGCGTTTACAAGCCGAATTACGCGATCTCCAGATAGAGTACGGTGTCGACCCAGCAGAAAGACTCTACAGGGGCGGGGACGCCGGCTCCGACGCTTCTTCTCCTAGATCCGATACAACAGAACCTGCTACAGACGTCAAGCAGAAAGGCAAAGCTGGCCGGCCGCCCAAGTCTGGTATCAAACCCTCCGCTCTCGGGTCTGCCAAAAAGCAGAAAGCCGCGGGCAGGGATGGGGTCAAAGACGGGGAGACAATGTACGTTTGTGTCACGTGTGGGAGGACGGATAGTCCAGAGTGGAGAAAGGGCCCGCTGGGACCAAAGACGCTTTGTAATGTAAGTGGTGTCTTCTATCGTGTTTGTGGTCACTGCTGATACATGTCAGGCTTGTGGGCTGAGATGGGCGAAGCGTAACGGGGCCAACAACAAGAAGCCGCCAAAGCCTTAGTCCCTGCTCCATTCCCTGTTGAACGTGTACGAAGCTGGCGAGCTCATTTTTCATCGAACGTTGTATTGCTTGTATTGTGTTGCATTTGGTTACACCTCGTCTGGTCACGATGTTCTCTTGGGCAAGTCCGGCTCTAACAAGTGGTAATCTCCGACTCGGTATAAACACAGTTGTCTGAAAAGCCCGACTGCAGCTTGGTAGGCTCCTCATCATTATCGCTCGTCCCCTCATATTCTGTACAAATCTGCTTGACCGACGTCGCACACGTATCGGTGATGGTAGCGACATCGCCATAGTTGGAGTTGATGCCGGCGATGACCTTGCCATTGTAGGCCTTGACGTTGGAGATGTTGACGTTACGAGCATCGCCATTGTTCTTGCAGTCTGTGATGTCGTCAGAAAGGCATCATGAAAGGGGTACGGGACGTACTGCCGCAAGAACGGTAGAGCTTGCCAAAGTCGACTACCGTAAAGCCGTCGATGGTGACGTCTCCAATACCGTTGTGCTGGATGACCTTGTCTTCAGCTCCGGTGGCTCCACCGCCGATGACAGAGCCGTCGCCATCGCCCTTGAAAGTGAGCGCGTCTGTGTCATTGTCAGTATTTGCCAGTAGTATCATCAAAAGAAAGGCGCACCTTCGCAAACAGCAACCCACCACACATTCTCGATGGTACAGCTCCCCAAACAATGAACACCCTCAATCTGATCCTCCCCAATGATGGCATTCTTCAACGTAGCCCCGTCTTCCAACAAGAAGACGGCATCAGAGTTTCCGCCCTCGGCTTGGCCGGTACAGTCCACGCCCCGGCCGTAGGTCTTGAGTCCGCCGTCGAAGGTGCCCGAGATGGACTGGGCGGAGGAGTAGGTGACGTTGCCTTGGGAGGTGGGGACGGGGAGGGTGTAGGAGGAGGAGCGGGGAATGATCGGAGGAGCGGCAGAGTTCATGGCGAGGAAGGGGAGGAGGGAGAGGAGAGTGCTAGCGAGCATTATTTGTGGTGATAATCAAGGGATATAGGAGTGTCTTGATATAGTCGTAGTTGAAGCAAGTTGAATGAATGGAATGTAGTAAGGAATGGAAGTGATTCAAAGCGAATCGATGATCAACTGTGGAATTGTTGAAAGAGTGACTGGTCAGGAGCGCTTTTTATATGTGTGGTGAGCAGTCGAGGGGACAACTGAAGTGATGTCCGAAGATCGGGATGTCTTTCCAGTTATCTCGGATCAGATGATATCTCGAGGGACAGTCCACCGACCTGCGCAATCCGGGCCTCTCCGGGCAGTCACAACCCAAGACATCCTTCAGAGGTCACTGCAAAATCATGCAAACAGCCATAAATTCGCTTACAGTGTATGTTCCTTGTGGTGATGATGGACATGGATTGAGCGGGATTGACAGGACGGATTGCAGGACAGGCACTGACCTGCTGCGGTGGTTGGATAGGCCAAGGGGTGTGTTGAAACGAAGGTTGTTGATTGGACTCTGGCCATGTGGAACACGGGTGACTGCACTCGATGGTCTCCTTGTCGACAGCCGGCGAATGACTCTCCTCGCAACGCCCGCAAAACAGTGCCAGGACTGTCTTGGAAGCCCTCCATGCCAGATTCAGGCAGTTGCCGCCATACCTTGTCCCACTCGGCCATCCGACCTCATACAAAACCCATGCATCAGATCGGGTACTCGTACAACAAGTCGATCCGTCTCACACTAGCTCTATATTCTATCCACATACACCCCCTCCTTACTCCTCTTTTTCGCTTCCTTCTTCTCCTTCTTCAGCTTGTCCATTTCCAGCCCCTGCTCCTGTAAGAGCTTATCCAGCCTTTCCTCCGTATACGTCGGAACATCATCGATAAACTCTTCGTACGTGCCGACACCCATATCCTTCATGACAGGCGCAGGCTTTGCGGGCGCAGCGAGCTTGGCTTTGGCGGGGGGAGGTTCAACGGTAAAGTAGGTGACGGAGCCGATAGTGGCAACTACGATGAGGATGATGACCGCTGCAGAACGTCAGTTCTTGTGGGCCCGGTAAGGTAAGTGATGCCTCACAGATAGCTCGTCTAGTGGCATCCCATTTGACACTTTCAATCTCTGTGCGCAAGTCTCCCAATGAAATGGTAAACTTGTTGTTGATTTCCTGGATCTAGAGTCAGACGCGATCGTAGCAGCCTACATGGTGACGTACCTCGATATAGATGTCAAACCCCTTCATCTCTGTCCTGGTCTCTGCTTTCCGGTTGTTCATATCCATCTCAATACTGTTGCCAGTAAGCCATGGTCGAGACAGTAAAGGACAGTACTTGCTCGTGTTTCAGCGTCTGGATATCCTCCTTGATCTTTTGCTCCAAGCCCTCCACGTCGCGCCGGATGGCTCCAGCAACAGCTTTCAACGCCAGCCCATCATTTCGCGTCTGGACGCTGAGCTCCGTCCGTAGTTCTGACAATGCAGCGTTAAAGAGGTATGCAGCCTGCTCATTGTCAGCTCATGATGCCCAAATACAAAGGGCGCACGCACATTCTCCTGCTCCTCCTTCCCGACCATCGTCGCCCTCGTCTCCTTACCCCTCTTGATAATCATATCCTTCACACTCTCCATCAAATCCCTCGCTGTCGGTCTATCCAGCCCATTTTTCTCGAGGTAGCTCACAAACGCATGCGTGTCAAAGGGGTGCTGCAGATGCCGTGGGGTGAACCTGGGGCTTTCCGGGGGCGCTGGGAGGGAGGTGGAAGCGACGAGGCCTGGGGTGGCTTGGTAGTGTGGGTGGTCTGAGGAGTCTGAGGGGGCCTGGGTGATGATGGTTTGTTCTGAATAGTCTGGGTGGTCTGTTGAGGGGCCTGGTGCGTGGATGGTGATGGGGCGGCGTTGGGATGCTCTTGGGGCCCGTCGCAGCAGCAGGGGGCGGAGGGGGCCGAGGGGCAGGCGGGGCATGGCGTAGTTAGAGAGTGCAGACATGCATGATGCATGAGATGGAGAGGCTCATCGAGTAATTACAGTAGTTACATGTTAATATGACGTGTCATTGCTGGGTCCTCTTGCTGCTGCTGCTGTAAGTATCTGACTCTCCATCTCAGTCTGCATTGCCCAGGCTATCCCTATCCCCCCACCTACCCACAGATAATCAACCAACATGGTACGCACATCCCTGCTCCAACTGCACCTATACTCACACTCCCATAGGCAGGTGCTATGCAGAACGCAAAGCGCGATCTCCCCAAGGTATGACTCTCTAGATTCAGTAGACTTCAGAGACAGGCAGCTCGCCTTGTCACCCTCGACATATCTCCTATTCACAATCCAAGCTACAATACTGACCCACTCCTTTGTCCAGGTTCGAGATGAGGAGCGAGAAGAGATGTTCGGCTCCGTCTTCTCGTACGTCCCTACCCAGCTCCTTGTATACCCAATGACTGACAACGCAACAGTGTCTCCGGTCCCGTCGTTATTGGTGAAAACATGCGAGGTTGTGCCATGTACGAATTGGTCCGTGTCGGCCACGACGAACTTGTCGGAGGTAAGCGATCCCCAAGCTCGCCATTATGGCCGTGCAGTGCAACGGAGCTGATCGTTGTGTACAGAGGTCATCCGAATCGAGGCCGACCGAGCAACTATTCAGGTCTATGAAGAGACATCCGGTGTGACTGTTGGTGACCCTGTTTTGAGGACTGGCAAGCCCTTGTCCGTTGAGCTCGGTCCAGGTTTGATGACCAACATCTTTGAGTGAGTGCCCTGCCATGGCCTGCATAAGCAAGCTGACACTGGGGTAGTGGTATCCAGCGTCCCCTAAAGTCGATTCAAGAAAAGTCCCAGAGTATCTACATTCCCCGTACGTCCTTTCGCCTCCTTTCAGCCAGGCGCCTACTAACGCGTCTTCAGGTGGTATCAACACCGATGCCCTCAGCCGAGAGATCAAATGGGACTTTAACCCCGCCAGCCTCCGGGTCGGAGACCACATTGCCGGTGGTGACATCTTTGGAAGCGTCTACGAAAACTCTTTGGTCGACAACCACAAGATCATGTTGCCTCCTAGGGCTATGGGTACCATTACCAGGATCGCTGAGAAGGGTAGCTACACTGTCGATGTGAGTACAAGTCTGCTATTCTAGATCTGCGTGCTAATGTGCTGTGTAGGACATTGTGCTTGAGACCGAGTTCCAGGGTAAGACCACCGGCCACACCATGATGCAGCTCTGGCCCGTCCGAGCTCCCCGACCAGTCGCCCAGAAGGAGACTGCCACCTACCCTCTCTTCACTGGTCAGCGTGTATTGGATGCTCTCTTCCCCAGTGTTCAGGGTGGTACCACTGCTATTCCTGGCGCTTTCGGTTGTGGAAAGACTGTTATTGTGAGTCGTAGAGAGGCGAAAGGAAGTACTGCTGACACGGGTACAGAGTCAAGCGTTGTCCAAGTTCTCCAACTCTGACATCATCATCTACGTTGGATGTGGTGAACGTGGTAACGGTGCGCAGTCTCCTATAACCTCAATATAGAGCTGACAAGCTATGCAGAAATGGCCGAAGTCTTGGCCGATTTCCCCGAACTCACTCTTGAACGCGACGGACGTGAAGAGCCCATCATGAAGCGTACCGCCCTTGTCGCCAACACCTCCAATATGCCCGTCGCCGCCCGAGAAGCCTCCATCTACACCGGTATCACCCTCTCTGAATACTTCCGAGACCAAGGCCAGAACGTCGCCATGATGGCCGACTCCACTTCCCGATGGGCCGAGGCTCTGCGCGAAATCTCTGGTCGTCTTGCCGAAATGCCCGCCGACTCTGGTTACCCCGCTTATCTTGGTGCCAAGCTCGCCGGTTTCTACGAACGTGCCGGTAAAGTCTCTTGTTTGGGATCCCCGTCACGAAACGGTACCGTCTCCATCGTCGGCGCCGTCTCCCCGCCCGGTGGTGATTTCTCCGACCCCGTCACCAGTGCCACCCTCGGTATCGTGCAAGTCTTCTGGGGTCTCTCCAAAACCCTCGCCCAGCGAAAGCATTTCCCCTCGGTCGACTGGAACGTGTCCTACTCCAAGTACCTCAAGGTTCTGGACCCGCATTACGAGCAGCACAACCCTGGCTTCATTGATCTGAGGACGAGGGCAAAGGAGATTTTGCAAAAGGAGCAGGATCTGGCGGAGATTGTGCAGTTGGTCGGTAAGAGTGCTTTGGGAGAAGGTGATAAAATCACTTTGGAGGTTGCTAGGATGTTGAAGGTGCGCCTCCTCACATGTGACAATTGAGCGTCGACTGACGCCTTGAATAGGACGACTTCCTCCAGCAGAACGGTATCTCGGAATACGACCGATACTGCCCCTTCTACAAGACTTCTGGTATGCTCAAGAACTTTGTCGCCTTCAACGACTACTCTCAGCGTGCTGTCGAGACTGGCGACTTTACTTTTGCCCAGGTGCGTCCTTCCTCCTTTCTATCATGTCGGCACGAGCTGATCAAATAAACAGATCCGAGACGCCGCGTCCGATGTCACCTATAAGCTCTCTCAAATGAAGTTTGAGTCGCCCAACACGCAAAGCGAGGAGGACATTGTCAACAAGTACGAGGCGTTGTACAATGAGATCGGAGAGACATTCAGGACTTTGCAAGAGTAAAGGTCGGCACATGGAGTGAGAGGCAGAGAAGGGGGGTTGTAACTAGCTCTTTATTTTTGAAATCAAAAAACATGTATGGATCCGTATTAGATTGCATGGCGCATTTGCGCAATTGATATCGAACAACTTATGGGCTCTGTGATCCAGCAAGCTCTCGCCAGGAGATGGGCAGCAAGTCGGAAGCGCCCATTATCGTTTCTAACCGTCAACCACCAAACTCTCAGAGGGTCAACCACCAAGATCTCAGAGGGTCAAGAACACCACCTTCTCCGAATCCTTCTTGAAAGAGAGCGACCCGATCCATGCTGCCGACAAGCTCTCCATCATCAAGCGTGATTCTGGCCCCATCCAGCCTCCCGAAAAAGCAAAGTCGAAGAGCGCTGCACCGCCGGGGTAGACATGGTCGGCGGCTTCTTCGGGACGCTGGATGGGGCCAGAATCACGCTTGATTATGGAGAGCTTGTCGGCAGCATGGACCGGGTCGCTCTCTTTCAAGAAGGATTCTGAGAAGGTGGTGTTCTTGACCCTCTGAGAGTGTGGTGGTTTGGGGCATGGCGAGAACACCGCGTAGTACGTAGGCGCCCCTTTTCATTTTGCTTCCGCCAAGTCCGGCCTGACAAGAAAGCTGAACCGGTATGTCACATGCGACGGACGTCGGTATGGGTAGAAGGACGAATGTATGATGGATGTTGAATGGACATTGAAAAGGGATACATCGGATTGTCACAGCGCCACGACGAAGCGAGATTCAAGCTCAGACACGAGTTGATCCTCACCCCCAGGATCAGGATTCTTTTTGTCCTGTGCATGCACCTAACCATCGAGCATATTGACGTGGCCGATATCCTGCATATGTCCATCAGAGGAGGACACTCGAATGTTGCTTCATCTTGTCTGTACTCACAAAAGGGATATCGTCTTCACCGTACTCGTCACCTGGCAGCCAGAAGGGGACTACGTTCTGTGCTTGATACGCTGCTACTTTCGGGTTTGAAGCTGACTCGAGTATATCAGCGAGCCATGTCAAGCTCCAACATCATCTTGCTGCTACTTACGAAGAGGAAATACTATGCCCAGATCAAAGTTGAATATCTTGGCCCGCGTCTGCTTGATGCCTCCGCCCATCGCTTTTTGCCAGTATATACCCTGTAACAGTCCCTTGAGCTTCTGATACCGTCTTCAGAGGCCGACTTGGCTACGCACCCAAGCAGACGCATAGAGCGAGTGGGTTCCGACATACATCCACCCTGACGCAGATCCGGGTGGTCTTGTTGGAGCGGACGACCCTGATGGGAGAATATCGACCGGAGTGATATCTTCAAATAGGGCTGAGATAGTCTTTGGGCTGTCAGCGTCAGCAGGTAGGTGAGTGAGTATCCCCAGCTTACCTTTGCATTGATGAGGTTCGGTCTCTTGGGCTTGACATCCCGGAACAAGGGGCGCGTGACATGGTTGAACCCGAAACAGCCACACATGAAGCAGAGTTCTGCAATGGTATGTATGACCTTCTGGGATACTTTTCTCAGTTGGGTATAGGATTCGAAGGTGAAATTCGGGGGGCACATCGTCTTTGCTCGACCTGCGCACTTGCCGTAAAAGTTCTTGAGCCAAGCGAGTCGATATTTGCCCAAGTTCGAGCTCTTAGAGGACATCAGCACCATGTGCGTCGCTTCCACATCTCCTCACTTTATAGGCCATAGTCAATCGACTCTCCTCTCGAGGCATCCAGCCTTCCTCTTCGAGCACCCTCTGCAACCTTCCCGAACCCACTCGCTCACTACTCACACCATGGTGAACCCCTGGGATGCTCACGATCACTTTGAACTTGACTCGGCTGAGATCATACAGCTTCAGGGCAGCTGTGAAGGAGGATTCGCTGGCATAGTTGAAGTCATCCCAGCCTTCGAGGTATTTTGATAGAGGGGTTTTATTGATGGTCTGGTAGAAAGAAGTAGTCTCGAAGACCATGTCGAATTGCGTCACCAGATCTTCCCCGAAGACCGACGACCCCTCCGCTCCGGGAATGTTTTGGCAGAAAATCTTGAACGAAGGTCAACTGTGAGAGATATCAGCAATGCTATTTCTTCTACAGTTGTGGTTTCTTTCATTTTCCCACCAGTGCCAGTCCGGCCTGCCCCATGATCCGGTGGTCAACACTAGTCGCAACCTTCCAGTACTGTATCTTATCTGAATTTGTATCAGGACTTGACGGAACGCTCCACAAGTAAAGAGTACTCACCCACGTGAAGGCCATATTCATCAAACCGCCTACCACCTTTTTGTTTCGCTTCCGACTGCTAGTCACGCTCTCGACCCCATTCGCGATGATTGTGGTATCTAGAAAAGAAGGCTGACAGATGACGGTCAGAACCTCGTGCGGCGGAGGCATGATCCCTGCCTCGAAAGCCCAGTCTAGATCTTCTTTTCCTTCGGCAAAGACCAGTATATTGTCGACTTTGGAATGCTAGTACGATATCAGCATAAGTTCAGCGCCGGGCAAGTCTTCCGTATCTCACCTTCCCGATGATACTGCCCAACGTCCACGTTGAGTGTTGGGAGTCCGACTCCCCTCCCAGGACATTGCGCCTCATCTCGCCGTCAAGGTAATACTCGCCAGCGTCATCCTCAGGGAATGGCCCGCCAGTTTGGAAAGGATGCCGTTTATCGTTCAAATCGGCGTCTTTCGGCCAAACGAGCCTCGTAATGGGTTCACACGGGCCAGGCTCCTGTCGAGCCCAAGTCTGCGAGGCCATGTAAAGCTCCTTCTGCTCTGCCCTGACCTGTTTGCCTCGCTTCTTGTTGTCGTGTGTGGGACGGGCAGGAAGCTCCCAATTGAGGTCGCACTCTTGGATTGCCTTGTCTGTAATACTGGCAGTGCGCCGGTCTTTGACAAGCTGGTTGAGGTCGAGCATATTTGAGGAAGGGCAACGTAGACAAGAGAGGTGATGAAAGATGAATGGCAGGACGTGAGAGATGTTGTGCTCGGTGTGGGTGCGGTTGTCAAGCTCGGAGGCGGATCAGTCCGAGAAATGTGCTATCGTCAGCGCCTCATTGAAGCTGCAGTGGTATCGACTAAACATCCTCATCAGTTCAACATCCGGCATCAGACCTCAATGGCTCACCGACATTCATGCATGGAGTATCTCCTGCAACATTATATACAATATGATATACAAGATGGGGCCTCGAGGGGCGCCGACTAGAATTATGGATGATCACTAATGACCAGCAATTATTGATTCAATGTGCAGACTCTCACAAGGGCAGACAAAGAAAACCACGGCCACCGCCACTATGGCACACCTGTATAAACAACAATCCTCTGTATCACTTGGCATCCATCGCCACTTTGCTCGGCGGCTGCGGCGGATTGCAAGAGTACCCAAACATCTCCGACAGCAGCATATCCAAAGGCGTCACCTGCTGCACGTTGGGTACGTTGGGAGTCCCCACCACAGTCGGCGGTGTAGGCCACGAGCCCTGAGCCGACTGACTTCTCGAGGTCGAGCTCAGCTCCTGCTCACTTGACGCCATCCACCTATCGGACGTATCCATATACCCCTGCTGCGGCACAGAGACACCATTGCCGTGTCCCTGGCGCTGGCGAGCAAGGGCATGCACAGAGTCGAGCGTCATCTCGGTGGGGAAACCCATGGGCTCCAGGGGGCGCGCCGCTTCCTGTTCGAGTGATTTGGTCCAGTCTTCTGCTGTGCGCACCATCGAGCCAATGAGATTGCTCGCACCACTCGCTACAGTCTCGCCTCCAAGCCCGTCATCGTGGATGATGACACTCACAGCCCGGAGAGCCTGTGCGAAGTCTCGCATAGCGTCGAGCCATGAGCGGGGACGGAAAGCCTTGTAGAGCTGGTTGTTTGACCGTAAGATGTGAATCGTGCCGGCCTCCATCTCCATTAGGACTTTGGCAGACTCCACCGCGATACAGATGGTCTCATGCAGTGGCACGACACACGTGGAAGCAACACCATGCAGCTCCGAGTTCATAGATACAGCCAGCTGGGAGCACGCTAGAAGATTGCGTTCCATATTGACTCCGCGCTTGCGACCCCATTCCCAGACGGCCTGGACGGCAGGAGTGGCACCACCGTTGTGGTTTGTGTCACTGATGAAACGCACAATGTCGGGTGGATTACACGCGCGGGAGATGGCATACGAGACAGCAGTGTGTGGATTCGAAGGTGGAGGCAAGTCGGGGTAGGCATAGAGGGATCCAGGAAGGTAGTGGGTAGCGATGAGAGCGCGAAGACCGGTGACGTGTATCTTGCTGAACTCGTACCGGCGGCGAATCGCCCGGTAGACCATGGAACCGACTTCGATATTCTCAGAGTATTCGCGCAGCATTGCTGGTCAATGTCAGCGGATGGTCACGTGGGGCTAAGGATTGACCTACACATCATGCTGTCGTGACGTTGATCGATTGCGTCTGTCCGCCTCGTGTACTCGTCAAACTCTGTCAAGATACCTATGACAGGGTCGACATTCAGGTCCGTCGTGCTATGCTCTAGCACCCCCTTGATCCTCGCCATACCATCCAAAACTTCCTCCAGCCTCGCCACCTTGTCACACAGTGCCAACTTGCCGACAAGGACCGACATGTCTTCTTTGCCGATGCCATCCCGCCAAAGGCAGCTACCCAAGTCAGTCATGCCCAGAAAACTGTCGGTGATGGATCGAGCTTCGGCGAGCTGCTTGGGCTTGTGCGGGTTTGATTCTTCCAACATGGCGGCGGCTTCTGACGCTATAAGAGACAGCCAAAGCCAGAGATCGCCACAGTAAAAGTTGTGTGCGATGCCGGGGCCATTGAGCAATTGCTGCACGAGCTGCTCAAAACAGAGCTGAGCGCTGATGGCTCGAGCAGCGGCGGTGAGACCTTTTGCGACACCGAGGTTTTGCAGATTGGTCGGCTGGAGGGGCAAGACGCCAAATGGGCAGTGGGTGATGAAGAGCTCGAGCGCCTGCAGGGCAAAAAAGGTATGGGGGTGGTGTAATAGCAAAGAGTCGCGTCGCTGGTAGATGTAGGCGTCGAGGGCGTTTCGGAGGTTGTGCACTGTAACGTCTGGCGGAAGGACGGCACTGGCAAGATATACAACGGTAGCAATCAGGAGAGCGATAGTGGGCTCAGGGTTGCGTCTATACTCGACCATCATTGAGTCGAGGTCGTCGAGATGGGGGTGATAGGTCCGCAGTTGAGCCACACTTGTACACTGTCAGCGTGCGCCCACAAGAGGGAGGAGGTTGAACGTACCCTTTTCTCAACCTTAGTCTCATGTCGTCGTCAACGAGGTCTTCCAGTTCGACCTCATCATCCTCTAGCCGTACCCTCTTGCCCCTCTTGTCGTTCCTACCATACGCCACGCGAAGCATAGCGCACGCTAGCTCTAGCGGTCTTCCATGCAGCTTGATACTCTTCGTCTTACCCGACTCTCCGTCCAGACCTCGGGCGCCAAGCTCCCTTTTCAGCCGTTCATAGTTCTCTACCAAGTCCTCCGCAGAAGTCGGAGTCGGTCCGCCAGGTACGGAGGACAGGCTGTTGACAATGTCCAAGCTGTTGTCTGATCGATGTACCGTGCTCTGCGAGAGCGGACTCGCCTGGGGCTTTGCGATACGTCGCCTGGCAGTGCTAGGGCCGGCCTGACTCGCCGAGTCGCTGGCGAAGGCATCTGGGGTGGATGCAGAAGCCTCCTTGCGTTTGCGTTTGCGATTGCCATCGTCGACGATACAGGGGATGGAGAGGACCTTGCAGCGGTGGCAGGCCTTGTCGATGGGGAGGGGCTCTGGCCCCGCTGGGACGTCGAGGTCGGGGACTGTAATGTCAGCGTGAGAGACGTCGTGGGCAGAAGAGGATGGGATTTACGCTCGCACCTGCTCTTTCGGAGCCTGCAGGTGGCACAGGAGCGCCTGGCATGTGTGCGCTTTGGGCGGGCGGGGGGTGGAGGAGGCGGGGGAGGGGCGGCGGGGGCATTCATGGATCCGGCGGAGAGAGAGATGAGATGTGGTTGTGTGGTCGAATACCCCTCGCGGCCCGCAGCAGCACGGACAACGCTCGGGTAAACATGCTTGCTTTATCAGTTGTCGTAATAAAAACCCCATCGCTTCTGCGCCAGAAGCCCTACTTCACGCCCTAATGTCCTAAAACAGCGCGATTCTGGGCGCGAAATGGTTGACGCGACTGCTCTATAAACTCAACTCTGTCACTAGATATATCCACGCTGTAACTCCTCGACGCCCTGTGTATAATCCTCAAACACTCTCTTTTGCCCTGTGCATGTGTATACGCGTACCGCGACGCGTCGCGTCTTGGGCCTCTTGGTGAACGCGATGGGCGCGACATCCGCAAAAGATATTCCTTTTGAAGAGTTAGTCCTGTCTCAAAACCTACTTCAGTCGACTAATCTCTCAAAGATTCTGTAAATCAATCAAGATACTCGCCAGCGACAAATCACTATGCGCCCCTGAGACCATCTTCAAATCATGGCTTCAAAGCCTTCCAAGACCCTTCCCACCTCACACGGGCAAACACCTCTTTCGCCTTCTCTTCCCCAACAAAGGCTCCAGACGACGGTATGGCACAAAAGAAATGAAATTATCGCGTACCCTCGAAGACGTGCTCGGACTACGCGGTCTCCTAGCCCAGTGGGACAGCGTCAATTGGGACCCCAGAACAGAGGCCGGCACGGGCTGCCTTGGCCGGGAGGTAGAGATCCAGATGGAATTGAGAGTGATTGGACCCATCATTCGATATGGATGTCACTGACGAACACTCTGATAGCTCGCGTACAAGCACGAATCACAATTCTCGCTCCGTGAACTCGACTCGCTGCTAGACGAACTCGCCTCGGACAATCATTTTTCCCAACTCTCCCAAGTCCAGTCCCAAACCCGCTCGCCTACCGATATCCTCATTGAGCTCTACCGTCACGCAAAACTGAGCCCCTATGCACTCTCTGTGCTCACACAAATCATCCTGCAAGACCTCCGACCCTTGTTGGACCCGTTACCAAGGCTGGAGGGTGGTCGGTGTCCAGGTAGCTATCTAAGGATCAAGAGCAATACGAGAACCAAGCAACTCACCATGCGAGGGGCGATGATGGGATGGGATCCGAGAATGTGGGCGTATTATAAGGGCGGCAGAGGAAACATGGACGTTTGTGCGGATCTGGTAGAGGAGCTTGCAGCTACCAAAGCATCAGTTGCGGCAGAGTCTCAAGTCGGCGTCAATGTTGAAGTGAGTTCTCTGCGTCTTTTTCACGTACGCGTACTGATCTTGGCAGATTACCAAATGCAGACAAGGTCGCTCCATCTCTGATGCTCTCAAACCATTTCAATCAGGTGCGGGAAGACAGGCTGCAGGTGCTATATGGGCCGAGACCAAATACGATGGTTATAGGTAAGACCTTTCCACCTCTACTTTCAGCCTTGGGTGTCACTCAACCATATGTAGAATGCAGATTCACGTTGAGCTGGTGGGAGACAAGCCAAAGATTACAATATTCAGCAAATCCATGCGAAACTGCACCGACGACAGAATCAACGCACACGCGCATGTCCAGCCTTTTGATTCAGACAGGACTCCAAGCTGACTGAAAGCAACACAGTATCATATGCCACGCCCTCAATCTCCCTTGCAACCCCAAACTTCCCAAACACTCCTCTCTCGCCTCCAAACTCGCCGCCCTTCAGCAATCCGGTCAATCTCGTCCCCACAGCCGGATCAAGAAATCGGTCATTCTGGAAGCTGAAATCGTGCCGTACAATGAGCAAGATCGCGACGGGGGAAGAGGTCCGGGTATAGAGGAATTCTGGCAGATCAAGAATGCCGGCGTAGGGGCCCCTTCCGCTACATCCTCCGCGTAAGCTCTCTTCCATTGTCTCCTGTGATATAAGTGATGACAAGGCTGACGTGCCCCGGGAACAGGTCAGGGCGTTGGGATAACCAAAGCAGACACGTTTGCTTGGTCTTTTTTGATTGTCTCCACGTGGACGGAAGGAATCTGCTGCACACGCGGTATGACGAGAGGAGGCGCATATTGGAAAATGCCATTGTACCTATCCCAGGTTTTAGCATGTTGGCCGAAAGGACCAAGATCAGGGTCGCTCTCAGGCCAGATCATCTCGTTCAGCGGGTGAGCTCGACCCAGCCAACTTAGGGGAAAAACTCATAGAAATGTAGGACCTAGATGATCTCTTCAATGCTAGCAACCTCGCTCGGGAGGAAGGACTCGTCCTCAAAGCTGCCGAGTCGACCTACGCGGCCATGCAGTGGCCATGGGTCAAGTTGAAGAAGGATTATATCGAGGGGATGGGTGATTGTGTTGATTTGGTGATGGTTGGGGCAGGATGGGATGTTGATCGCGCGCGCGAGTTGAGGGGTACTTTCTCTCGAGTTTCCTCTTTGAGAAGGTTGCTGATCACAGCGCTACAGTGGACACGTCTGTCTTTACGACCTTCTACTTGGGCGTGCACGACAGTCACCCAGCCCGCGGACCGCCCAAATCCACCACGCTAATCGAGTCTGCCATCTCCGCCGGGCAACACGGGAAAGGCCTACCACTTATCAGGATCCTCTTTGCGGTCTCGTACGGTCTCACCAGAGATATGCTCGAGCACTACAATGCGCTGATCCGTATGGGGCGGTGGAAGAGTAGACCATTTGACAAGGATGATCCGCTGAAGAAGGTGCGTCACCTGGCTTGGCTGTTTCCGTATTCAAGTGACTAACAAATGAGTAGCGATGTATTGGGTTGTCCTACAACTATACCTTTGAGAAATCCCTGTCATCACTACCGTCGGTGCTATTCAACGATCCGCTCTGTGTAGAGGTCATGGGCGCTGGGTTCCAAAAGATTCCCGGTTCCGAGGTGAGTGCCTAACCCTCTCCTCATGTGGATTCTCGTGAGCTAATAGATGTATAGCTGTTTGAGCTCAGGTGGCCTAGGCTGCAAAAGATCCATGAGAAGAAGGATAGAGAGTGGACTGAAGCTCCCAAATCCAGCGAGTATGTCGCCATCGCTCATGCTTCCTTGGGATGGCAAGCTGCGCATCCCGACTCGCACCCCCGACCTTCCTACCCGCAAGTCTCCCCCTTCCGTCAACTCCGCCACCGCCGCCATTCTCCCACTCCCGAGTCTTCTTCCTCTACCGAATGGCTAGACAATCATTGGCACTCCTGCTCGACCCTCCAGTTGATCGATAAGCCTGATTTCTCCTTCACGCCAAGCCCGGCAAAGAGGTCGAACTCGGCCCCGGAGCTCGGGCAAGGGTATGAGGCAGAAAAGGAGACGAGTCAGGAGGGTCCAGCGAAGTTCAAGAGGGAAGCGACACCTTTTGACAGAATGGGATCGCCGAGAGAATCACCTCTTGAACAGAGGCATTCGCCGACAAAGTCGCCTCTACATATAAGAGGCACGACTTTGAATGCCTCTGGAAAGACCAACCGTGGCCCCGCTCATAAATTCTGGGATGCCATCTCTCACGGCTCAAAGAACAACCGCGCGGCAAACTCACAGATGGACGGGAGGGGTCTGAGTTCTGCCATCGTCATTGACGATGATGAACCACCTGCTCTTAGGAGCGGGATGAGCCCCAAGAAGAGGCGAAGGCTTGAACCGCCTGTCCCTATCAAAGCTCACAAGGAGGTGCTCCAGCCAGCACAGCCGCCGGTGTGGGATGGTGGAGGGGCGGAATCATGGTCTTCGGTGGTGACTTCGCCTTCGCAGCCCGCGCGATCGCTTCCGGCTATCGAGAGACAGCCACTCTCCCCTGTCCAGCAAAGCAATCACTCCGACGTGAGCAATATGGTTACCACTTTCTTGAAGGACCCAGCTAGAGAGGGTATCAAGGCGGTGAAGAAACAGGCGACAGATAAGGACGCAAACCGGGAGACGAAGAAGACGTGGGACAAACCGCAGACGTTATTGTCCAGGTGGCGGGCGAGAAAGAAGAGGGAAAAGGCGGCTCTCGCAGAGAAGGCTCAGGTACAGAAAGAGCTCAAAAGAGGAGAATTAGAACAAGAGCAGGAGATGGTCCAACCGCCGCTAGCGGTATTTTCTTGACCTCTCTCCGTGTCACATAACACAATTCCATGCTCAGGTGCCACCACGGACATGATATACCAGGATGCATTCTATAATGTCACATATGTCTTATGTGCTCTGCAGAGCAGAGGCGGCCCGATCTAAAGCATCTGACCATTTGGCCAACAAGAAGTCTGCTCCTTGCCCTCCGGTCACCTCTGCGATCGTAGCCTCGTCCAACCCCTTGACATACTCTTCCACTTTGTCCAACTGACCCCTGGTATCGCTCAACCAGCGGGTTACAACGTCCTTGTGCACACTGCGAATCCCAGTGGCGTTCTCTTTGTCGCGGGTAGAGAGGAACCAGACGTATTGGGCGACTTCAGTCCACCAAGAGGCGTAAAAGGTGTTCCGCAGGAGGTCTTCGGATCGAAGGGAGAAGGGGCAGGTCTTGTCGTTAGGGACAGGGGCCGGGAACAGGATGGGGTTCAGTTGGGCGAGGAAGTCGGTGTTGAGGATCTCCTGAAGGTAATTGATTAGCAGACGCATTACCATACAGCAGAGTCACAAACAGGACTATTCGAGGTCTCTTGACGCAGGATGGAGAGAGACTCCACTCTGACCGACTCGAAGGGGTTCTCTGGTTCCAAAAGCTACTCCATATCAGCACATGCAAATCGTCATCAGCGCACTGACCTGTCGCAAAGCAAGCACTTTATCACGTCCTTCCTGCAAAGACACGAGAGTGCCCACAAGCTTGAAGAGCGCCAGGCGCACGGTCGGGTTTGCATGTTGAGCAGTCAGAGGGACGAGCAGCTCTAGCAACATTGTCACTTCTTCGTATCCGACATTCAGAGCACCCTTCTTCCCATTCTGGGATTCATTGACAATCCACCAAAGCCACACAATTCCAGCATCGACGCTGGTACCACTCAGAGCAGCACACAGGACTGGCATCAAATCTTCAAGAGTCGTTGAGGGTAATGGGTCCGGCAAGAGGCCATTGAGTTTGCCGTCTGGAATGGTTGACGCAAGCAAGTTGAAAGCTGCAAATGTGCCGTATGTTGAGCGACTAGAAGAGAAAAACACCCGATCAGACAAAGGTTTATTGGGATTGAGAATCTCGACCACGCGCTGCCACTCGTCTCAGCATCAATCAAGATACAGCGGATAGCGTCTTACCAATGCCTGGTTGAATACCATCGCCGCTTGTTGCCACCCCTGAGGAGTCTCTCGGTCCATTGCAGGATCTTGTGATATCGTGGATACCTGAGGGCCTTGACTGTATTTTGGAAACGTCTTCAAGAACCAGCGTTCTGTCAACTGTGCATTCGCCTTGGGGCCGAGAATGGCGAGGGCTTCGAACAAAATGTTGGAAAGGATCGACTGCAGAATAGTCAGTGTTTATGGCTTCAATACGGCGGGATGTCTCACAGCCTGTTCACCGTTCTTGTCGGTCGTGGTTTGCACCCATCGCCAGATGGTGTCGGTCAGACGACATAGAACAAGGATGGCCGTGCGGGGCCAAATGGAAGAAGCATGTGCTCCCAACGAGAAAATGGACGAGGAGAGTAGCTCTTGAAGGGATAAGAGGGTCGGGGTACTCCTCGTATTGGGCAATCGAGGGATAGCTACTGTGCGTCAGTGCAAGTCGTCAAGAGCGGAGAGAAGAGAAGAGCGCACCGATAGTAAGGCCCATGATCAGCATCTGCCACTCCACCCAGAGCTCGTCATAGTTGACATTGCTCTTCTCTTCGTCCGTCTCTTCCCCGTCGCTGACTTCAAATCCCTCGGCCCGGTCGACCACGTACTGAAGCGCCTCGGAAAATGCCATGAGCACTTCGCGTGGCTTGCCGTAGATGGCTATGAGCTGGATGAGGGGCATGACAATCTCCGGAGAGGAGTGTGTCACTTGTAATATTGATGCAGTGTAATCCAGAGCATGATCTTCCAGTAATAAGGTCTAAGGCGGGTCAGTCCAAAGCCAAGATCTACTACGGCATGCTCACTCGTCGCTGTTTCTGGGTCTGGGCATCTCCTTCATGCAGAACCTCAAGTATGATTTCGCATACCGCTTGTTGGGCATTGGTATCATCCGAGTCAAGGTATTTCTTGAGAACCTTGCCGAGACTTTCCTGGTCCTGGGCTGGTTGTTCCGTCAGTCCCAAGAAGACGAGTGAGGGGAGTGCTTACCAGGGGCGGAAAGTATCTCTTTGAGAGAGTTGGACAAGGAGCTGAGATCTTCCATAGTCTGAGTTGATTTTGTATCGGGTTGTTGTAATGTCTTGTGGTAAGTGCATTCTCCATGTCAAAGCCGGCGGGGACCCGAGCGTCGAGTACGTAATGAAGGACGCGTCGTTGACGCGTCTGCTGAAAATCAAGATGGAAAGTTGTGAATGAGTGTGACCTGAGTTTGGAGAAGGGCCATGTCGGATATATCTCTGGCATCGACTCTGAAGGATAGCGAGTCGCCCCAACCCGTATCGCTACCCCAGCCAGAGCTTCCCCCGACCTTCCAACACAAGACCCTCTCCGCCGTCTTTCCCTGCCTCTTCTCCCTCGCATCCTTGTTTACCGCGCTCAGCGGGCAACAGTTTCCAAAACCCGATCATCCGCCAGAGTTCCAGCAGTTTGTGCATACAACATTATGCGCATTCTCCTGTGAAGAGTCAGCTCGCAAAGTCCGTTGGGACGATAGGAAAGTGCTCGTGCATCAGAGGACCCATGATGCCGTCAGTGGAATCTTGCGTGAGATCCATGATAGGAAGAAGGGCAGTAGTGTTCTTCTGCAAGTAACTGACAAGGTATGTGTCGTTGTCTCCCACACCCTATATACTCACGTCTGTTCAGGTGAAGCAATATAATTCTGGCGTCAACCTCCAACGTCCGTTCGTGATGAACCAGCATATTCACAGCCCAGCTGCGGTTTTCGAGCAGCCTATGTGGATGTCTTTGCGCCACAAGTACTTTCGATGCTCGCTCCTGTCCCGAGAGATGCTGACAATCGAACAGTATAGGTGACATTGCATTTCGCCAGCTCATAGTCCATTCCTCCTTGTTCATCCTGATAGACAATAACTGCTTCCTCCAACTCAGTGGAGAGCCCCTGAACGATATCAATCTCTCAAACATGCCCCCTTTTGCTCAAACGGCTGCTCCTAGAGTACGGCAAAGTAAATTGTCGAAGCGAGCAATACAGGCACTCAAGAGAAAGCGGGAGGAAGAGGTGGCTACGAGTGAAGAAGGGGTGATGGAGGGCAGGGAATCAAAAGATGCCAAGGCGCCATCACCCAAGAAACACAAGCTTCAGTAAGTGGGCATCTCTGAAGGAGTATGGTCATTCACACCAAGCCATCAAGGTTATCATCCATGGGTATTCAACGTAATCGCATGTTTTACGGTAAACCCTATCAGGTCGCTGGCAAACACCCGTCTCGTGGTCTGCCTCCAAACCGTACGCAACCACAGGTCAAATTGAAGGGGATTGTGGCTGACGGTCAAACAGACATCCTGAACACTTGCAAGCCTCCCTCCGACGAAATGCCCAAAGACCTAGAATGTCTAAAGCTTCTAGCTGTCATATTCCCCAGCATGCTAACGCTCGAAGAAGGCCGAGCGCCCAAAGTTAAGGGGTCAAACGAGAGGCTGAAAAGAATGGCAGGTATTGCGAGGGAGATGTTGGTGAGGCACAGCCGGGCGAACTATCACCGGATATTGAAGGACTGTATGGTAAAGCTCGAGAAGGAGGTGAGAGCAGATCAAATGGTGTCTACCGAGTCCTGACCTGATTGACAACAGACTCCTTACCCGTGTTTACCACCCGACTCTGCCAAAGAAGACTCATCTATACCCGTGACCCAGAACATCCCCAGTAGTGGCAGCGAGCTTCCGAAACCTCCCACATCATCCCGACTAGCCTCGGGGAGGAATGGACCCGAGCCTCCGCCGCCTTTAGAGCCTAAAACGCAGCGACAGGTCAGAACAAACGTCCATCATTCGTCAGCACTTGCTGATTGCTTTTAGGTGTGCTGGTTTGTGAGAAGAGTCATCAAGGCGCTCTTCTCGACAGTCATACTTGGATCCCAACACAATCAAGATGTCATCCTCGCCAGCACTCGACGGTTCGTCACCATCTCTCAGCACGAGACCGTATCGATACATTCCATCCTCCAAGATATCCGTATCAATGACTTTGAATGGTTGGCGTTGGGGGAGAAGGGCAAGAGGGTCAATCAGGCGGAGATGGAGAAACGGCGGATGTTGGTTGTTGATCTGCTCAAGTGGATCTTTGAGGGCTTTTTGATTCCTCTTCTCAAGGTAGGCATTCTATGCTTTGAGAGTTCCAATACCACATTGACTCTGTTGCAGAACACTTTCTACATTACTGAGAGTGCGAATACCAAATACGAGACTGTCTATTTCACACACGACGATTGGTCTCACGCCGCCAAGCCCCACTTTGAAGGCCTCAAGGAGAAGCTTCTGGTATCTCTAACACAAGTATGCGCTCTAACCATCGGATGTGAAGCGGCGCAAGCTGACTTTGACCTCAGGCCGAGAAAATAGTGGCTGAATCACGCAAAATCGGCGTTTCTGTCGTTAGGCTGATACCAAAGCCTACTGGTTTCAGGCCTATCGTCAATCTCGGGCGCCCCGTGGTCAGTCATTCCCAAATGGCAATAGACAACAGCTGACAATCCATCGTCGTGTAGAATATCAGAGGCGACAGAGCCGGCGACAATACAAGACCAGTCAGCAAGTGGGATATGAAGAGTACCAATGATTTACTCCGTGATCCTCTTTTGATTCTAAACTATGAAAAGGTCGGTCGGTGTAGCCCCTGAGAATATGTGGCTGACGGGCTTGGGCAGACGCGAAAGAGAAGCCTCTTGGGGGGTGCGTTGTTTGGGACAAACGATTTTGTCCCGCACATCCAGCAACTGAAGAGCGATCTCTACAAGAGACATGGGAGCAAGCTGTAAGTTTGTACAGCAGGGGTGACAGCGCGACTGACCACATACTAGGCCCAAGCTATATTTTGTCAAGATGGACATCAAAGCAGCGTTCGACACGATCAAGCAGGATCGTGTGCTTGAAATCGTCGAGGAGATACTCGATCAGGTATGTCCCTGCGTACCAAGAAAATCAGACGTTGACGGCGAGGTAGGATCATGACTACTGCATCATGATGTATGGCGCCCTTTTGCCCCCGGGGAACGAAAACCGATCGAAAGCACCTAGGAAGCTATACAGATCCAAAGCTGTTGCTGATAGTGCGTCCATATCCCTGGTTTTGGCGTGAGCTGATGAAGGGGAAGACATGCTCCACCCCACTTTTGCAGACCACGCCCGGGAGATCGTCCAGTCTATGCGAAATGCTGCGATGGTCGATCTCGCTCGCAGGAGAACCGTCAAGACGGCAGATGTCATGCGACTTTTGAGGGAGCATATCAAGGAGAACACTTGGCAGGTGAGCAGTGGCTCATTATGCTGAGCTAAAGCTGATACAATAGTAGATGGGCAGAAACCTGTACCGGCAAAAGACTGGAATCCCCCAAGGATCCAAAGTCAGCAGCGTCCTCTGTGCAATGTTCTACTCTTACCTCGAGAACGAACACCTAGACTGGGCTCAACAAAAGTATTCGGTAAGACCTTTTCGACTCTAGATCACTACCATGACTGACTGTAGTAGCTCCTGCTGCGATACACCGACGACTTTCTCTACATCACCGACAACCCCCAGCTCGCCGCACGCTTCGTCAAGGAGATGTTTCGCGGCTTTCCCGACTATGGCGCGCATATATCGCCAGCCAAAACCCTGCTCTCGTTTGAGTGTGTGGTGAATGACCTGAAGCTGCCGGTCGCGGATGTGAACCAGGAGGGAGAAGTCGGTAAGTGCTTTGAGGCTTGATGACACGGGATTATTGATGAAAAGACAGAATTCCCATATTGTGGTTTCTTGATCAACGTCAAGACGCTAGAGTTGAAGCAGGACTATACCAGGATGGTCGGTCATCGTAAGTCGATGTCACTGGTATGACACGTGCTGATTGTATGAGCAAGCCATCAAACATTCTTTCGCATTGAGATCGATGAGCAAAAAGCACTCCAACTTGGTCACATGGCTGTGTCGTCAATTGCAGAACCGAAATCAAATTGCTCACGTGCGACGTCACTCTCTACGCCTGGAACAAGACTGATGTTTGGTTGGTAGCTCAATACAGCTTTGAACAGCCTCGACACAGTCCTGTTCAATGTTGGGACCAATTTTGCGTTTGCCGCCATGAAGGTGGTAGTGTATCACAAAGGCCACGATATCGACGAAAGACTCCACAAGCATATATTCAGTAGGTCCTTGTACTCCCGACAATGCTGATGCGAGCAGAATCTCTGGTGGCAGCAGCCGACTATACATACTTTGCTGGACGAGCTCGTGTCAAACACTACGCCCAAGTGCAAACAGTAGACAAGCCTCGAGAAGAGGTGCCGGTGCGCAAGAGTGATTTTGACTAGTCAGTATGGTTTTCCCGCACATGTCCCCAGCGCTCAGGGTGTTTCCAGTGTCGCCTTCAAGTGTATGTCGAGGGTGCTGCGCCGTAAAGCATCCAAGTACAAGACGGTCGTCGATTCGATTGAGGAATTGTTGAAAAGACGGATATATCGCAATGCGCCCAGTCGATGGGATCGTGTGGTAGACCAGTGCTGGGAAGCCGTAGGAGACGCTGTATATTAGTTCACCCTTTGTTGTCACAGTGTGCACATGTATCGCCCGATTCCAATCTGCAGATCCAAGTATCCGATATGCAATCCATCTCGTCGTACAAGCCTCCCAAAAACAACTGCCAACCCAACGAAGTACTTAGATGTAAGTCTCGTCTGAAATGCCAGTCAGTTTGCGCCTTGAAGTAGAATAGATCCCACTCACAAGGCCTGGCGGCAAGAGTCTGGGGGACGTTGTTCTTGATAGAAACAACACGGGCCTCTCGGGGCTGGGCAGGCTGACGCTTGAGGTCGACGTGCTCACCCTTAGCCTTGGCCTCCTTCTTGAGGGCGGCGTTGGAGACAACTCGGTCAAGGAACTCCTGTCGGCACTTGGAGTGCTTGATGTGCTCAACACGGATGTTGACTCGCTTCTCCATGTATCGGCCGTTGACGACCTTGTAGATGATCACACCAACAGCTCGGGGGGTAACGTTGTAGACGATACCGGTCTTGCCGTGGTAGACTGGCAAGTGTCAGATGGGCGTATTGTATCGAGGTGGATCGACGTACACTTGTGGGGCATACCCTTCTGTTGGGAAGAGTTGGCCTTGATGTCAACGATGTCACCGACTCGGTAGTTGATGAGGAAGGTGGAGACGTTGGGGGCACCGTGCTCTGTTGATCGTATGTCGAATTGACAAAAATGACACCAAGTCCACCATTTTCAAATCCAACGCATCCAGCGATTCCAGTGTCCGACACGGTTTCCAAGCAGATAGAGAGGGGCGAGCAGGGAGTAGAACGGATAGGCGAGAGGGGAGGGATATTAACAATCACAGCGAGACATCGATGAGCGCTGTCCTTTTTCGCATGCACACGGTACGCACCCTTGAAGTTCCTCCTGAACATGTGGCGCGTTCGCGCTCGCATACCGAAAGAGTGAGGCATCTTGACTGATCTGCGTGGGTCAGCGGGGACGGGGCGGGCTGGTGGATGCTCACTTTTTTGTTGATGGTTGAGGACGAGCGAGCAGAGATGCAGCAGAGAAGGCAAACTGAGCGGAAGCAAATTCCCGCAAATTTCTTACTCCCGACACCCGCGGCGGGGACGGCGGACGGAAGCAGATTCGGCACTCTGCGGCGTTTCCATCTACTCGCGCGTGGACTTGTCATTTTCGCCCTCGCAGACAAATCGAACATCCACCAAGAAAAGTGAGTCCTACTGCCCCGCCCCTTGGCCCGTCCACTGACCACAGAACCCCTCTCCCCCCATCGTCTCCTCGCCACAGATGACCGCGTGAGTAGAAGAAGAGGATCAAAGGATACAGGGCGGAGGCTGACGTTTGGTGCAGCGCCCCCAGGAAGCAGTCCAAGACCTACAAGGTCCCTAAGCGACCCTACGAGGCCGCCCGACTCGACGCCGAGCTTAAGGTGGGTCAATACATGAGATGGACAGCAAAGAGCAGGAAAGAGAGGGACACGGGAACCAAGGATTGAAGAATTTTCGGAGGATTGGTGGATTCATCGTGGAGGAGCTCTTTGCTGTCCGGGGGAATGGTTTGAACATGTCTGACGTTGCTGTAGCTTGCTGGAGAGTACGGTCTCCGAAACAAGCGAGAGATCTGGCGAATCCAGCTCACCCTCTCCAAGGTATGTTTGCTTGTGCACTTTTTTTTGAAAACTAACCCTTACACCCTTCTAGATCCGACGAGCCGCCCGAGAGCTCCTCAAGCTCGACGACAAGGACCCCAAGCGACTCTTCGAGGGTAACGCTTTGATCCGACGACTCGTTCGAATCGGTGTGCTCGACGACGACCGTATGCGTCTCGATTACGTCTTGGCCCTCAAGACCGAGGACTTCCTCGAGAGGCGTCTCCAGACCCAGGTCTTCAAGCTTGGTCTCGCCAAGTCTGTCCACCACGCCCGTGTCCTCATCAGGCAAAGGCACATCCGAGTTGGCAAGCAGATCGTTAACGTTCCTTCTTTCGTTGTCCGACTTGACTCTCAGAAGTGAGTTTGTCATGGTTCGTACCCTAGCTTTGCTGACATTTTGCAGGCACATCGACTACGCTCTCAACTCTCCTTACGGTGGTGGCCGAGCTGGTCGTGTGAAGAGGAAGAGGGCTGCTGCCGCTGAGGGTGGTGCCGGCGGTGAGGAGGACGAGGACGAGGAGTAAACCTGACGTCGATACGACTGAAGGTTCTACTCGGGCATTTGTAGGAGGGCGATTCTGGGATGCATCGTCTTCATTGACTCCAATCAATACACTGCTTGCAGGTTTGAAGAGTCATTGAACTGGGGGCCGTTTTTGGCACGGTGGCATTCATGTCTCCACGGCAATACTATGGTTTTACCATCATCCGAATCTCTGCTTCGCCATTTGCTTGAACCTATTTCGGCCTGTCAGCTGGATTCTGTCCGAGTGTCGAGACAACTAACATTTCCATGGTGGCGTCCTCCTTCGTCTTGCGCTCACTCAACCTCTCACTCACTGCCGCCCTCTGATCTTGATTCCTGTACTCTTTCTTCTCACGTCGCCTCGCTTCTGCTTCATCCCTTCTCCTCAACCTACGCATTCGTTAGCTCACCACTCAAATATGGTTCCGTGGATGCTCACGCAGCGGCAAAACTGTTAGAATCTCCCATCAGTGTCTTGTCATCGACCTCCAATCCTGCTGTAGTATCCTTCTCCCTATGCAACCTATTCTCTGCGTTCACCGCTTTCCTCTCTTCAATCCTGCCTTCACGACCACCGCTTTTGGGCACTTCATCATCTGCCCGACGAGCTTGATCCTTGTACATGGCCTTTCTCTCCAGTTTGCGAGCGTCTTGAGATGCTTCGTGGGCGAATTGTCTGTCGGCGGCGGACGGTATAGAGGGGCCGAGGGGGCGCAGCGAGGAAGGAAGGGAGGGGCCGACGGGGACGACATCTCGCCTTTCTGGTCTCACGCTGGTCACCCGGTGATCAGGGCGTACGGACGGGAAAGCAGCGCCCTCGGTGCCCTCACGAGAGTGGACACTGCTATGGTCGCCAGAACCATCCGTCCTATATCTCGAAGAAGAGGTCTTGTAGTATCGTTTGTCGAGAGCACCGTCATTCCATCGCTACGTTACGTTAGTCGAGCCATGAATAGTCCACTCAGGCCTTCACCTACTCTTACAAATCGCCGAAAGTACTTTTGTCCAGACTCGGTAGGCAGCTCGTCGAGATACTATAACCACCGGGTCAACACAAGGGTATTCTTGGGACGAAAAGGCTCATCTACCTTTCCTCTGTCGTCTCTCAGCCAGCGTTTGAATTCCGGGTACTTCAAGCTATGCTACATTAGCACAGCCTTGGCCTATTGGGTGCATACGTACAAGTCATCGCTCTCTGATATTTCTGCCACCCCCATCTCCTTCAAATCTAGCGTCTCTTCCTCAGAAGACGATGTCGCTTCTCTCCGTCTCTCCTTCCTGCTCGACCTTCGATCCGAGTCCCGACGACTGTGACTGCCTCTCCTGTGACTCTTTTCATCCTCTCTTTTACCACTTCTGTGCTTGTCTCCGCGGTCATGATCCCTACGAGGAGAGACGGATCGTGTGCGGTGCCCATGTCGGTAGGACGAGTCGCGGTCGCGCGATTTTGACCTGTCTCTGCTGCCCATCGAGTCTTGTATGTTTTTTTGCTGAAGGCTGATCCTTGCGAGTCGATGTTTCTTCCTATAGTTCGGGACGCCTGTGGGTGTTTGTATGCATGACGTTGGGCTCGAAATCTGCGTCTGTGCTTCCCAGCGGAAAAGTATCGACATCATGACTTTATTTCCAAAAGTCAAAATCGTCAACAACAAACAAGTTTGGCGTACCTTTGAACAATCGAGCTAACACTCCGTCGAGGACCAGCGCCTGCAGAGGCTCCATTACCCTGCATACCATGGCGAGCGACGACCGGTCACACTCGAAATGGTACCTCCACCACCTCGACACCCATATAAAAGCATCCCTCAAAGCCACCCTCGGCAACTATCCCCATCCCTCTCTCCAAGTCCCCCCATCCGACATTCCACCTTCCAATGCCGTCTGGACATCTTCCGAGAAAGACGCCTTCTTTGCTGCTCTTTCGAGGCACTCCAGGTATCGCCCCGACCTGATAGCGAGCGAGGTGGGCAAGAGCGAGATAGAGGTCGTATGGTACCTCGAATTCCTCGAGAAGGAGAAAGTGAATATGGTCAACAAGGAGAAGCGAGAGTCGCGAATGAAGGAACTGAAGGGGTCATCCAAGTGGAGAGAAGGGCTGGCGCCTGCTGCGAGAGAAGTTTCGGACAAGTGGGTTGAAAAGGAGGAGGAGCTTGCGAGCGGCTTGCACGAGATGCTCGAAGAGATGGCACAGGAGCATGAGCTCGGGCTTTCCAGAAAGCGCAAGAGGGAAGCCAAGCGTTCCATCATCCAAGCAGCCGTTATCCCTCCCGATACCAAATCTGGTGACAAGACCAAGTTCATCGACAACCTCCCCGAGATCCAAAAGCTCGATCAACAGTGGGAAGCCGAAGAGTGGCTTGCAGTGATGGACCCGGAGAAGCTATTCGAGCTAGATGGCTGCATACAGCAAGCTTGGCTGGCAGAATCTCAGGAGGAGCTCGTCCGAAATGGGGAGCCAGATGGCGCAAAGGATGCTCCTTCGCCTTCTGCCCCTTCTACTGTCAGCAAAACGGCCATCAAAGTCGCACGCGACCTCCGGACAATGTCTCTCATCTCTTCCATCCCCAAAAAGAAGAGGACACCCGAACAACGGCGCCTCTTTACAGCCGCCAAAAACAGGCAACGTGCTCGCGAACAATACAGGGCCAAGAAGCTCCTGGTAGAGGGTATGACGGAGGAAGACATCCGCAAAGCTGGAGGGGCAGATGCTGTATTTGCACAAAAAGAGGGACAGGAATTGCCTATAGATGTGGGTCGTGGCGCGAGGCAAAGACCGGAAATCAGAGGGGTCCATGATCATGTCAATGAGGCCGGCTTGGAGATATTTGCTTTTGCAAACATGGCTCGCTTTCTCAAGTACGTCACTCGGTGAAACAACACTTGTATCCGCTGACAGTTTCGGCAGTTCACATGAAGTACCATCAGATACATCCAACATATCCCTCCCCGTCCTGCAAGATCTCCGCGAAGAGCTCGTCGGCCACCTCAAGTTGCTCTTATACGACGTGATCACCGTCGCTGAGAAGGAGCGATTACAAGATCAATCTCTAGATGACGTCCGCCTCGAAATCGCCTCCAATCATGTCCAACAAGCTCTCGCTCTACGCGGAGACATACCGCCTTCGTTCATCGTCGACCCTGCTCTTTCGAAGATCCAGCCCGTCAAGACGGGTCAGACGACGAGTACTGCAATAATCAGCACAGACTCGGCGCCAGATACAGACATAGACATGTCGGGAAACGCTACCGAGGGCACTGTCAGCGAGGCTTCAGAAGAATCCTTGGAAGGCTACCCCGAAAACGTCCTACCCCCCACTGCTCTGTCCTGGTCCCTTCTGCCCCATCTCCGCCTCATCAGTGAGACACGATCGAACGGTCATGAAAGCAGCGCTGCTACAGACTCGGACGAGGATGAGGATGAGATTCTTTACGAGGAAGATGTCATGTTGGATCAAGCTCTAGAGGAGGTGGACTTGGATCACGACAAGCTATATGAGAAGGAACTTTGGGGCGTCAACCAAGAGGAAGAAGACAAGGACGACGAGCTGGATGACCATGCGGACGTCTGGGCTGAGGACCCCACCGAGAGATCTAAACATGAACAAGGCAAGTCTCGCCGTCTAAGCTCGATCTTGAACTGACCCCAATATAGAGTACGCCAGAATCTATCTTGAAGTCTATGAGCGGCGGAGAAAACGTCGTCTGGTTGCGCACCGTGATTCTAGACACACTGGAGGCTCTGGGGGTAGGAAGGGCAGGATACGCTCCAAGGCCTTCATCGCAAACAGTAGCGAGGAAGAAAGTGAGGATGATGCCTGGGACGAAGGTCGAGAAGACGCACACCAGGAAAGCAGAGGAGATGATGAGAGCGCTGATGAAGGGCAAGAGAGCGGCCAAAGTGCAGATAATGACGATAATCCTCGAACCACACCAGAAGGGGTCTGAAGTCTATTGCATTATCTCATTTGTATGTCTACTTTTCTTTGGTGTGCTCTATGTTACAATCCACAACTGGAAACTCGTATGTTTGGCTCAATGATTCGTCGGTCCTTGATTTTTCTCGAATACGCTTGCTCAAACAAAGGATTTCTCATTCCCAGATCGACGACTCGCACTCGATCACCTTCCCCTTTCAAGCTTCAGAAGCTGTAGGGCCCTCCTGCGGGCATACCAAATGCCTGTGGTGGCTAGTCACAAGACGTCAGCTGAGCAGCTCACGTGCATCAAGCAGCACTCACATGAACCCCCGGCAGAACGACCCCACCGAAAGGTACTTGTCCTGGAGCTGGAGGGAACTTTCTTCTAAAGCTAAGCCGTTGATCAACCCCTGTACGCCGATCCGTCAAGACCAACAAAACTTACTAGGCTGTTGAGATAGGATCTGTTACGCCGGCAACTCTCGGCAAGTCTGCTTTTGGCGCGGTCATGGGTTTCGAGGCGGCCATAGGATTCGACTGTGGCGCGACCCATTGTGTCGGTGCTCCCGCCCCGCTGCCCATCCCCATTCCCAAGCCGTATGCTGAGGGCGCCTGAACCTGACTCTCAACGAATTGGTCGTATCCTGGCGACTTTAATTTTGGCGGTCTACGCCCCGCTGGGGGCGTCTTGGGTCGGACAGTCATCATGGCCGGCAGGGTCGGAGTCATATTTGAAGTTTCTGGGGCGGTGCGGTTGGAGTAGTAGCTCTTGGTGCCCTTCTTCTTCTTTGATTTATGGCTCGCCCTTGATTGGGCCGAGTGGAATATACAGCTACACGATGTGACCGGCGCACTGACACTTGCGGCGGCTTGACACTCTGCACAAGAGCAGGCGCAGGAACCCGCCAGACTACCTTCGCCTTTGCTGGACCGTCGTCCGACCGAGGGGGGCGCTGATTTCGTCTTTTGTGAGGAGGCGACTGTCGAAGCGCCTTCACGCCAATTGAGGATCCGCTGTTCTTGGACGGGGCTGAGAAAGACGCTGGAATGCCCGGGACCGGTGATGACGCCTCGGAAAGCGCCTGGAACTTTGGCGGGTTTGGCTTGTTCGGCTGTGATGGGATAAGTACTCGGCATACTGTTGAGGTTCGAGTTGATGATGAGTCGAAGAGCATCACACGGAGGTCAGGTTGAAGAGACGATATTGGATGCGCTCGATGTCAATGTAGGTGGTGGAAGTTGAGAAATTTCCAGAACAGGCTTGAAGCGTGCACTCCCTTCGTTCTCGAGCGCTTGACGACTTCTATACTTATGTTAGGGGATGTAAAAGACGAGTGGGAAGACAACAGTTCAGCAAGAGAAGGCCAGGGTGCTCACTACACGAAGCTATACGTCACCGCCGGATTGTGAGTTTATCGTTCTCCCGCTGCTAGACAGCCAGTCCGCACGAGTATAGGCCGAGAGGCGACAGGCCCAAGGGAGGAGCTCGCGGGACCACAAAGTGCGAGACAGTGAGATGCAAGGATGTAAGCTATTTCTTCTACCGCGGAGGTGGATCCTCTTTCGCTCCTTTTGATCGGGAATTCTTCGCGTCTTCGAGTAGGTCAGTAGACAAAATGCAGTCAACAAAAGAGAGGGGCTCTTATTGTGTCAGTGGAGCATGTATACTACCTTTGGGGAGTGCTAGAGGCGAAGGCGGAGCTGAATGGAGGTTGTGGCATTCCAGCAAGGAGGGGCGATCTAGAAGAAAGGAAACATGGTTAAGGGTGTGATGGGCAAGAGATGGAAGAAATCAGCACCGCGCCGCGCTGTTGTGGGCTGGAGATGACCATCAGAATACAGTGCTGGAGATGAGATCACCTCCATCAAAGTCGACTGTGGAAGACGCTATTGGCCAAAGATATGATACCCCGGAGCCAGTGGAGCAGTCCCCACTCCGTTGTCGTCGGCCCCATCATGTGGGATTCGGGTACAGGCGAGGCGTCAGGTGAGCGGAGTAATCAGTGCGGATCGATGTACTTGTATGTACGTATGTGCACCAAATCCATGAAGCTGGAGCAGTATGGGTTTCAATGGAGAGAGGGGAATCCATGGACGGTATAGTCTGTACAGATCGAGATCGCTGAAGTATATCTATCCCCCCAAATCACAGGTATCATATATGAGCGATGTCGGCCAGACCAGGGTCTAAAACACGTTGTGCTCTCATACACCTGCCGCATCGCAGAGAACAACGGAAACATGTGCGTCCACTTGATCGCCCACAAGGGAGCCACTGTCACCGTGGCTTGCATTGTCCCCTAGCTTCTTCCCCGCGGAGGCCCTTCCAAGCCCTTGTAAGTCACACCCATCACATCCCTGATGAACACACGTCGTCAAACCAACCGGAAGGCCGGAAGGACCGATCAGATTCCCTTTGTTATATACACACCCACTTGAGATCTGGACTACATAAGAGACCTCGCCACTCGCCATCTTCATCTTCACATTCGACCTTGAGCACCGGCTTGCTTAGAGGACTGACGCGCTTTGAACCCCCACTGGTGAGTGACTCGTCCCCTCTCAGATGCTGGACTCGATTGCTATGATAGAGGAGGCAAACGTGTTGTCTGAGGTTCGCCCTTGTCAGAGTTAGAGGGGAGCGTAGTCAAGCCTGAGGCTGTCCGGTCTTGCAGTCGGCGCTGTGACATTCTGTCCCTCCTCCTCCTACCCCGCTTGCTGCTCGCTTGCTGTCTGCTACTGCGCCGAATGCCGGCGAACGTGCCCGGGTCGCCTTCGCCCACCGCAAGTCTTATGGATTGTGCAATACGCCCATACTCTGTAGGCCGTTGTGCGATCTTCTCGCATATTTCTTTGTCGCTGCGGCGGACTGGAAGAAAGCCCGAAGGAGAGAAGCGAGACATGGTTAATCGGCGTTCCTGATGAGTGCGGCTGCCATCCTTTTGGGCCTTTTGTCGGCACACCGAGTGTCTATGCTCCTCATGTCACATACGTTTGCTGGCGGGGAGCTCTGGGCTGCCACTGTCGCTGCTTCTTCCTGCGTCACTCTCTGTACTTCTCTGTGGTATACCATTTATAAGACAGCGTGTAGCGCCAAAAAGTCCAGTTCGGGATCTGGCCGCGACAAAAAAATAGTAACCGCTGACGTTGTTCCTCCGCTGCCCTCCACCACTGATATCATTTCGCCACATTCCGCCACATTCCGGCACATTCCGCCCATCCACCTCTCTTAAATTTCTATCTCTTTCCATAAAGCTACTCTATCTTTCGCAAGAGCATTCGGAACAACACAAACCTCTGCTAGATATCGATCTCACCATGAGTGCCGTCGACAAGTCCCATCCCAGCGCCAAGGCGCCCCAGAAGACCATGCTGAATCTGGGGAACCTCCCCCCCAAGCTGAAGGCTTCTGAACTCAAGGCCAATGCCAACGTGAGTAGTTATGAACTGATGGAGGCGATTCTGGCTGACCCGCCGAAGCAATACCCCCGTACTCCTTCTCGTGTCAACCCTAGTATGTCATATCTTGTCCCGAGCCTGCTCAAAAGCTGACATCTATACAGACCAGCCTCCTTGGCCTGCCTGTATGTCCTGCCGATCAATCACATTCTTCCCAGATCCGCATTGACCATTCCGCAGACCGTGGCTACCACGAATACTCTTTCGCTCATGTAAGTACACTGCATTTAGTCTACATCACCATCCCATCCTGATATGTGCGCAGGCGACTATGGGCGTACGACTGCCTACTATTTTGGGCAAGGCTATCGATGATGTCTGGAAGACTATCAATCAAGAGTACGACGAGGACCGTATCGTCGATCTTATCAACTGCATCAAGCGAATGGAAAACCTCATGAACGATCTTCAAGGCAACAGCAAGCTGCGCCCCATCATTGACGACGGCGCGGGAGACGTTGCTCTCTGGAACAAGGTACTTTTGACAACGCTGCTTGATGGGTAGCGCTGATCTTGAACGTATAAGGAAATTGCCAAGTTTTTCCGAGGCAAGGACTTTATGAATGCCCCCTGGCTCTTCGCCGAGGCCTACAAGTACAGAAGGTTAAGGGAGTGCTTCTCTCTTTCCAAGTACTGGGTTGATTATGGTACACTCTCACCTCGCACAAATACGTTGATTGCTGACTGGTCTTCTAGATGTCTTCTTCCGCCAGAAGTGCGACACCTTCTCTCGATCCAACACTGCCGTCTTTGAACTGTCTCAGCGGTTCCAGGAGCCTCGAACTCATGATGCGGGTATCTCTGCGGAGGAAAAGCTTGAAAAGGACAAACTCTTGTTCCTCGAACTCACCCAAGGTAAGTCTGGAAATGTTCACTCGCACACATGCTGACAAACCGCTAGTCTGCTTGTGGGGTAACTCCACCGATTTGTCTCTTTTGATCGACATGACCGAGGAAGACATCAAGAAGCTGCAATCTACCGGTGGTGACCATCTTGCCGCCACGGAAAAGAACATTTTGGGTAATGACCTCCACAAGCTCGCCGACTATGTCACCAAGCTCAAGGGCGGCCGAATCGACTTTGTCTTGGACAACGCCGGTTTTGAACTCTACTGTGACATGGTCTACGCCGACTGGCTTATTCAAAGTGGTATTTGCAACCAAGTCATCTTCCACGGTAAGAAGATCCCTTGGTTCGTTAGTGATGTGACCAAGAAGGACTGGGATTGGTACGGTTTGCATCCTCTCCTCACCCCTCGTGCTGACAAGTCATTAGGATTCTCAACTCTTGTGTCTACGGTCACCTCTTTGAGGAGGCTTCGGATGCCGAAGTCGAGTCTTTGAGGACTCTTGGTCACAGATGGAAGCAGTACGAGAAGGAGGGCAAGTGGAAGTTCGAGGCCCACCCCTTCTGGTGCACTGGTTACACTTTCGTAAGCGCACTTATGATGATTGGGGAAGTTTGGCGATATTGACTCTTCGTCTAGTGGGATCTTCACTCCGAAGCCCCTGATCTCTTCCAGCACCTCTCCGATTCCGACCTCGTCATCTACAAGGGTGATCTCAACCACCGAAAGCTCACCTATGACTGTCACGCTCCTTTCGACACTGCCTTTGCCGCCGCCATCGGTCCCCTCGCTTCCGAAGCTGGCGCGCCCCCCGTCTGTTCCTTGCGAACCATCAAGTCTGACGTCGTCGTTGGACTTCCTTCTGGTGTCGGCGAGAAGCTTGATGAGGAGGAGCCGGGATGGAAGATCTCGGGCAAGTACGCCGTTGTATTGCTCTCTGAAGGTAGAAAGGGTGAGGCTCCTGTCTTTGTGAAGGATTAGGGACCAAGTGAGAATAAGGTGTATAAAGAGAGAATTGGTTCGAAAGAAGTTTATCGATAGATTATTTCCACTCGCGTCTGCATGCAATATCTTGTCTGCTGTCAATGAGTTATTATATTCTCCGTGATGTTACAGTCATCGCCCGACTTGTCTTGGAGAAACCCGTGAGGGAATCATCTTATTTCTCTAGGTTTGTCAACGATCGGGTAGCAAGCCCTGGGCCACTCGTCACCTTGTCCCCTTGCGCTTCTACATCCACATCTGTAGGAAGAGCAGTTTCATCGCCCGCAATCGGTACGACCTGCGTGACCTGGCCTCTCCTAGTACTGTACGACCTCGTCCACAGTGTCAGCTGTACCCGGTCAGTCAGCTCTGCCTGCAGTGACTAAGGGAGATGTACTTACTGCAAGCGCGACCAAGAAGAACGCGCATCCGATGATCCAGCACAGTCTGAATGAATCTGCAAATGCAGCCATCACTTGTTCTTTCATGCTTCCATCAGGCAGCTCCTGGAGGGCAGAGTAACCAGATGCCGATTCGGGGACGGTGAATTCGGTGCCATAGCCATCAATCTTTTTGAATTTCGAGCGCATCTCGGTATTCAGGATAGCCGTAAAGACGGCAAGCCCTGAGGCTCGTCAGCTTGGCACCCCCTTGAAGGATACACAACTCACCGATACTTCCACCCATCATTCTTGTCAAAGACCAAGCACTGGTAGCAGCTGCCATTTCCTTCAACGGCATCGCCGCTTGCAGAATCAACATGGGCGACTGCAGACTAGATCCAATGCCCACGGCGGCAAGGACAAGTAAGCCTTCTTGCGTGGCGTAAGAGGCAGTAGAGGTGTAGAATTTGTAAAATAGACCATATCCGAGCGCAGCAAAAGCATAGCCCACCCAGGCAGTGGGGCGCATTATTCGGAGGCGAGAGTTGATTTGTCCAGCTGACAGAGCGTCAGTTGCTTCCCCTGCTGCAGATGTGCTGTACTTACTGACGACGGTCATCCACGCTACCACAATCGAATAAGGCAGGATGTGTACACCGGATTGGATAGGCGAGTCTCCTCTCAGCTGAGGCAAGTCAAATTTGCCCCATCCCCAGATTGGGTACTTACTCCCTGGAACATTTGCGGCAAAAGATAGTTGCTGGGAAGGAAAGCCGAGGCATGGAGCAACGACCCAATCAAGAAGAACAGTGTTGTTCTGTTTTTGAACATCCTTGCCGGTATGATGGCATTGCGTTGAGTAAAGAGAAAGTTGAGAACAGCCAAGATGAAGATCACGCCGCCAGCAATGATGATGGCGTAAGACGATGGCGCGTCAAAGCCGTAGTCGGCTGCTCGGGAGAAACCGACAATGAGGAGGGCGGACGACATCATCAAGAGCAACCTATGCGGCATGTCAGTAGAGGTTTGGTGGAGAGCCGGCTTGCTTACAGTCCCAAAAAGTCAAACGAAGCTCGGAATTCAGCAAGCGTCAATTTGCGAGTGGGGTTTAATTTCAAAGTGAAAACCAAGAAGAGCAAGGCGACGCCACAGGTAGGAAGGTTGATGTCTTGATAAAGTCAGTACACCGTCACCTTGCATCTATAGCACACTCACAAAAACACCATCGCCTGTGAGATATTGTAAGCAAACGATCACCACACATAATGTAATGTTACTCACCATGAGGCTTTACTGGTCAAGACTCCTCCCAGGATCGGTCCCAACACGCTCGCAACACCCCAAGACGCTCCCAGAAACCCCTGATAGGCACCTCTCTTCTCCAAGGGCACAATATCAGACGCAATGATGGATCTATCGGCCAGTCATTAGTCGCGGTGTGTCATTAAAATTATCGAGACTTACGTCAAGCCGATGATACAACCTCCCCCCAAACCCTGGAATGCTCGAGCCACAATGAGCCAAGTGCTCGTCTTGGCCGCCCCGCAAAGCGCACTGAACACTGTAAAGATCAAGATTGCAGCGTAGAGCAAAGGTTTCCGTCCGACGATGTCGGAAACACGGCCGTTGATGGGCGTCTGGAGGGTTGAGGCCAGCATGTACGACTAGTTCCGGGTCAGCGTGAGATTTTCAGCTTGTGTAGAGTCACGTACCGTTCCTACCCATGAATACTCGGACGGCGACGCGTTGAGCTGCTCTGCTATTGTAGGAAGGGCTGTCGCCACGATCTGCATCAAGAGATGATTAGTCACTATAAAGCAGCCTTCTGGTGTTGAACGACTGACTGTTTGATCCAGTGCAGCCAGAAACATCACTAGGGCTAGTCTGATCATACATCAGCAATTGGACAGGATAGGAGCGCTCTAGAACCTACGAGGGCATGACCAATTTCAGATTATTTTCTGGCAGGTCCGGCATATCTGATGATTCTGTGTTAGGCCAAAGCTCGCCATGGATGCAAGTTCACACACCATTATCCCCTTCTGTCAGCCCCTTGCCTCGGACCTTGTCCTGCTTCCCCTTGCCCTTGTCTTGTGTCGACTTTTCGATAGTATCCATGCCGGCATCTTGGGAATCGTTCTCCGAAATTGGCTGTTCTGAGCGCGACAGCTCGGAAGGCGTGGCAAAAGGGTCTTTTGATTCTCCTTTGAAGGGTTGGGGTATTGAGGGGGGCATGTGTGGCTACTTGGGATAGCGAGATGGGTTACCGAAATATCTGCTGAACTCCACCCGGCGTATCTGCTTGAGTCTTGAATCGATGACGTGACCTTTCAAGAGGTCAGAAAACAAAACGAACGAGTCTGATGAATTGCAGGAGGTAAAGCTCAAGATTGGACAGACATGTACGATGTGAACACATTCGGAATACCGCGTGGGCACCAGCTGCAAGCCCCGCTGCAAGCATCGGAGATGCGCGATATCTCTGCCAAAAACGAAATTTAGAGACCGTGATTATTGATCTTGCCACACGTGATCTGCACGTGGCTTTTGTTATGCTCCGAAGCGAAAATGAACGGTAAGCTATGGCCGACGAGATCGCACTTTGCATTTGCCAAATTCTCAGTAGCATTCAACAGCTAGCAAAGCCACCCATCTCCACCCGTTCACTCCCCTGGATTCAAGTATCACTCCCAGCCATGTCCTCCTCGCGCATCACCACCTGCCTCCCCGCTTCAGGCAGCAACATCCACAAGGCAGAACTCCCAGACAATGCCTTGGTCCTTCCCCCCACTTCCCAGCTCCAGTCGCTTCTCACAATCATTCGTGATGAACAAACTCAAAGGTGAATTGCACATTGGCCTCGTGTTGGTGCACATCGTCAGCTGACTCTTATCAATGTTTAGGGGTGACTTTGTCTTGTAAGGCTTACCTGGGACAAAGTTGGCGTGCAATACTGATAGGAAGGCGGCAGTACTTCTGACAGGATCATTAGATTGCTTGTTGAGGAAGGTGAGTCTTGTGGCTCGAGGTTTGTATTCGTGGTCGGCCAGAGTACTGGCTTGAACATGTGTCTGGCCGGCCTGCCTACCCTGCCTTGGGTATCGTAGACATGCAAGGCATTATACTTATAAGATCCAGGCTTGAACCACCTCCCCGTCATTCCCAAGAAGGTTGTTACCCCCGTCGGCAAAGAGTTTGAAGGTGTCGCTTTCCAAGGCAGAATCTGTGGTGTTTCTATCATGCGAGGTATGCTATCCTCAGATCGATACTTTGTTTGATGTACATGGAGCTTACCTCTATTTCTACAGCTGGAGAGGTACGAAACATGGCGACTTGCAAACGACGCTGGAGCGGAATGCTGACTTTGGAGGGTAGGCTATGGAGGCTGGTCTTCGTGATTGCTGTCGTTCTGGTACGTGTGCTTCTTGACCCGATTACCATGCACGCCCTGACATGTATTCCTATGCTCCAGTCCGAATCGGCAAGGTAAGTTGTGACTGGAATGACCGGAACGGTTCACTGTGATGTCACGCGATGCTGACCGCGGGGGTACACTCAACTAGATTCTGATTCAGCGGGTATGTCAATTCTTCTTTCTCTTCTGTCATTCCTTCCACTTTACATGATGCTCATACTCACTCACAGGACGAAGAGACCACTCTTCCCAAGCTCTTCGTAAGTCCCCTTGCAGCACCCTATGGCCCAAGCTGACCAGCAGCCAGTACGCTAAATTGCCCGATGACATTGCCCAACGATACGTTCTCCTCCTAGACCCCATGCTTGGTGGGTCCATTTCTCGTTATAAAGGCGACTGTCTAACTCGTATCGCAGCCACAGGTGGATCTTGCATCAAGGCGATCGAAGTCCTTTTGGACCACGGCGTGCAAGAGGAAAAGATTCTCTTCCTCAACTTGGTAAGTTCTTTTCAGCGCTATCCTACGAGTCCCACTCTCCCGAAGGAAGTGGAATGGCGCTGCCCTTCGGCAATGGTGCTGATGTAGAAACAGATTGCTTCCCCCGAGGGTATCAAGAAGGTCTGCACTCGATTCCCCAAACTCACCATCGTACGTAAAATAACCTACGTTGGATTACCGCTCACCCTTTACAGATCACCGCCTGGGTCGATGAGGGACTCGACAGCAACTCTTACATTGTCCCTGGTCTCGGAGACTTTGGAGACAGGTGAGTCCGACCCTTCGTGGCCATCGCTGAACGCTTTCCAGGTACTTCTTGTAATGTAATCCTTTACATATATTTTGGCCCTGGCTGCATGTCATTCTTCTTGCAATCATGGAAGCATGCATATGGTTCTCTATGCTTCAACCTGGGAATGTGGGCAATGTGGCGGTTCGGTGGGCAAGGGCTCGGGATCAATTATTTTGCCACACGAAATACCTCCGTATCCCCGCGTCCCTTACGAGGCCCACTGAAAAACAGTCAGCTGTCAGATTTTTTCTTGTCTCGCAACCCATCTTTTTGTGAGTAGCCTCTGCCTCTTTTCACTCTTCTGACATCTCAACTAACCTTTTTGTCAGTTTTTCAACAACCCTCACCCCCCAAAAAAACACTTTATCAACAATGTTCGGTCGAGGAAGCTCCTGTTTCAAGTGCGGTCAGCGTGGGTAGCGGGTTTCTTTTGGTGGTGTTGTGTGTGCGTGCGTTGTTGTCAGACATCGCTTTTATGAGGCGGGCTCTTGTGGCCTGGGCATCTGCTCGGCTGGAGATGTTGAGTCGGCTCATGGTGGTGGCGGCCAGAGCGTCAGCTGTCGTGGTTGTGTGCGGGGGAGTGGCGAGTGTCGAGTCTTTGTGACGAGATGACGAGCAGCAAGATCTATTCCCTCGTACATAGCTAGCCCGTGACGGGTCCTGTATGCCACCTTCATGCCTTCTTCTTTCTCCTTGTCTGTTGCCACCCGACATACGTTGCCTTGTCACAACGCTCGCGCACCACACTGCGTATCTTTCTGATCAGTCCCATGCTCATAATGTACAGCCGGTCACGTCGCTGCCGCTTGCCCCGCTGCGGACCCCACCTGCTACAACTGTGGTCGTAAGTTTCTTGCACGTTGATGCACTCGCGTCAGCCGCTGATCACTCTCACAGAGCCCGGTCACCTTTCTTCCGGCTGTGCCCAGCCCAAGAACAAGGCCTGCTACACCTGTGGCGCTGAGGACCACCTCTCCTCTGCCTGCCCCCAGAACCCCAACGCCGGTGGCGGTTTCGGCGGTGCTGGCGGTGCCGGCGGTGAGTGCTACCGATGTGGCAAGCCCGGCCACATTGCCCGTATGTGCCCCGAGTCTGGTGACGCTGCTGGCGGTGCCGGTGGCTTTGGCGGCTACGGCGGTGGTTACGGCGGTGGTGCCGGTTTCGGTAACAAGTCTTGCTACGTGAGTATCTCGCTCCTCGTCTTGGACATGTGCTGATGTGATACAGACCTGTGGTGGTGTCGGCCACATCGCCAGGGAGTGCCCCAGCGGTGCCGCTCGAGGCTTCGGCGGTCAGGGCAACTTTGCCGCTGGTCCCCGAAAGTGCTACAACTGTGTACGTCTCTTTACTTTCTGACGTGATCGCCCACTGACTCTCTTTGCAGGGCCAGCCCGGTCACATCTCTTCCCAGTGCTCCCAGGAGCAAGGCCGAACCTGCTACTCTTGTGGCCAGCCCGGCCACATCGCCTCTGCCTGCCCCGCTGCCGGTGGTGCCGCCCCCGCCGATGCTCCCTCCGCCTAAATGCCTTGAGAGTGTGATGCGGGCGACGATGTGTAGATAGGAGTGGTGTTGTGGCGTAGTAGGCGGAATGAGCGAAAGCGAAACAGCTGGTTGCGTAGTCATTTCGAGAATATTCTTTTTACCACTCTCTCATGCCCATTGGCGTTTGTTCATATATCATCATAACTTTCCTGGGTTCTTTAGCAAACAAAAAACAGATCGTTGCTCTGCGATGTATCTCCTGGCTCGTGACTTGATGCTTGGCATGTTCGGAAAAGGTCTGGACATCCATGCGCTGATCTACTGATAGCTTAGAAGTTTTAAGCTCGAGACGTCTAGCATTTTTGGCGTTACTTTGGATGCTCCATCATCATCGTTGCATCCAAGGAAGTTGCCGCGGATCGGCATGTTGATATCGGCAGTGGGCCGAGTGCGTGACATACCAGTGCGTCGCCAAGGTGCAAGCAAGATGCGATGCGGCTGGGCAAAAGGTCAAGAAAGGATATGTCGATGCGTGCGAGACTGGCAGAAGGCAGTGACGGGGTCTCCAGTTCGTCGTTCTCCACTTTGCTGGCATGCATCACACAGATGAACGATGATGCAGAAGCAGGCTAGCACTACCAAGACTTCTTGTCGTCGAGCCGCGATTGGCCGCAGATAGGAGCTGGCGACTATCTTCCCGCTAGGAACTATTTATCAGTGTCGCCTGATATCATTCAAGAGCTATACACATCCGTGGTGGAGAAGACGAGGCTAGCGGGCCGAATAATGAATTAAGGAGATATGTTCTATGCAGAAGCTAGCCCCGTATCTGCTTCCGCCTGCAAGCGTCTCTTGGCAGCTTTTCGTTCTCACTCTGGGGATCGTCTCGCAGCATGGAGCAGAGTCACAAGCGTGCACTGCAATCATCTTCGCCCAAAAAACATAGGCTGCAATTCGACACCTCTTTTGTATTGATCTTGGCATGGCGCTAGCACGATCGTATTCCAGAATCATGGGCATCGGAAGGACGCACTGTTGAACAACCGGGGCGGGGGGCGGTGAAGCGCAAGAGTACTTATATCCCAGCGTCGTGTAATCCCCCCTGCAAACCAAAAGTGTATAGATTCCATAGAGGCACATACTCGATACTCTTGGACACTTGCCATCCGACACCTGCCCATAAGAGGACTCTTATCTACCCTACTCCATACAACTCAACACTCACCATGCACGGCCGCGCCAGCTCTATATGCAAGCCCCTCTTCGACATTGAGGCTGGTTCACCCCGCTCGCCCATGAGCCCCAACGAACCCGACAGCCCCCGTTCGCCGTCTCCTACCCTCAACCAGCGTATTCCTGCGCACCGGCGGTTCATCAACTGCCTCTACAGCGATATTGACGGCCCCAACGTCCACTGGGCTGCGGTCTACATGGCGTTCTTGACGGGTATGACGGCTGCCCCTTCGTTCGCCGCTTGCTTTGTTTGGTGTGGCTTTCAAACTGGTAAGTGGTATCGAGTAAGGCTAGAGAGGTGTTGACAGGCGTCAGGCAACGCTGCCCAGCTCGGACTGGCCATTGCTCGGCATATGGTGCCCGACCACCAGCTCTCCGAGGAACAGCGCTTTGGGTTTCAAAAGATGGATCAACAGGCTCTGGTCAGTCTCTTGAGCTTTTGCCTGGCAACCATGATCGGTCAGATAGGGAACAGGGTGGGAGGCAAGAAGCGGGTTTGGCTTGTCGGGGCGACACTCGGGCAGATGTTGTTGATGGGCATGGCTTCATTGTTGGCACATTTGTCTGGCGAGACGGGCTTGGCTACGTGAGTCGACTTTAAAGGGAGACAACAGGGCTGACACTATCGCAGAGCTCGAGGTGATCCTTCCTGGGCGACTCCCACTGGCATGTCTGCTTTGGCCTTTTTGTCTGCCGCCATAGGTCTGCAGGGCGCTGTCGGCACTGTGAGCCAATTCCTGGTCTATCGAGACACCCCTGATCGATTTGTAGAAACTCGGTACACCTATGGGAACCACAGTCCCTCTCACGAGCACCGTGAGCACTCACCCATCCCTTTGATTTCAACTGTTGACACATTCACAGTGGATCGACCTCTTCAACGACCCCTTTCTCTTTGCATTCCGCCACGTTCGCACGCGCGATGTCCGTGCTTTCGGCTGCCTGGCCCTCATCAGCGGCGCCATGATCTCCAGGATCATCTTGGGCTACATCGGTTCGGCAGAGACGATCGCAGTCTGCCTGGCCTTTCGAGCGTTGCTTCTCGTGTTTTGGTTTGCTATTCCTGACGCAGAGCCGAGACTCGGCGGAGGAGGCGATGGCGAACAGGTGGAAGCCGTGGAAGAGGGGCTCGAAAAGCCTTGAGCGGTCATGCGTATGGTTAGTCTTCTATAAGCGAGGCGAGCTCGGCTCACAGTGCTGAGAACGACTTTTATCGAGAGGAGAGTGGTTGTGAGGCGAGATGCCCGCCAGCTGTAGTATATCATTATCCGCGTTGTAAAAGTAGACATCTTGCCAGTGATCATAAGCAGCATGAACATATGTACTTGAGCGAGATAAGCGGGTGTGTGATCGGGCACTGATAATGGAGAGCAGAGGCTAAACGAGATCTGTTAGAAAAGCGTAATAACGCGGGGAAACACGCTCCAGCTCTATCTCTGGCAACGAACAAAATCTCTCCATCCCCATCTCCGGGACACGCCACGATACGTAACCTCCTCTACCCCCAGCTCCTCCCCCCGCACGCCCTCCCCCCGGCCGCCGCCATGGTCAAGAACAACCAGCCCCTCCAAATCCGCCTCACAGAGCCCGTCATCTTCCTCAAGGGGCCCTCCACCGGCCTCGACTTTCGCGGCAGGCCACAGGCAGTGAGGCAGGATGGACAGCCTGCCATGGTCAGGGGCCTCCTCACCCTCCGCCTCTCAAAGCCCACTAGAATACGCAGCATCGCCATCAAACTCGAGGGCAAGGCCCGCACAGAGTGGCCAGAAGGTAGGTCCATGCCGTACACAAGCACGCCATTGGAGACTCACTCTCGCGGCAGGCATTGGTGCTAAGCGGATGGAGACGTCCGAGGAGCATGTCATTCTCATAGACCAGGCCACATTCTTCAATGCCTACCAGCACGACTCGTCCCGCTCGCGGTCAACCAGGCGGGCGCTGTCTCTCGGCCCAGGGGTCAATGTGGGGCGCCACGAAGACGATATCGACGACGATGTGGATCTTCAAGACGTGCCACGCGACGACGACGCAGATGATTGGGTTAATATCGGCAGAGGGAGGCAGGGGCGGGGACGGAATCCTGTTCGCAGCTCCAGTGCGATGCCTGGGACCCATGACTCGAGCTCCTGGCACCGAGACGGTTTTTCCCGTCGACCGAGTTTTGACAACTCGGCGAGGAGCAGCATGCTCGACATGTCGGGTCTCAGTATGCGAGATCGTGGACCGTCCCCAGCGTATACACCGACGGCCTCACCCACGCGCGTCGCATCGGCTCTGCCGGGCCATGTCTCGAGACCCTCGTCGCTCCGCCAATCCGTGTCGCCCCACCTTGCGCCATCCCGTGGGCCTGCATTGTCCCCGATAGCATCCGCCGCGCCTTCTCAAAATAACTCTGAGCGAGGCGATAGCGCAGAGGCAGAGCACAGAAGACCTGTCTACACGAGCACGTTGACGTCGGAATATGTACGAGAAGAGACGGATGGGGAGCCTCGTACGCCGACAGCGCCTCCCCAGGACGATTCCGCCTTGGATGAAGGTATCGATGAGTCGTTAGACCTTCCCAGGCCTATACTGGAGTCGAGGGCCAACTCTTCTTCCTATTCTCATGGCGAAGTGCGGTTCTCTGTGCCCGCGGGAGAAGCCGCCGGTGGTGAAGGGTTGCCAATGACCGACGAGCCTGCTGCTTTAGAGACGCCAGCCGGAACTCCACCAGTCTCGGGCGGTGGCCGCGCTGCCTCTGTCCGTACCTTCGACTCGACTCATTCGGCCTCCTCCACCTCCCTCTCCTCTGCCCAAGATCACAGCGGGGGCGAAAACCACCCAGTCAGCTCTGCCATCCAGCCTACATCAGGCGCCAACACCCCCGCACCGTCTGCGCCCCCTTCTATCAGGCAGATGTCTATGGATGGTGCCGGACGCCCACGATCTGCTGCGTCCCGACCTGGGAGCATCCTCTCCTCTCGACAGCCTTCCGACCAGAATCTCCACAATCTTGGGCACAGGGCTTCGGGAGAGAGCTTGCGGGGAGGCGAGCGCACGCGTACTGCCCGAGCTGGGAGCACCTCGACCATTGTCGAAGATACTGCCTCTACATTCAGTCCAGCGGGATCTTCTCGTCCATCCAGTCGTAGTCGTACAACAAGAGGAGCAAGTGGTACACCTGCTATCCACACTGCTCCAAACCTCGCCCATCTTGCCCCCAGTGCTGCCAGCAGCGAGAGTTCCGAATTGAGCGACGACGGCCGTGGGCGAAAGAATCACAAATTTAGCTTGGCTGCTACCCTGCGCGGACTGAGTCGGGATGTCAAGGAGCGTGTATCACATGGCGGCAGGCATCATTCCAAATCGCGTAGCAGGATGGACAATTCGTCTCGCGCCGAATTGCACGAGACTTCAGACTCGCCCAATAGCTCGGCCTTCTCCAGCATTGCCATGCCCATGAGCAGGGCGAACAGCAGTACTGGACCAGGACCGATAGACCATGCCCATGGGAGTCGACATGGCTCGTTGGTCAACGACGACTTTGTGCCGACCTACGGCCGTGGCGGGGCTGGGTCGACGAGGAGGAGCAGGTCTAGGGAGAGGGACTCGAGTACGGTACGAGGTCGGGATGATGAACGAAGCAGGAGCCGAGCGAGGGGCAGGCATATGGGAATGAAGGTGTTGACGGACAAATTGGGTCTGGGAGAGACTGAGGATCAGGGGGATGATGTGCATAATTGGAAAGAGTTTAGAAAGGGCAAGTCGCATTGTTTTTCACTGGCTTTTGCTGACAGTAAGCAGGTACTTACAATTATCCCATCTCCTTCCCCATCCCCGTCAACGCCCCGCCCACTATCCACGCCGAATTCGGCTCCGTCATGTATCGCCTCAAAGCCAGCGTCGTCCGTGTGGGTGCTCTGACGCCCAACTTGACGGAGGATACAGAGATCGTGATGATTGCCACGCCGCAGGAGGATGATCTGGAGGAGACGGAGAACGTGATTGTGGAGAGGCAGTGGGAGGAGCAGATGAGATATCAGATCACGCTCGGTGGCAAGGCGTTCCCTATCGCAGGGACCATGTAAGTCGAAAGATCTCGAGGTGATCGTAGCTGACCTCTCGGCAGCCCTATCAGTATTCGGTTAATGCCCTTGCTCAAATGCAAGATTCATCGTCTCACGGTTGCTCTGGAAGGTGCGCTTGGTGATATTCATTCTGGACCAAGCTCACGTGTTTTGCAGAAAAAACAGACTATCACGCCCAAGAGCGTAAAGTTGCTCGACACGAAACGCCCAAACGCTTCGTGCTCCTCTTCATCAAGCAAGCCGATGCGAAAGAACGCACCGAGCCTCTCCTTCCCATCATCTCTGATGATCCTACCGCTGCCGAACGTTCGCCTCTTGCCGAGATGGCTCGACAAGCAGCCATGAGCGATCCTCCCTCCGACCTGTTTGACCTCGAGAGAGATCCGGACGATGCAATGTACGCGAGCTTGATGGAACCTACAGGTCCTTGGCATCTGGAGAAGGATCTCCAGCTGCCGGATTGTGTGTCCAAGATCAAGTTTACGACGAAGCATGATCAGACAAATATTACTGTGGCACATTGGCTCAAGGTCACGATCCGGGTCGAGAGAGGGGATGACGAGGCGCTGGATTCCAAGGGTCGTAGGAAGCAATTCGATATCATCATGTGAGTCCCTAAAGCTACTAGCTTGATTGGCGCTGACATGCACTCAGCGAAACTCCCATCAAGATTCTCGACTGCCGAGTCAACCCATCCTACAACTCTCTCCCCACATACTCTGTCACTCAACGCAACTTTGTCTCCACCCCTGGTATCTGCTCGGTGCACAATACCAAGAGCGCCCCTCCTGTCCCCATCGGCATGTCTCGTCACTCTAGCAGCAACCATGCCGGAGAAGCCCATGTCGCTGGCACCCCGCCTACGACCTTGTCCAGTCTCCCCGAAGAGCAGCCGCACGGGCATCTACTCCCGCATCTTTCAAGCCATAGGCGGACAGAAGTGGAGCCTGTGGGAAGTGCTCCTACAACGCCAGGGGTGGATGGGGAGGATACATTGTTGGAAAGGAACATTGTTTATGATCGATTGATGTCGGGGCAAGTGACAGAGACTGGGGAAGTGCCGCCCACTTACGTGGAAGCGATGGCGGAGGCTGTCGGTGACCGGAGCGTCTCTCGAGTCAGAGAGTCTGAGGCCTCGGCCACTGGGCGCGGAGTTTCGTCCAGCAGGGGAAGTAGGAGCAGCAGTAGACTAAGAGACTGATTCATTGAAGATCTTATGTTTGAAAGTGTGTTGGTATAGAATACAAGTCGTATAGATGTGTTGGTACCCCTGAGCTTGTCAGAAGTAGATTATCCAGGAATCATGGGCTGCTTGCTGGAATGGCCATTGTTTGTCTTGTAAATAGTCTGAAGAACATGCATATCGTTCCAGGCCCCTGGTAGTCTCATTCTTTCGACCCCGCGACCGGTTCCAGCGGCAACGACTCCTCTCCCTCAAAAGCATCTGTGGGTACCCGTCCTTGCCTAGTTGTGGTAGGTCAGTAATGTGCGAATGCAGTCTATGTGGACGGCACGTACAATTCTGTGACCGCTCCCTTGATCACATACAGGAAAGGCGCTTCTCCCACAGGTGGTGGCGAAGATTGGTAGGCGACTGGTAGATGATGAGCATCTACATGTGACTGGCGGACGGTACTCACCAGGAGTCTTGCATCTTGAGCAGCACAAAGGTTGTCTGAGTTCCAGATCCGAGGTATCTCTCCTATCAAGCGGGTCAACTCGAGGTGCACAAGGGTGCCTTTTGACGAACCGTTTGAGCAGACATCTTTGACCAGGCTGAGCGTTCAGCTTGAACTTTCTCGCTGGCTGTTTTGATGGGTCCGCTCCAGCTTTTGAGCGTATAATGTAGGCTCCATCGGTCCTGAGGCAAGTCAGCGGGCGCGTTTACGATACCAGAACAGAAAAGACTGACTTTCTTCTCGGCAGCCGATCAAGCTTTCCCTGGAGGACCAAGACGAAATCTCCGCATAGACAGTAGTACGAGCGTAGTACGGCTTTGGACGATGCGGTAGCAGTTGCCTGTTCCGAAGACGACACTGTTGCTCTCGAGACGACTTTGGGCATGGCAATTGGGACTGGCGAGGTTGGGAGTTATGCCGAGTTTGGGCTTTTTGGGTGGGCAGAGGGTGTATTGATTGAGCTGATGTAGGGTGTTTTCGACGGCTGGTCTGAGTTGGTGGATTGTTGTATATGATGTAGCACAGAAATGACAGCTCACGTCAACAGATGGTCGATCAAGACAAGAGGCCGGAGGGGTCCACTGAATTTGGTTCCGTTCTCTTCGTTGACGAACTTCTTGTCCGTTGTTTGTGCCACGACGAAGAGATGATAGTCTCTGCAAAGGACTTGCCGGAGTACCCAATGACTCGCCTGATTACGCTCATCCCCTGCTCATCCCCTCTTCCGTCTACACCATTTCACGCTCGCCAGACCGCAACAAGGACCACCCACTGCCCTCGACATAGCCCAGCTCACGACAACTAGACCCAAAACGGCCTTCTCAACCAGACCACCTGCAGCCTTGACCAGAGCAATCTCGATATCTAGGATCAGATTGAGGGAGTATATGGATGTTGCAATGTTGTCGGAGCCTCCAACATGGTCAAAGTGAGCATATCTCCTCCTTTACTTCCTCCATTTTGCCTTGTCGTATGCGACAGGTTGCTGGCGTACAGCCTTGTACCACTCTGCATGGTGATGATCGGCTCGCTCTTCGGTCTAGAAATACCTTCCCAGCTCTCGTATCCACACCTGCTGCTGTGGCTGACTGTTTCCAGTGCACACCGCATGAGTTGTACACCTTCCGACCCATATCATCTATACCTCGTCATTCCGACCCCCATGCAGCCTTTGCCTTCCCCGCACACCACTGTATGAATATCAGTCCAGCAATAGTAATAGCAGCATACGCGACAGATAGTGGACTAAGGTGTTGAACAGGCGGGCTGCCAACCAGTAGATGGTCGCTCAACCTGCACCCTGTGAGCCCCAGGTTCGTTGGCTTTGCGAGCTATTCTCTCATGGTCTCACACTTGGCATGCCCCCACTCCCTTGCCTCTATTACTTCCGAGCCGCTCCCATCCTCGTGCCGCCGGGCCTGGACCATCTCTTGCGGTGACGAACGATTCGACACCACACGCAGCTCTGGACCAGGGCGAAACAACATCATCCTGCCATTCTGACATTCCTATCGAAAGTCTCCTTTGCATTGTCACTCTCCTTAGCCCCAACCTTCTTGTATCGTGTATATATCTCATAGTCTCGCCATGGCTCCAATCTCAGCCCCATCTCGCCCCTCCCCGGACAATCTAGCCTTCCCCTTCCTCACCTTCTTCCCTATCGTCTTCGGCCTTGTCACTCCCTCCGTCCCTGCCATTAAATCCGACACTTCTTCCAGTGAGCATCTTTCAGCCATGCGTCTGCTCGAGCTCACCCAGCCATCTAGCTCCCTCCGCCGACTCTGCTGCTCTCCCCACTGCCACCTCGCATGACAGGTCTCCCGCACCCTCAGCCGCCAAGTATGTTGATACCAATGCTTCCGATCAGTAGGCTCCATCGTGTACCTTCCAACTGACCATCATGATCAGGTACGCTGCTGCTCATCACCCCCTCACCGAGTGAGTGCTTTGCTTTGAAGGCCTGATCTTTCAGCTGAGCCTCTCTCAAGTCTTCCGCGTTGGCTGCTTCTAACAGCCTCATCGGCGCCGACACCAATGACAAGACCTCCGGAGACCTTCCCGCTGCGTTAGTGATTGTGTGAGTGGACGAGTCTTCCACCTGACATGAGCTGACGTACATCAGCGGGCGAGACCTTGACACCACCTCTCCAACTCAAGGCCCTTTCACCTCCCCTGCCCCCACCGGCTCCAACGGCTTGACTCACACCGGCACCATCGCTCTGGCCTGCGTCCTCGCTATCGCTTCATCATCTCTCTCGCGTTTGTCGTATGGTGGTTCCTTCGACGAAAATCTCGCAAGGGCGGTATGTCCGAGGAGGATGTTGAGTCTCTGTCCGCCATCTATGCGCCCATTGTGCCTCAGGTGACTCTGTTTCTGGCGCCCCCACAAATGCCAGAGTCCCGGGTGGGGAGAAACTCTCCCGAGCAAGACTCTGAGGGGCCTGGGCAACTCTCGCCAGCGGCGTGCGGTCGGCGTGGGTTTTCCCCCGGCCTGCCAACACCTCCCACAGCCGTCACTCCCGGCTCCGCCATCACCGTCACTCGACGCTCTATTGCCCGTGCTCAAGCATCGGTAATCCATCTTGAGCCTGTCACAGAGCCACCAGAGACCATCAGCAAAACCGAAATGCCTTTCCAACCCGAGTCAATCACCAGGTGACTTCTAGGCTCAGCACTATCGGCATGCCCCATTCTCCCGTGCACAAAGTGCCTTTTGCCAGCGGTCCCGGACACATCATCTCTTTTGACTTTGAATCTCCACCTGCACCGGAGAGGGTGGCTATTCGAAGGGCGCCCATTCCTTCCCGAGCCTCTCGTACTTCTCGGGTAATACGACAAAGCTCTGAGAGCTCTTCCCACTCTGTTGAGCCTACCCGTCCGATCTCTAGTGGGAAAAGACTTTATCGGCCGACTGCAAAGAGGACCAGACGCGCAGCCCGGAATGCTGACAAGTCCAGGCCGACGTCGAGGACGAGCCCGAATCGCAGCAAAACAGAGAGTGTCATTGGTGGAGCTCTCCAGCTCGACCTACAGGGAGCCAGTCTTCCCAGTGTTGTTACCCCAGAATGCCTTGATCGTCCGCCCGCTGCTGTCAGACCACTGTCTGCCTCTCAGTCTGTCGATCATGCAGTTGAATCTAACGCTCCCGAAGACAGCGGTAGTAACACTGATACCGATCTCAACTGTACTATCAGCTCTGCTACGTCGGTTGACATGACTGTACCCTCTATCCCACGCTTACCCTATGATTCTAAAAGGTGTGAGCGTGGCGAAGACATGATCGAATTGATGGAGGTGGTCCTCACGGATGACGAGAGTGCTACGCTCGAAGCTGCTACACCTCTGCTCGAGCAGGAAGATCTCTCAGCCCCGCCTCCTAGCACGGATGGTCACGATGACGTTGAAGAGGTCGTTACTCCTGTCATACAGGACCTCTTCATGGAAGGCGACGCCCCCGAGCTTCAGATGCTTCCCTCTCCAGACCACATCCAAAGTCCCCATGCCGACGCCTTGTTTGGGTCGGAGACTTGCCTTCAGCTGCAGTCAACCTTTCGCTTCGAAGATGCCGTGGGTGGACGCGAATTCTCCTTCCAGCAGGCCGAGGGTGACTTGCTCGACCTTCTCACCGATATGGCCAACAGATACTCTAGTCGCATCTTCACCCGTGGCTCTGTGGCCTCTACATCCTTCAGCAGCTGTCAAGAGCCACTCTCGCGTATGTCTGGAGACTTGTCGCTCTACGTCACACAGGAAAAGGCGGAGAACGACCTCATCAATCTTCTTGAAGCCATAGATCAGCCTCGGCCGCCTTCCACGCGGTCCATGATGTCAGCCGCTGTGTTCAGCCACAGAGCTCAGTCGTCCTTCGATGCTGCTGAGGAGAGTCTGCTTTATTGTCTCGAAGACATGTGCGATAGGGTGGTCAAGTCCAAGGGCAATGATGAGACCGGATTTCTCCCGGCCACGTTCGCAGAGGCGGAAGCCGACTTGCTGTCCATGTTGGTGGCAATGGACCCGAACCCTCTCGCGCTTGTCACACAAGATATCATGCAGATACCCCGCTCAGACAGTACGGGGCCTGTTTCTATCGGAGTACACACTCCCATGAGAGGGCAAGAGTCACTTCCCATTGAACAGCATTGGTCTTCTGTCAATGACAAGACTTTAACGACGCTGTCCGATATCGCTTCAGCACCAGAGCAGCCCAGCACTGTTCTTGGTGAAAAGCAGGTCGCTGGTAACGACACGTCGCTGACCGAAGACTTTCTCAACATTGGTATGGAACTCCTAGAGGATCAGAGCGAGCCCATCCCAGAACCTTCAGCATTGACTTCCGTAGCTTCTTCCTCCGTCGCTGCAGAACGAAGCCTGGAGCAGCCCGATTTGCTTGCTTCTGCAAGAGTCTTGCTCGAGCGCATCCGCACCCATCATGTGCATGTGCACAGCAAGAGTGTCGGCAATCTGTTTCGGGAGACTAGTACTGAACACCCCGCCAACGTCCGAGGGGACATCTGGCAGACCACTCCAGAGTCGTCTGATGTCCTGCGAAGCCCTGCCAGCTGTTATCTTACCATCACCAGGCCGTCCCCTGCTAGCCTACTCGACAACACTATCGGCCCCAGTCAGACTACCCCTGAGAAACGAGCAGGAGACAAGGAGGTGTTCTTTGCAAGTAAGATTGACGAACTTTTTGGGGCGCATGGCGGCGGTCAAGGAAATCTGAGGTATAGAAAGCTCCATGGAGATGTATTTGATGAGCTGGATGGCGGAATGGGTAATTTGTTTGGGGACCATGAGTGTGAGTTTGTTGCTTGAGCCAGGTCCTACCGAAAGCTGATGTGAGATGTGCAGCCTGGATGAGCCACGACCAACTTGATGACGATAGCGATAGCGAAGTATTTTAGGCTGTCCTATGATCTGCGAGCGGCTATACGTACAGACAAAGACCCTTGGAAGTGGTATCGGTCTTCCCATCGCAAGCCTTATGCTACTTGGCCCCTCTGTTCCTCATGTCGAACTTGTGAGAGCATTTCGTCATGTGTCCGTAATCGCGTAGCCGAGAAGTAGAGGTCCCAGAGCATTACTTCCACGGTCTCATATTCCTTGTTGTTGTGGTCCATCATGTCTTTGCTTCCACCCACGTACACAGATTGCGTCTCACGAGTAAACAGCCGATTGATCAACGTAGCAGCAATGCGTTGAAGAAGATAGAGCTCCATCACTTTCGATAAGTGCAATATTCGAGAAGACAACGGTGGACTACAGCCTCACCATCTCGTGAGCTGTAGCGGATACACGACTCGCACTGGCCTAAAGATTGGCGAGAGCTCTATTGCCGAGGCTGGTCGAAAAATTGAGGAAAGTAGAGGGGAGCTAAGTATGAAGACATCAATCAGTTGTCAGTCAAGCCGCACATCATCGAGAACACACCTTGATAAGATAATATGGCCTGCCTGAGTGCTGCAGCTTCCATCCGAGTCTCCGCCTGGAGGAGATCGCGCTGAGATATGATATCCTCGAGAGCGTCGATAGCTTCCATCACCACAGCAGATGGGATTGAGCCGTCAGAGTCGAGAAAGATGGCGCCCATGACACCCCAATCATGAAGGGACGGGCAAGCCTGAAAGATGGGGTGGGTGATGAGCTCGAGACTGAAACCTTCGAGGGGTATTAAGCTGGCCATAGCGATGCTGGTTATTGAGGCTTGCGAAAAATGGAATCCATTCTACATCAGTCCTCATCAGTACTAGCGCAGTCATTCAGGGCATGGTGGCTTTGGCCGCCGTAGCCCTGTTTCGAACGTATAACCTCCAAGCTACACGATGTTTTGCGTGCGAAACTCGAGTAAGTATAATGCAGTTGTCATCGGATGAAGCATACTACCGAATTCCACGGAGCTTTTCAGTTGCTGGGTATGTAAGACTGCTGGTTCATTTCAGGGTCAACTGCCACACGCGGATGACCGAAGGTTGCTCGGCCTGCGGCAAGATCTTCCTGCTGCAGAACGACTGAAGCAGCTGGAAGCGGAGGATATGGAACTGGGGACCGTTATGTAGTCCGAAATCGTCTAGAATCCACTGAGGGGTCTGCGAGTTTTCTGCGCAGTGTGTAGACAATTTCTCCACTGGCGATTGAGCATCTACATGTCTCAAGGGCCCACCAGCCTTTTTGGATGTCTTTTGCGTAAGCCGTTACCTTCTCTTCTTCGCTACTGTCGGGCAAGTCTCCCCCCAAATCCATCGAAATCGACAGCCTAACCACTGTAAGATACATTCTGTAGATCTATGCTGACATGCTGACATGTATACCGAATTATATCATTAGACGTTACAACGACACAAGAACTCCATCTCACATCTCCTCTTCTCCGAGGCGTCTGGTGCCACAACTCATGGGCTATCTCCATCGTCCCCCCTGCCAATCTTGAATATCCTCTTCCTCTTTGCCTTCACATCTAGCTCCCCCAATCCTCCCATGCCTACCACACTCCCCGCTGCACTTCCAGAGCCACTCGCCCCTGCACCGTTCCACGCTCCACTACCGGACCCTGATCTCGCCAGATGGTACGGGAACGACCGTACAGCGATATGCTCGTGTCCCCTAGCATATGGGGAAAGCGTGTGCGCCGAGTGGGAAAGTGTGGCTAGCTGAGAAACGGAATTGTTCAGAGGGAGGGTGATGCCGTTCGGCCCCGTATGGCGGGGAGGGAAAGAGCCGTTGTGGGCATTTCCTGGTGATGTGCCGGTGACTGAGACAGACGGCACGCGCTCATGTTTCAGGCGAGACCCGGGCACGGGGAGAGGTACCGACATCGGCCGCGCCTTTGATGAAGCTGATTGTTTGGACGGTGGTCGTTGCGACGAAGCCATTGTTGAGAGCGTCGCCGACCGACTGGGGCCGTCCGTCTCTCCCCAGCTGGATCCTGACGTTTTGGCCGCGGAGGATGAACCTGTGGCAACTGAATGCCTTGGTCGATGGTACGATGGGGCGCCGTACGATAACGGGCGGGAAGGCGTCGCTTTATAGGATGATGGTGGTAGGGCGGCAAAAGACTCGGCGCGAGGTAGTTGGCTTTTGCTGTATGTAGGAGAAGCCAAGAATACGTCGGAGCGGGAAGTGACCATGCGCCGTAGATTGGATGAGCCCGGCGTGAATATTCCTGGGGATGCTATGCCCGGGGAGATTGAGTTCAGAGGCCGCATTCTGAGACTCTGTGACAATGGTTAATAGTGATGTTATACCAAGTGCGAATGTACATACCCCTATTGTCGACGACGCGGCGCCAACAGAGCTGGCTCTGGCCGTAACGCTTCCACCTGTAGCAGTCGCTGAAGGACTAGGCATAGCACCCCCAGCCTCTGACGGTGCCCGGATTTGACTCTGCACATGGAATACCCGGGGCCTCGAGACGACCCCGCCACCGACGGCAGGGAACGTTTCCCATTCGACTTGCTCCCCATCTCGTCCATTTTCGGTCGTAGCAGAGGAAAAGTTGCCAGACATGACACTCTGCTGCCGCCGCCGAGCCTTGACTGGTGATCTGTTGCGCGAGGGGGTCGGTATAGCCCTCAGAGCGTGGTCCATCTCGACCATGTCCAAGCTCTTGCGTCCGTCGTCTTGGTCCCAGTCGCCATCGCTAACATCTCCCGGATCCCCAAAGTCTTGTTCCGGCCCCTCTTCGAGATCTTCTCCGCCCATCCCTATCAGACTCCCCAGACCTCGGCCTTGGCCTTGTCTAGCCTTTTCCCACAGTCTTCCGAAAGCCTCGTATCCGCTGTGCGTTGGCAGGCCTTCTGGACGAAGACCGTATGTAGGATCATAATCTTCAATATCGGGAAATGATGTGAATGACGTTGGCGATTCGGAAACTGTGGTGGCGTTGGACCGTCTGCTTTGAGCTCGGGCGAGTGAAGCCCGCCGAGGAGTCGAGTCGACGATCTTCTCAGGACTACCAGAATTGGCAGGAGGTGGGAAGATGTCTTGCTCTTCGGATGCCTCGGCATCCTCAGGCTCGTCGCTAGGCCCATAGGCAGGTGGAGGAGCATCGCGGTAAGGCATCTCGACCCGTCCACCAACGCCGCCTCCAGAGAACCACTTTTGACTGAGTCGATGAATGATACCCGGGAGGTCTTCCCTAAACATCTCTCGCAGCTGGCCCTCGATTTCTTGCTGGAGGTAGCCCCTGATGACCTCGACCGAGTCAAAAGTCGAACTGACTTCGACATTTTGCAGGGGGTCATTCTTGAACACAAGTGTGATACCTTTTGAGGCAGAGACGACCAGGATGAGAATAGCGCGGAGATTGAGTTTTGAAAGTCGCAGAGTCATTGGCACCAATAACGGTTGGGAGGCGATTAATGGTGTGGATAGGGGCAGAGTGGACGAAGTGAGGTGGGGGTTGTGGGATAGCGGGTTCGCTTGCACGCGACATCGGACTTCCAGCCATGCGTCTCCTTGATATCCTAGCCTCAGGATACCACGGAAGCGGTCAAGGGAGAGGTCACCGATCTCTAGAAGTGTGAGAGTGGGCGGTTGTTCGCCCATATGGAGCTCGACCACTTCTATGCGTCCTTGAATGACGGGAGGTTTGTTCCCCTATATGATGCAGTCAGCAGTGAGCGAAGCATGCCGAGTGTTCTCACCTTGTTGAGGGCACCCTCGAGCATGGCCTTTGCATCTTCGTGGAAGGCGGGGGAGAAGGCGGTGGACCAGGAGGGGAATACGAACGACATGGTGGGAGGTGTGGGTGCCTATATGCTAGGCATGGCGCTGGGAAAGAGAAACCCTTTTAGTTGATGTCGAGTATCTTCACGTTAATTGCTCGTCGCTCGCGATGTATCCTCGAGATTTACCCTTACGTAAGAGTGCCTGATCTGTAAATTTCCAGCCGGTGCGCCGAGCTCGACAACTTTTGAGCGACAGTGGTGGACCACATCTGCATCTGCCATGTCCTACAAAGTATCCGCCAACGCTCCCCTCTCCATCTCCTCCTCTTCCTCCGTCTCGGACGACGACGACGATAGGGTCTCCGACTGGGCTTCCTCTTTCGGTGAGGCTCAGCAGACAAAGTCTCTCTTCGACGACTCTCTCTTGCCCAACCCTCCCCTCGCTCTTTGGCACGACCTCGAAAAGCACGGCTTTGACCTCAAAGATGCCGTCGAAAAGCTCAACCTGGACATGTTTGGGAGAATCAGGCTGATCAACTTGATCAGAAATGCTGTAAGTGACTCGATGATCATGGTGTACCCGCTGACATCGATATAGGGCTTGAGCAAGGAGCAGATCTATGCTCTCAAGTCTGATGACGCCGTTTTCCAGGACGACAGCCTCCTGATTCCCGTCATTCCTGACGATCCTTATCTTCGTAAGCATGCTGCGTCTGAGGGAATCAAGGGAGCTTATACCTGCTGCAGAATACGACTTTGACGACTCTTGGTCCGATGATGAGGACGAGTCTTCCGCCGCTCCTGCTCCTACTACCGGACCTTCTTCTTCCGCCACCGACAACAAGGGCCCTGAAGACGACCGATCTAAGGCTCTGGAGAAGGAACTCGAAAAGGCTAGACGGGACTTGGCGGCCATGCAATTGTTGGTCACCAAGACTCTTGGTGCCGAAGACGACGATGAGAAGACCGAATTGAAAGACGAAAAGGCCGATGGAAAGGGCAAGGGCAAGGCTGCTGTCAGGGATGATGACTCGCACTACTTCCAATCGTACGAGGAGAATGGTGAGTTCTTCTCATATCGAATATCCGTCATCTGACCTCTATGTGCAGAGATTCACGAAATCATGCTGAAGGACACTGTCCGAACCGTTTCCTACGCTCGGTTCCTGCTTTCCAACCCTCAGATATTCAAGGGCGCTACAGTCATGGACGTCGGTTGCGGTACCGGAATTCTGTCCATGCTTGCCGCCAGAGGTGGTGCCAAGCACGTCTACGCTATCGAGGCTTCCAACCTGGCGGTCAAGGCTCGCGAGAACATTAGGAAAAATGGATTCGCAGATGTTATCACTGTCATCCAGGGCAAGGTTGAAGACATTCAGTTGCCAGTGAAGGAGGTGGATGTCATCGTCAGCGAGTGGATGGGATACATGCTGCTGTACGAATCCATGTTGGACTCTGTATTGGTGTAAGTCTGGCTTTTCTTGTATAAATGCTGTTGCTGACCAGTCTACAGCGCGCGAGACCGATTCCTCTCCCCCACCGGTCTTATGGCTCCCTCTCAAACTCGTCTCGCCATCTCTGCCATCACTGGCGAACGCGTCTTCCGAGAGCGTGTTCATTTCTGGTCCTCTGTCTATGGCTTCGACCTGAGTACCATGGGCGGCATCTCCTTCGACGAGGGCCTGATTGAAGTTGTCGACGCTGAAGAGATTGTCACTACCGAATCCATCGTCCGAGACATCAACTCCCACGACGCCACCATCAAATCCCTCGACTTCCACTCTCCCTTCACGCTCAAGTCCACGAGTGGCAAGACCGAGACTGTCCGAGCATTCTTGACGCACTTCGACACATTCTTCTCTCCTCGCTCTGGGGCTGAATCCCACTACCCCACTTCGCACTCCGTGTCCATCGGTCAGTTTGGGGACGACGAGTACCTCAAGCCCGTTGAGCCTGTTGTGCCCTCTTCTGCCGAGGCCGGCGTCGCGGTCAGCTTCACGACAGGACCCAGGGGCAA